CAATCGAATTTATAGTTATCTACTGTTTCTTTGGTGTTAAAAATGCAGACTTAAAATCAAGAAAATCGACAATATCGTAGAATACCAATTTAAACTGAATCGGCATCGAAAAAATCGTAGAAGAATCGAAACGGGAGAAAAGCATATGTCCCAACCCTACTGGAAGGGCATCCAGGGTGTATTATTTTACATTTAATACACAGTTTTTTTTTTTGTTTTCCATATTTTTTCGCACTATAAGGCGCACTTAAAATCCTTTTGGCTCGTCGGAGCGCTGCAGCTACCTTAGCCTTGCGAAGTTATTGAACGAGTTCAATAAAGTTTGACTTATCTGACTGTTTTGTTTGGCTTAATTCGCTTTATAATCTGGTGCGCCTTATGTATGAAAATAGATGCGAATAGATGCGTTCATTGATGGTGCGGCTTATAGTGCGAAAAATATGGTATATACTGGTAGGGCAGTCAGAGAACAGTATTTCACCTTTATTTCTGGAGAACAGTAACTTTTTTAGCATTTTTTAAATGTATTTTCTGAAGGAAGGGTGACCAGAGGGCGTTTGGTGTTGAGGCATACAAAAAAGCACTTTTTCAGTGTTTTTCAGTGTAGGGGGAACTCTCCTGGCTCTGCCACCGTACACTACCACCTCTTAAACCATCTTTAGGTTTCCTCAAAGCGTCCTGTTTGTTTTTGTTTTCCGAACCCTTTCCGTCTCTCTGACGCTGAAATAAAACCAGCGAGTCGAGCAGCTTTTACTTAAAACATTTATTTGATCCAATTCTTTGGAATGTAATAGTCAATGATCAGAGTCTGAGACAACAGAGACGGATGAGTCTGGGTGCTGACCAGAAAGTCAAAGTACAAACAATACTCGTAGTCACTTAAGGCCTCACTGCTTATCCTTTTTTTACGTCCTTATTTCCTTTCTCATTTTTTCTGGATCGGAGACAGCAAAAGTACAGAAGCAGTACTGAAAATAAAACATTTTTCTTTTTCATACAAAGAAAACAGAGAATAAATCAATGGCACATACATCAGTGACAAAAACACAAGGTGATATTATACCAAGTAAATAAAATCGTTACGCTCCAGAGAGATGTGTATAAGCTTTTCCAAGAATGAAAAACATCTCTGTAATTTGTACTTTTATAACATTGTCGTCTGAAACGGTGTTAAAAAGAAGCAACAATAACACTGTCCTTTCCTTCTCTCTTTTCATAAATCAACATCATAAACACAGTTTTTTTTTAAATATATCAGTGCAACATTTGTTTTCACATTGAGTGCTGCAGCATCCTTTCTTGTTAAAAGTGGGCGGAGCTTCGTCTGCGTCCGTCTGAGACACGAGGAGGACATTCAGTCAGACGTCCCGACAGTCTGAGCGCTTTGATCGTGATCGGAGACGTCTTCTCAATCGTGGATTTCAGAGGGTCCTCTACAAAACGACATCTTTGGGGAAATGACTGACACGACGCTAACACACCTCAACTCCAACGATCTGTGAGGAACTTTCAGTTTGTGTCGACGTTGGCGCCCCCTGTGGTCAAAGCAGTCTTTGCTTTAACAAAAATATTATCCGTCCTAATTTTCACGTTCAAATGCAGCGTTTATCGTGAATGTTTCAGGCCTGAATTATAAAAACAGGACCGTTTCTGAAGCTTTTATGTTTGGATAGCATCAAAAGTTGATTTTAGTCGATTTAATAAACCTTAAAAAACTCCTCATAGAAGAGTTTTAAATGATGGATGCATCTTGGGGAACTCAGTTTTTAAAAACCAGCTGATTATAGTCTTTAATCAGGAAGAAATCGACTAAACGTGAAGTCTAGATTGGTGTGATCCTCCCCTGATATGAAATCATTGAATCCTCTGTACTGGCTGGTCGGAGGGTTGGGAAACATTTATGCTTCTTTTAGCACCGAAAACACAAAAAGGGTAAAAATTTGGGGGTGGATGTTCCTCTAAATCCACCTCCAGAATTTTATGATCCAAAAGAACCACTCCTGTTGGACTCTCCATCAAGTTGTAACCACAGACTGTTTAAAAAGATGGATGTTATTTCTTAATCTTGTTCTTTTCGACATTTTTATGATTTTTTCGGTCATCATTTTGACACAGGGGGTACTTTGGCGTCACTTTTGAACAACAGAAGGAGGCGTAAACTCATCGTCCATCTTTGTTTACAGTCAGCAGCTGATTTACCTGCTGACTGTGAGAAATAAAGTGAAGTGGAGAAGTCTGTGGAGTTAACTGAGATTAATGAGCACATTATGGGTGAAATTCTCACTTTTAGACTCGATCCTCCGACCTGAACGGCGCTAAGAACAAGAGACCAGAACCACGACACACTTAGCTACAAAAGCTCAAACACAAACAAACAAACAAACAAACAAAGCAGCACAATAAGTACAGTATTTATAAGGCCTGTTTTCAACCGATCGGACACTGAAAATGAACACCAGCCTGTTTTTACCCCGTAGTTTAAATGTCCGTTAAAGTTACTGAAGCTGCTGATTGTTTTATTTTTTTTTTAATTGCAGGTTTTTTGTTGTTTTTGTAAAGTTAGACGGTGAGATTGGAACAAATTGAGCTGCAAAGAAAAAGACCCTGCGAGTCCTCTTTCTTTAAATTTCCCTCCTCTGATTAAAAAAAATGAGACGATGAGCCTTTTTGTGTCTCTGCTCTGATTGGTGAACACACCTGTGAGCTCAGGTGGAAGGACAGGTGAGGACAGAATGAGGAGCTGTGATAAAATCCCCTGTCGAGGTTTTCCCCGTCCTCTGATGGTCCACAGAGTTCAGCATTGTCTTTAAGTCTCCGATCAGAGCCCGTTAGCCCCGTGATAGATCCGAGGAGGGACAGGTGAGCCCCCTCTGACCCCTGAAGTCCTTCAGACCGCTGGACACACCTCAGCTTCAGCTTTCAGAGTCAGTGCGTGTGCCAGCGGCGCTGAAAATGTCTCCTGACCATTTCCTCTGATGTAGCTTCTGACTGCTGCTGAGGTTGTCTGTTTTACCCTGTACAAAACTTCACTTCCCAGAATGCACTTCTCTATAATCTCTGAAAAAAAACAAACAAACACCCTTCCTGTTCCCAGAGCACAATCAGAAACCAAACAACAACAGAACGGACAAATGGCGAGCACGTCACACAGAGAAAGAAGCAGCACGGACATGTCTGAGAGGCTAAAGTTTTCTGTACAGATCTGCACTTTGGACTTTTTGGGCTGAACGTTTGATTCAAACAGAGAAAGGATACTGCGGCACTGCTGTCTTTTACGAGATAGAAAAGGGCGCTCAAATATATTAAAACCTATGTACAATATGTTGGATGTGTCATGTGCCATGAAAAGGAGGCGTTCAGGGTTCCTACGCGTTTACAAACGTTCAGAGAGGAGAGAAACGTTTAAACCGGAGTCAACAAAGGACGGAGATCTTTAAAATAAAGAAAGACGATGTTTATAGAAGTAAATTTCTGCTTCTAAACAAAGAGAAAAAAAAGAAAAATCCTTCATGAGGAGTCCTGGTTCTGATTTAAGAGTCACAAAAACAGGTTAAAGTCAAAAATGATGAAAAAAAGTCAGTCAAAACTACAAGGTAAAACATCAAATTTATATTTACAGAAGTTTAAATTAAAATGTTAACGATCAGAGAGTCATTTATGATTTAAAAAGTCAAACTTTGGAGACAAAAATGTAAAATAATGGAATAAAAACTAAAAATTAAAAGACATGTCGTCATGACTTAAAGGTAAAAAGTCTAAAATAATAGATCAGTCGTGCTTATGAGACAAATATTATATTGACTTTATTGATTTTAATATTTAAGACTTTTTTGATGCATTAGACTTTTTTTTATAATAATGTAAAAATTTTTGACATCTCCTGACACAATATTGACTTTTTTTTTTTACTTAAAATGACTTTTACTCTTTTAATTTGGACTTTTCTAATGAATCTACTTTTGATCTTTTTTTATTTTGTATTTTCTGTTATAATCTTGACTCTAATCTCATAAAATCGACTCTTTTTCTCTCATTTCTTCACTCATAATCGTAACTCAATATTTAGACTTATTAAATATCCAGGTTTTCCTCTTTTTGGTTTACTGGCTGAAATGAGCTTCCGTAAATATTTGACTGTAAATTCTTCAAAATAATAAAATCTGTATTTTTTTTTTAATCGTGTAGGAACCCTGAAACCGAACGCCAGCCGATGAGAAAACAAGGCAACAGAAAAACTGGAGAAAAAAAAGGCACTGTCGGAACTAGACACAGGTCGCCATGGTACCCGCCTGAACACACACACACACACACACACACACACACACTGAAAGATGCTCACCCTTCATATACACATATAAACACGAGTGTAACACACACACACACACACACACACACACACACACACTTACAGCCAGACCCAATGGTACACACACCTTTGATGCAGATGTATATGGATGTGACACCTGAACACACACTCACACACACACAGGGACTGGTGGCCCGCTGAAGAGCCAGATATCAGAGCGTTCACTCACTCTGCTCTCTCTCTCTCTCTCTCTCTCTCTCTCTCTCTCTCTCTCTCTCTCTCTCGTTATGAAACTATGACATCTGAAAAAACGAACAAACTTCTTCTTCTTCTTCTTCTTCTTTTCCGTAAAGTTCACTATCGATACTTTCCTCTGAATTGGTCTCAACACCAGCATGTGATTACATGAACTCAACGAAGCACGCTGAAAACAAATAGACTCCTTAGTTTCTCTTCTTCTTCTTCTTCTTCTTCTCTTTTTTTGCTGTACAGATTCTTTATACACAGTGCCCCCTGCAGGTCAGTCCTTTCCGCCGCCGCTCCTGAGAAAAAAAATGACATTGGCTCACTTTCAGCCCACCCTGCCGTCCGTCCCGTCGGTGGCTTCAGCCCTGCGATCCTCCCGTTTGATTGGCTGCGTCACGTGTCCATGCGGAGCCGTCGCCGCTCCGAGTGTCCCCCCTCCCCCCGTCCCTCACGCCTCAGAGTAGTTAGTCTGTCCGTTCATCTTGTCCTTCTTTAGCTTCACGCCGTCCACCAGCTCAAAGTTATAGTTCTCCAGGGCGGATAAGTTCCTGTCCGTCATGCTGCCCTGCGAGCAGGCGCAGTACAGGACCACGCCGCAGATGGCGCCCAGGAAGACGCCCAGCGCTGACATGGCGATGATGGTGATGAGGATGGGGTCCAGGGTCTTCAGCATGTTGCCCGGGCCGCCAAGGTCGCTGTTCTCCTGCGGGCGTGAATCCATGGCTGTGAGACGGAGAGAGACGGCGGGTTAAAGGGATATTCTGGTGTAAAATTAATTTAGGGTCAAACACACCATAACACCGAGTTAGACCCCCCCTCCAGAGATGAATGTCGTCGACCGCTTACTTCTCTAGTTATACCAACTTTAGTAATGACCATACGACCATCGGGCCAGTCCATTACGGACAACAGCGGGGTGTCGCAGCTCAAGGAAGAACATTTATGATCATTTCTTCATGGAAATACAATCAGACCGAGACGCTAAGACAGAAGAACTACTGAGTCTGTAAAATGATTAATATGGTGATTATTACTTCAAGGAAATGATAAAAGAAATGATCATAAATGTTCTTCCTTGAGCTGCGTCACCCCGCTGTAGTCTGTAATGGACTGGCCTGAGGTCTCACTACAAACAAGCGTCTGCTGGAAGAGAGTAGGTGAGTTGTGTTTAGTCTCTTTGCTAAAGAAATGAGTCAAAGTTAAAAAGATGTTTGGTGTCTAGTACTATGGCTGGGACCCTATATGTACTAACCTCAGTAGTTAATGGTGTAGTTCAGTTCAGTAACAGAACCTCATTGGAAAATTAGCTGATTTAACTTTACTGTGCTCTTGTTCAAATATATTAATTCGACAGCACATAAATCCATACCTGTTAACAAAATCATGATTTTATTGATAATTCGGCTCAATAAAAACACCTTTACCTTTTCATTTTACTACAGTAGAAGTTTATTGGCCCAGCTTAAAGACTACAGAGGTGGAGAAACGCCCCCGCTTAAGTTTATGTTTTCTTAGGGGTTAGAACAAATCTGAATATAGTACTATGTCTGTGACCCTATATGTCCTGTTGATGAAGTTAGGTGCTGTTCTGAGCATTATTTGTGGCTATAGAGTGGCGTTTTGGTTGGGGGCGTGGCTCTCTGTATTTCTATCCTGCGGTCGTTACTAAAGTTGGTATAACTAGAGAAACAAGCGGTCGACAACATTCATCTCTGGAGGGGGGGTCTAACTCAGTGTGTGTTTGACCCTGAATTAATTTTACGACTCAACTTAAATAAATCATATTCAAGGTCATTAATTTAGTCAAAGATAACGGCGGCTGTTCCTATGACTTTAACGTCCACCTTCTGATTGGCTGACCAGAAGTAGAGTGAGGGCGGTACTTACGCAGGATGAAAATCTCTGATGTCGGAGCTTCTGGATCTGGAAATAAAAGAGTTTGATCAGATTGATGCAGGTCAGAGAAACAAACTCAACATAATTAACAAGAACGGTGTGTGTCTGTGTGTGTGTGTGTGTGTGTGTGTGTGTTTGTGTGTGTGGAGCAGACCTTTACAGTCTTCAGGACCGAGTCCATCCAGGATCTGGATGTTGTCCACGGCTATGTGACCTGAACTGCGTCTGTCTGCCACTCCTTCCACGACCACCTGAGGACAACAAACACGGGTCAGAACCAGATCAGGACCGGTTCAGTCTCTCACATGTCCAGGACCGGTTCAGTCTCTCACATGTCCAGGACCGGTTCTTACCTGATAGGAGAACCTGGAGTGAGGCAGTAAGACCCTCCCCTCCCTCCACCTGCTGCCCCGGTGTCCGCTGACCGTCCACAGGATGCGCCCTCCCTCCTCCTCCCTCCTCTGTTTGATGTGCAGCGCTCCGGCGTGTTCCCCGAACATGTGGTACCAGAAGGACATGCAGAGGTCCGCGTCCGGCGCCGTGATGGGCAGGCTGGCCAAGCTCGCCACCTTCTCCTCCTCATCGTCGTCTTCGCCTGTTTTACTGGGCGAGTCTGCGTCTCCCAGCTGCATGTAGATGAAGTTCCCCGGTCCGCCTGCAGGGGGCAGCACAGGACAAGGTTAGAAATGAGGCGACATGTCTGCAGACTCTTCACATTTAAAGAAAACATACTGAAGATGAGATTTTAAAGGATTAAAAATGACAGTTTAGTGTTTAAAAGGTTCTGAGATCATTTCTATGAAGATCTCAGACGTTTATTCACCTTCGTTTTTATTCTGTCTCTTCCTGTAAACGCTCGTTAGTCATGTTGAAAGGGTTTTACATTTAAAAGGTTTTATTTTAAATCCTAAAAAAATCCCAAAGACGACTTCACTGTGTCTGAAAAGCCTCTGACAGCGCCGCTCTGAGAGGAGATCCACATCAGTGAGGCGCTCGTTTTTCACTCCAGATCTGGTTCAGTCAAAAAATCAAGGTGAGACCATTTATTTGAGAGCTGCTGTCGCCTCGGCTCAAACATCCATCACCGAGAGAGGAGACAGGAGAGCGGAGAGCGGTATCCTTTTAAAAGTCAAGTTTCTGAAGGCTGAGCATTCGTCGGAGCCTCGAACCGTCTGCTCGGTCCTTCTCAGCGCAGAGATACCACACAGACAGACCTGTTACACGTGTTTTCACCTTCATGTGTTCACTCTGTGAGCTTCAGTCGGAGTGTTTGTGAAATCTGCTCCATGCTTTATGACTGCACATCGACTTCCCTCTTTTTTACATACTTTATGAACATATTTGAACATATTAGCCTGTTTGTAAACAAAGATCTGGACTACAGAGCCACTTTCACCAGGACAAAAAAAGTGTCTGTGAATCTGCAGTTGGAGTTTCTATTTTTGTAGTTTTAGAGCATATTATTCTAATTACTGTGCCTCTTTTCTAATGAACCGACTCTAATTATGAAGAAAAAAAGAGAATTAATTCCCTGGAAATGATGAAAAACTCATAAAACTGCATTAAAACCGTTAAAACCAGGCCCTCCGAGCAAACACAGCCTGGTTTTAAAGTTCAGAGAGACTCGATTATTGGAAAGGATGTTAAACGATTATCTGCAGATGTCCTTGATTATAATCTGGTTTCTGTATTTATCTGTATTTAGGCCCGGTCTGAGAGGATATCACGTAGACTCTGTTGTCCCGCTGCAGGCTTTAGAAAACCGGCCTCCATCTGAAACTGTCGTCACTGTTTTCTAACCTGCTCCTTGTAGAAATAAAGAAAAATTCTTTATTGCTTTTCAGAAAAAAAAAAGAGGTGGTGTTGTGATTCCCAGCAGCAGCAGCAGCAGCAGCAGCTCTGACTCCGACTTGTTATTTAAAGCCCACAGAAGTTAAAAATACTCTCACTGTGAACGTAAGAGGGTCAGACAGACTTTCAACAGTTGCATAGTAACAAAGAGAGCAAAGAGAGAGAGAGAGAGAGAGAGAGAGAGAGAGAGAGAGAGAGAGAGAGAGAGAGAGAGAGAGAGAGAGAGAGAGAGAGAGAGAGAGAGAGAGAGAGAGAGAGAGCTCTTCCAACTAAAGCATCTGTGCAGAGCTGCTGCTAAAAACAAACACAAACACATGCACACCTGTGTGGTCCAGGGCGGGGCCTCTGTGGACGACAGGAGCCCCGTTGGTCTGGATGAGCCACTCGGCCCCCGTGCCGGTCTCTCTGGTCCAGCCGCAGAACGAGGAGAAGTCGAAGTTGCAGGCGAACCAAACGTACGCTGTGAAGAGAGAGGAAAACAGACGATCGTATCGGTCACTGTCAAGAAATACATCTCTACTTTTTTAGACACTTGAGCAGAAAATGATGATGTTTATACCTCCACACGTGTTCATACCAACAGTTTATGCTCATATCTTCTGCAGCTGAGATCGTACTCACAAAGGTGTGCCTCAAGGTTCAGTTCTGGGACCGCTCTTATTTACAATATAAATCAACCGCCTTGGACAAAATGTCCCAAATGCAAATTTTCATTTCTACGCAGATGATACAGTCATTAATTGCTGTGCACCAACACACATTCATCAGCTCAGGCAGCTAAACTCTCGTTGTTTTCATCGACAAGAAACACTGTCAGAAAAAACTGTTAAAACTGACGGTCAAGAAATCGAGCTTCTGTCTTCTTTTAAGTACCCGGAGTTTTTACATGTTCTTTTAAAGAACATGTTGATGACAGTTGATGTTCCCACATAGTCACACCCACAATTAACGGAAGGGCTGATGGCGTCCCGTTCGAGTAGAGCTGTGATACCTGCTGATGTTCCGTTCCAACAGATACACTCGTTATCGGCGCCGTCATTTGACAACAAACGCCGCTTCCAGAAGTCGCGCCCATAATTCACGCAAGAGCTCATGGGGGTCAGAATAAGGTGGAGACTCCAGAGTCAGTCGGACTTCTTTAAGTACTCGTCGGCTCGGTCATCGGTACGTTTTCATTTACAAAGACAGTCTCTCCTCCTTATTGATCTTAGAGGACGGATTACACGACCTGAGATCACTGAGATTCAGACAGTTCGTTGTCCAAAGAGTCTGAACTAAAACGGTAATAATCTGCAGACTGAGTTTAAGCTGCAAAACTTGGTGTCTTTGACTGTTTGCTGTAACTGTGTTGCTGCCATTCTTGGTCAGGTCTCCCTTACGAATGAGATCCTCAGATCTCAACGGGACAAACCTAGTTAAATAAAAGTAAATAATCCTGAAGCTCTCTGCATCCTGAACAACGTCCCTCAAAGTTTTACAAACATGCATGAACTTCTAAAACCGTCTTCCTGACCTCTAAGTCCGGGTGTTTCGATTCCTCGGTTTTCAAACTTTCTCTCTGCAGAGGTGAGACGGCGTGCAGAATCTGGAGTTTTTTTCACTCATTAGTTTTATTCATCGAGTCGATCTTTCAAAAACCTCGAGGCACATCTGAAAACGAAGTTTGCTCCGAGCGCACTGAACCCAGATCAGTCCTCGCCTGTTCCTTTAAAACCTTCAAAGAAAGCCAATCAGGGTTCCTGGGTGTATCTCAGCAGAGTCGGTGTTTTACAGGCGGAAATCTATGATCATACTCTGTGTTCGCTCCGGCTCAGAGCCGGGGAGCCTGCAGGGGGAGAGGCTGCAGCCCTTGTAACATCAATATTAGAGAGCTGTTCCTGCTCTATTGTACACACAGGATAAATTGTCGAGCTTGTGGAGAACATGTCGCCCCGCACAAAGGCTCCGTGCAGACAGACAGACAGACAGACAGGCAGGCAGACAGACAGACAGACAGACAGACAGACAGACAGACAGGCCGGGGTGAAACAGACACACAGAGACGGTTGTAATTGTAGTCGTGGAGCAGCGCTGCAGGGCCTGAGCCAAACACAGGAACTCAGACATCAGCTCTGATCCAAAACAGCGCCGGCGTGTACATATGTTTGGGATCAGGACATCGAGCGAGAGAGAGAGAGAGAGAGAGAAAGAGAGAGAGAGAGAGAGAGAGAGAGAGAGAGGCGTGGTGCCACCAGCATGCGGATGTGGCCCCCTGAAAAAACCCCAAACATGGAAAAAAAAGCGGCGTTTTCCTCCCTCCTGTCCTTCTGTCGGCGTGAGCCAGCAGTCGGCTGGCGGCGGCGGTTCACCGCATCATCCAAACGGACGCCGAGGTCCCTGAACACTGGACATGTTGTTTCTGAGAGGCTAATAGGATGCAGAGATGACCGTGGAGCCGCTAACCCTCCTGCAACCCCGAGCTGTCTCCACGCGATGCCTCCGCTCGGCTAATTGAGACCCAAGAGGCCTCCATTCTCTCTCTCTCTCTCTCTCTCTCTCTCTCTCTCTCTACCTTCACTCTCCTTTTCTCTTCATCCTCCTCAGCCTCCTTCTGTCTCATCTCTATTCAGTCCTCTCTCCTCTCCCGCTCTCCCTCCGTCTTTGTCTCTCTGTCACAGCCTCTATTTTTCCACCTCTCCTTCCATTCATCCCTCTCCTGCTCGGGTTGAGGATAAATTGAATTCAGCGTATTCACAGGGGAAGATAAAGTGTGACACGCTGCTGAGATGTTCATGCAGGAAATAAAAGGACAGAGGCTGGTTTGGCTTTAGACGTGGAGAGAGTGTCGGCTCAAAAGAAAACCTCTTTAAAAACATAAACACCTGAAGAGAAACTCCTTCACTCTGTCCTTGGAGTTAAAATAGAAACCTTTGTGAGGTTCAGATAAAGAAGAAAACACGCTGCGTGGAGATCCAGGAAAACGTTCAGCTGGTTTTACAATCGTCTTCCTCAAACACAACAGTTCTCCTGTCATGTTTTACCTTCACTCTACAACCATCTCTTTATTTCTCTGTTTTCAGGATCATGTGTTTTATCCTCAGACTCTTCAACTCTAATTCCTGTAAAATTCAGAGACACACTTTTAATCCCGTGTTTCTCAAACTCACAGTTGGTGCTTCTACAAACATATCAGAATAAATGTAAGTAAATGGACCTCAGCGGGTCTGCACGATTTTCGCCAAAAACTCTGAAATTTGATTTTTTACTCAATGATAATTTCACCAAAATTCACTTTAATAAAAAGTTTTTCTATCATCTCTCAAAATGAAAATCACTGAAAACGATGTAGTACATATGCCAAGCCAGTAAGTGGCGCTGTAACGAAGAAGAGTACAGAGCACGTGTATAAAGGTTGTTTCGGCGCCATAAAAGAGTTACTCTGTGTGTCACATGATCGTTTCCAGAGATGCAGATAGACATCCACACGGAGATGAAATGGTCGTTGTTTACAGATTTATTCACTCTCTGACAAAAAAGTACCGTTTACAGTCACCTGAAACGCCGATACGACAAAAACTTTAGCGTTTCCTCCTGAATTCGTTTCCATGGTGACGGGTTGATACCGCCTTCAGACAGACTTTACAGCGGGGAGTGGTTTACTCTTCATCTGAAACTGTGAAGTCGTACCAATTCAACACGACTGACTCGCTCTTGTCCTATTTAACCACGAAATTATCGCCTTCTTTAGCAAACGCCACGTTTGTTTACACTGTAGAGCCTACGGTGGCCTGGAGGGGTGAGACATGATAGAGAGGAAAATCGATTTGAGGATTTTAGTTTTTTTTTAACATCGTCATAATCAAATAATTCAATTAACTAATATCACGGACGATCACGACGCCAGAACATCTGAGATGAGCAGAGGGATCCTGAGTGACAGATAACGTGTCCATCCACACCTCACATCTCTCAGTGGGACTCTGTGCAGGCAGCTGAAAAACAATGAAACTAGATAAGAAATGGAGCTAAAAAGAGAGAGAGCTTCACATCCGCATAGAAACTGCACATTGCTGAACCTAAAGGAAGTCTTGACACAGGAACAGTTTTTCCACGTGGATCCAGCGTCGAGGTTTTGTCTGACTCCTCCTGTTTTGTAGGATCTTTGTGGAAACTCTGCGTCAGTTTAACTGAAGAGTCACTCGAGTTTAACAGTAATAATAAACAGATTTATCAAACATGATGCTTTTCTGGCTTCATCTCGTTTTCTCGTACCATCACAGCCCCTCAGTGATACTGAGCTGACAGAGTTCATGAGCCAAGAGGACCAGTAATCTCTGCTGAAGTCCAGATCTGGACCAACAGGAGGATCGTAAAAGAAGCTGCTGAATTTGAAGTCATTTCAAAGTAAGAATTAAAAATCCATTCTGCTCAAACAAACATGTATCTATCCGCTGACTGTTACAGCAGGAAGACCAGGGTTCGGTTGTTTTCCTCCTGTCAGATTTATGTTTTTATTCATCTGCCTGTAAAACGTTTCATTCTTCCACTCGCCGTGTTTATCTGCTTTTCTGGACGCTCTCTTTTCCATCTGTCGTCCCCTCGCTGTTTCGTTTTAACTGGATTTTCCGGCGTGACCGATGAGGAGAGAACAAAAACAATGCAGCTGCATTTCGGAGTAAATCTATCAGCGTTTCTCTGCGGCCGTCAGCGCTCTGAACTAAAGTCTCATTTGTGAACTGGGGCGATGAAAAAGCCATTCGCTCCCATGGAAGTCGGTCTCATTGTTCTGTGTGACTGCGGTCAGTGTTCCCGCTGACACTGAATAACGGGGACATTGGCTGATTTTAATGCACTGATCTGACAACCCAGAACAGGCAGTTATTTGTACGTCAGACTGAGGAATAAAAACCCGAATCGAGAGTTTCTGAGACGTTTGGAAAAGACGAGACGGAGAAAAACAGAAACGACAAAAACACAGAGAGAAAGAGGAGAGGAGAGGCGGGGAACATGGCGGCAGATTGTGGCGGTCATCCTCACCTGGTATGAAGTCCAGGATGGGGTCGGGCGCTGCGGTGCTTCCTGCTACAGACAGATGGGAGAAGCACAGAGAGGTCAAAGGTCAGCTGGTTTATTCCCACCCACACAGATGCCATCACATATTCAACACAGCTCAGGTGAGGAGGAACCTTCCTGTTGAACTAACTGCATAAATGAAGGTTTGATAACTATAACAGATTTAAAGACGTAAAAACACAGAGATTAGGATTTTTAAACGAAGGCGACTCCGAATCATCGTTAAAACTAAAAAGAGGAGGAACAGTTATTTCTGAGAATTTCAAAATAAAAGAAAATTTACGTTCAGAGAGATCCTGTACAACCACATCAATCATACATGTTTGACTTTTTTTAACTGATTTTATTAACACAATCTGAATAAAGGCTGGTTTTGGCGCCCCCCTGTGGTTGAAGTAAACCTCACCTGTCCTGTACATGTATGAGTTAATGTGAGTTTGATTTTCCCCTGATAAATGTCAACTCTCCTCGTGTCCCTCTGTACGTTTACCTAACCCCTAATGAAACTAGACTTTTGAAATAAATGTAATATAAGATAAAGACCTCAGGGACCTGAACCGAGGATACAAACCTTTATCATCTTTACAGGGACCAGAATCAACAGGTTTCTCTAAGTCTGTGTCCAAAATCGGACCAAGACCAGAACAACACTCAGAGCCGGGACACTCAGGTACGTGGTTAAAAAGGTGAGTTTTGGCGTTCACCTGTCACTGTATCGTAGTCTTCAGGTTCCTCGCTCTCCACCGTACAGTCCTGCTGACCCTCCACACACCCTGTCGTCGGGGTCGTTCCCGGGACGGTGATGGGCGCCGTGGTCGTCGCTCCAAAGGTGGTCAAGGGGAGAGTGGAGGCGATGGGCGTGGTGGGAGGAGCTGTCGTCGTGATGTCTGGAGATAAAAGACGAGAGAAGAAGACAGTTTGTTATCAGGACAGAAAATAGATTCAGTCTGTGTCCCGAATTTCCTCTGTAAGGACTTTCCAAAACTCACAACCTCAGGAACTTCACTTCTCCTTCAAATCCAGGAACATGATTCTGAACTCCTCCACACGTCTGAACTACAGAGGAAGTTTCTTCTGCTGGTATCAGAACTATGAGAGACCAGTTTGAAACTTTCACTGTGGAAAAGTAAAACTTCACTCTTTAGGCAGGGTCTCTGCAGGTTTCAACAAGTCAGATTTAAGATAATTAATACATTTTTAAGACCTTTCAAAAACTTTTTATGAGTTGAAGACATTTTAGGACCCGTCAGAAACCCCGGTTAGGAGTTAAAATGCAGTTAAATATTAAAGCAGAGGAAGAAGAGAGTGATGCTGGTTTAGAGAACAAGACCGGTCTGAACCTGTTGCTTTTAGGACAATAAACTCAGAACCTGCAAAAGGACCGTTTATTCCCTGATTTGATTTGATAGAGCGACTTCAAAAAGTGCAAAGAAACAAGAAACAAGAAATAAGGCAGAGTTGTTGCTTGTTGCATGGCAATAAAACATCTGCTGCTTTTCGTATTAAAACGTTTATTAAACTAACTTTTACAGCCCCTGAGAGTGTGAGACAATGACACACAAAACCGTGTAAAACAGCTTCTTAATCATTATCAGATCGTCTTCAATACTTGATTCTTATTTGCCAAAACCTCATAAACCAGTTTCAGTTTTCCGGGGACAACCAGATCCTGTCAAATCGATCTGCACCGCTCACCTCTGCCTGTCGACACTGTGGCATTTTTAATCAGTTATCAGATAAGACAACAATCTGAGTGTCTCTGAACATGAAACATGAAACATGATTGAACTGTTTGATTTATCTAAAACTTCAGGAGGATCTCAGCGTTGAAATACAACCTGAATTTTTATAAAAACCTTTTCTTTCTCAGACTGAAAACTCGTCGCTCTCATCAACAACCCTGCCACAAAACTCAAGAGTCTCTATTTTCCTGAGCAGTAAAGAGGAGCCGACGCTCTCCGTCTCTATCGAGGACCAAAGTAATAACGACAGAAACTCTCCGTTCTCGTTAAACTCCACCACGCTCTCCATGTCTGCTGCTCATGTGCTTTTATGGAAATGCGGCGAATTGAAGATGAATTAGCATATGTAGACCGTGTCGAAATCACAGATGGTCTGCATGTAATTAAACTTTGTAAGGAAGGAAACATGTTTGAGTGGGATGAAGGTTTGCTCCGACAACAGCGAGGATGTAAGGAGATGATTTAACTCAAAGCGGCTTCAGAAACGACGACGAGAAGAAGAAGAAGAACAACTGTTGAAACGGATTCGCCGGCAGATTGTGAGCTTGTTAGCGGCTCGGCTGTTTTAATGTTGAGCTTTTTAAAGATGAGCTTTCACGCAACATTGATTTTAGATCTTTTTACAAGACGGAAATGTTCAATTAATCCAAATCAACATCTAATTAAGTGATCTTAAATACTAAAAAGGCCTTTGATGCAGCATTAATGAGCAGAAACATACAGTAAAGAGGAGCTTTAATTTGGATAATTGGTTCATGATCGCTGGTTTTGTTTGATTTATGGGACCATGTCTGGGCTGGCTGCATCTTTAAGGGTCTGTCTCTGTATGTTTATAAGTGTCTCTCAAGTGTAAACATGTGGTTTACAGACATTTAAAGAGTGTTCATATGAATTAAGGTGGGTTTGAATATCTAATTTCAGTGTCATTATCCCAACAAGAAAAGGAAATGCCTTTAATTCTTTTATTTTAATTTATTTTATTTATTTTAATTTTTATTATTATTATTTTTTTCATTTTTATTTATTTTAATATTTTAACTTTATTTTGATATTGTTGAAATGGAGGTTCCTGACAAACTCAAAAAATCAAATTGAAGTTTTTCTCATTTAAAACCAAAACCGGGTCGGTGCAGACCCTAACACAGGAGGAGGGTTTAACCCACTCTTGGACTCTCTAAGAACACGTGTTCAACATCCAGCAGCAGAGATACTGTAGAGCATGACTGCTCTGGATGAAATAATGACTTTATCCTCTAAATGTTTAACCTTTGACCCGGTCACTCCTGCTCCCTCTAAACTTAAACACCTTCTTCACCCGCCCTCTCTTTCTACTCCTTCATGCTTCCCTTTTTCCTTTCCTTCCCTCCTCGTCTCCTCTGCTCTCTCTCTCTCACTTTAACTGATCCTTATTGTTCTCCTTATGGGGCGTCCAGATCCTCCAGAGAACCTCCTCCTCTCTTTAACTGCTGTGGGAGGTCGAACCCACCCCTTCTCTCACTCTCTCTCTGTTTCACACGAACTACATCCAGCTCTGACCGCTGCAGCAGCACAGATAGCATCCTGCCATGGCATGGTCAGCCCTCTCTCTCTCTCTCTCTCTCTCACCTTCGTCCAAAACACTGAAAATCTGTCATGCAAATATGCTTGTGAACCAAGAAACCACATGAGTGAACCACATTTAACACCGCCTTAGTTTAACACGGTCAAACCGTCATATTAAGATGTAACAAGATGAGAAATAGAGATATTAAAACACGAAGTAGGACTGTGTATTCCCTCTCAGTTTATATCATAAACATTGTTAATGGCGCTCACCGTCCAGCTCGCAGCCCAGCAGCTCCAGTCGGAGGCCCAGTCCCTCAGTCGTCGCTCTCTCTGGGTAGATCCTGAAGAAGCGGGTCAGGAGGGGACCCACGGACCTCAGCTCTGGGGTGTCGTGGTTCAGGTTACCGGTGAATATCTGAGGTTAAAAAAAAGAAGAGTCAGCTGATGTGACATTGTTCATGACACTCGATCAAAGCTGCTGATTTCTGAAGAATGAAACCTATATCAGAGGTTTTACACAAAAACAAACGTATGATTTGGGTTCTGTTCGATCAAACTCATTTGTGACGTTTCTTGAAGCAAACAGTCGTTTTTTTTCTTGCTTAACTCAAAGAATCCAAAAATCTGTGATTTCCAGGAAGCCTGCAGACCCAAACTTCAAAGAGAGGACTTTTGATATCGGTTTTTCCCAAATTAAATGAACATTAACTTCAAAAAGAGCTCTCACATCACAGTTAGACAAAAAAAAAAAAAGGTTTCCTATCAGAGGAGAGATCAGCGCAGTCTCTGAGTTATTCAGGTGAGCTTTTGATAAACACAGAGATTCTTGACTGCGTGAAATAGTTATCTGTTTTTCTGTTTTATAATGAACCAAACAGCATCATCAGATAAATGATCCCGACCTGACTGCTCTCTCTGGATGAAGGTTTCTATAAGACAAACAATTATCCGTCCAATCCTCTTTCTTTATATCTGCCGTGTTATAAATGTACGTCTGTTTCTGATCACGAGTCCGTCGCTTTGATAAAAAAAAACTGAGACTAAATCAAACGAGGAAACAAAAGCAGAAGGCAGGAAATCAGAACCAGAGTCCGGACTCTTAAAAAAGTCCAACATGGAGGCGGCACAGATGAAAACGGTTTCTGTCGCACCAGGAGCGCAGCAGTGGGTCTCTAAACACCAAGAACTCCAGACTGTCTGGACCACTGTGGTGAGGCTTCATGGGTACAGTTAGGAAGTGACCGTACGGACAATAAACAGGCTGTTCAGTAAGATCTGAGTCCTACTGGAACCGCTGAGGAGAGTTTTAACACCTGCTAACACTTTAGTTTTTCCCTCAATCTGAATTAAGAGTAAAAAACGGTTAAAAGATGTTAAAATGATACTGTCTCTCTGGCTGATGCTGTAACAAATAAAGTGCCAAAAAGATACCACATATGTCTCAGCTGGTATATTGACATTATAAAATACTGTAATCAGACTGTAAAAGATTATGAATAAGAAGAGACTGATGTCCAGGTTAAATTCCAGTTTAAAAGGTTAAAAGGCAAATGATGAAGGAACCTTGTTTTGTTTTTTCTGAGTGATCTTTCTCATGCTCGTATTGGACATAAAAAGGCAGGGCTAACAGACACATTGGCTTTTCTTTATGGTTGTATTAAACAAGAAGGGGCGGGGCTAACAGATATATAGGCACCTTTCTCCTGTGTGTATTGGACATAAAGGGGCGGTGCTAACACAGAAACATAGGCATCCTAAAATGGTTACATGAGACATGAAGGGGCGGGGCCAACAGATATATAGGCACCTTTCTGAAGCTTGTATTGGTCACAAAGGGGCGGGGCTAACACAGGCACATATCTGAAACTTGTATTGGACAAGGGGCGGGGCTAAGACAGACAAATAGGCATCTTTCTCATGCTTGTATTGGAAAAAAGGGGCAAGGCTATCAAAGAAACAGGCATTTTTACAATGCATGTTTTGGACATGAAGGGGCGGGGCTAACACAGACAAATAGTCATCTTTACAATGCTTCTTCTGGACGTGAAGGGGCGGGGCCTTCTCAGACACAGGTGTCTTTCTCATGCTTGTATTGGACATGAAGGGGCGGGGCTAACAGATATTTAGGAATCTTTCTATGGTTGTATTGGACAAGAGTGGGTGGGGCTAACTCAGACACTTAGACACCTTTCTCATGGATGGATTGGACAAGAGGGGGCGGGGCTACCGCACGAATAGGCATCTTTCTCCACAGATCAGACTTATGAAAGTACAGACACATCTAAGCTCCTAAAAATGTTATTTCTGACACTCTTATTTTTTATTATCATATTTCTCTTCATTCATAAAATAACATGATAAAGGAACCACCAGGCTGGACTCATACAGTCATGTTTATGCAGCAGCATATACAGTAACTCCTCTGTGTCCATGTGAGAGGCGAGCTCTGTTTTAATGCGTGTACCAGCCTGAGTCTTTCCTGCCTCGTCTTTTGAAGCGGTTTTATAAAAAGACACAGGAAACAGAGCGGAGACGCGGGCTGAGGGGACGGAGGAGCATCTACATCTCCCTCTGCACTAAATCAGCAGGAGTCTGACGGCCAACCCGGGCCTCCGCCCCGCCATCTGGAACGCATAGAGGAGGATGTCGCACCAACGGGGCCCAGAGCAGAGGGGAGGAAGCGGAGGCTTAAAGCAATGACATGAATTTCCTCTCGGGGATCAGACACAAAGTCCCTGAAATCTCCAAGAAGGGGATACAGACTGAGACCGAGGCGAGGGGGATTTGGGTTTTTTGACTCTCCTGCTGCTGGTCTATGTTTCTTTTATGGATCTCCTCGATATATCGGCGCTCATCACTTCATCACACCTGTCTGTCAAACTCAGCTCTGTCCTCTTTACATTTCTGGAGAGGTTTCAGCCTCTGTAGGTGTTTTTGATTCATTCATATGACTCTTTAAACCGCACTAATCCGTCTGTGACAGGCTCGTTCATTTTCAGTCTAAAAGTTGTTGAAATGCCTCCAGTTTAAGAGTCATAAAGCTAAGAGGAACAATATTTATCTGCTCACTGACACTAATGACTGGAACGACTGTAATGAATTCAGAGTTCATTAAAATGGTGTCAGAGGATCTTACATTAAAGATGATTTACAGCTTATTATGCAGGATGTCAGAGTAATAAGTGAATGCATTCGCTGAGTAATAAGACATGCTGTTTTTTAGTAACTGACGGCAACAAGCAGCACTAAAGAGAAGAGATAAAAACACAATGAATATAATAAGAGAGCATCCTTTTCTCTGTGATATATACAGGCTGGGTGGAGGACGGTGTTGTCTTTACAGCCTCTGAGAGGTGATGGAGGTGAAGGCTCCTGAAGAAGATGTTCATCAGTCTGAGCGATCAGCTTTGATGGCTTCATATCTCAGCTTTAATGACAGGGGGGACAAACAGGCTGTGACCTGGGTGGGCTGAGCTCCTACTGCAGCTGCTGCAAACACGCTTTTGTTCTGCAGACGTCTCACATACATTAAATACAGGTTTGGGAGCGCCGTTTCATAACAGCACTGTTTTTTTTTATATCAAGTTCTTATGCAAACAGAGTCTTCATGTAAGAATCTCACTTTAAATCAGATTTGCTGGCATGTTTCCATCTTTGTAATAAAGTCAGTATGCTAAAGGATAAAGTGTTATGAACCGTATTAATTCACTCATACTTGTTTAATAGTTCAGTGTCTGAGTGATGGTGCAGAAACTCTACAGCCACGATGATTTAACGCTCTACTACCTGGATGTAAACGAGCACAGCTGACAGACGGCATCAGACAGCAATCAGTGAGTATTCAAAGTTTAAAGTTAAACACTGTAAAAATAAATATATATACATTCATTTAGAGTGAAAGCTGAGTTTACCAAAGAGCATGAACTCGAGGATTATTTAACAAATTTGTCGAAACAGCCACAGGTTGTAATATGAAGTTTAAAAAATGAGATTAGAGTCGATGCATGTCTTAAAAAATCCTCCAATTATCACCGTCTACATTATTTTTAACCTTCGTTCTGAATAAAAATACTCAAAGTTCCTTAAAGTGACACCATCCTGCTCTCTGCAGAGAAGGACTCAAACTGAAATTTCCCTCAGATCTCCTGGATCATGTCGTGTTTTTGCCCGTCTCCCCAGTTCTCCTCTGAAATCCCAGTTTTCCCCTTTGTGAAGTGAGTCAGACAAAAGCGTCCGACAAACAGAGCAGTCACAGCTTCATGAATAGAAGTCTGTAATTTGGGTGCCAAACATTTCGTTCCACGAGCGGCGGTGGCGGTGGCGGTGGCGGCGTTGTGGCCAAGCGAGCGTCTGCCTGATGGTTTCCAGGAATCACAGATTACAGTCAGAGGAGGTTTATTTCATGTCAACAACCTTTTATCTCTCGGCTGTGTAATATTTTTTTCTGTTAACCTGTGAGGGCTTTCATCACTGAGACAGACAGATGGACAGACAGACAGGCAGACAGACAGGCAGGCAGCAGGGACAGAGTTTGATCAAGAGGGACAAGGAGGACATGAGGGGAGGTGGAGGTTGATGGAACAGAACAAACATGGAAGTGGTGAAGTTCAGAAGAGACCCTTCACATCCTCATTTATTTCTGATTTGACCTCCATGTTTATAGAAACAGCTAAATAGAAGCAGCCTACAAATCCAAGACGCAGCAGCAGTGGTGCTACTGTACCTCATTATATCTGATAGTCTGATGTTACCCAGATGTAACATGTCATACCACATATTAACATATTATATCCTATCATATTTTACCATATAATTTCATAGTATACTGAACTGTATCATATCTGACCAAATCCTACTGGATCATATTGCACCATATCGCATTATATCGTATCATATCAATCCCTATTGCACCATATCGTCACCCAATAAAAATTATGGCCACAGACACATTTTTTGACGAAAATGAGTTTTTTACCTAAATCATCTAAAAAAAATCTCATTTTACCAGTTAGTTCCCAGTTCATCTCAAGAGATGATTTAGAGGTGATTTAGGTCACAAACACATTTTCGTCAAAAAATGACTTAGGCCATTATTTTAATTGGGTGACGATATGGTATCGCATCATATAACATCATATTGTATCATATCACGCCGTACTGTACTGCACTACACCGCATAATATCTCATCATACTCTGTTGCATCACACAACATCACATTGTATCATATTGTATTGTGTCATATCGCACCACATTGCATTACATTATATCATATCACACCCTACTGCACCATCTTGCGTCAGGTGTTTGTACCGTATCAAACTGTATTGCATCATATCATGTCATATCATATTGTGTTGCATCATGTCATTTTGCACCATATCATATCATATTGTATAGTGTTCTATCATATATCATTTCATATTGTGTCATATCATGTCTTGTCGTATCGTACCATTTTACATTGCATCATATTGTATCATGTCCTATCCATATAATGCCATATAATCAATATTATCTTGCATCATATCATATGGCAATGTAACCTGCAGAACAGTGTCATATTGTATCTGACTGCATCATAGTGTATTTTACCATATTGTACGGTATCTTGTAAAGTAGAAACAAGAGTAAAACCAAGAAAACTTCATCTATATCTTTGTGTTTAATTTCAGTGTTTTAAAGTCAAACTTGTGTTGAACCATCTTTGACAGCTCGCGTCCTCGTACTGAACTGACCTTCGGCCTTGTGGTGTTGTCCTCCTTCACAATAGTCCACTCCTCTCCGTCCAGACTGTGACCCACCCTGAACTTCTTCATGAAGACGTTCCTGTCCCGGTGTTTCCCTCCCTGGATCACCACGCCGCTCACCATCTTGTCCTGGCCCAGGTCCACCTACCAGGGAGGAAAACCAGGAGAAAATGGTGAGTTTGAGACACCATGTTAGATCCACGCTGACAAAGCTCTGAGTGTTCAGCGTCAAACCCACCTGTATCCACTCGTTCCTGAAGGGCTGCTTGGTCTGCTGCCCGGTCCATCCAGATCTCCCCGTCAACAATCGAGCGTTTTCAGCGACCCAGCCTCGGTCTGCGTACGATGAGGCGCTAATCTGAGCATCTGAGATCTGACCAGATACCATCCCCAGCATCCCTGCACACGGATAATCTGCACAGAGGGGCAGAAGAGAGAAAACAGGGGGATAAGGAAACTCTTCAGAGCGATACAGAAAGGTTTCTGCATCCTTCTATCGTTGATTTACTCTGCGGTGTAAGTCGATGCTCTCTGGAGGCTCCTGCAGTGTTTAAGCCTGAGAGTAAAAGCACCAAACTCATTTATTACAGTAAAGAAAAACAATCAAAGCTGAAGCCTGTGAGGGTCGATTCATTTCTGCAGAAGAGCAAAAGATTTCTGGACTGAATATTCTGCCGTGAAACATGATCCTTTTACTTTCTCTGCTGTTTGAAAGGCCAAGTTTGAAACCAGCAGCAGCAACAACAGCGGCGGCTCTGCTTCAAAATATGCAGCTTTCTCAGTGGGTGTTCGGAACAAAAACAGCCCCAGGTGAGGACATTCACAGGCTGCTCTGAGTCAGGTACCAGTGAGGAGTCCAGATTGAACACCAGATCCTGTAGAACTCATTTCAATAACACCGGGAGGGTCTTCACATCGAGGAGAGGTCATCCTCAGGTCAATGGTTTTCGCCTTATATGAGCTAAACAACTGAGCTTCACTTTTGAGTGACATGAATTCATGAATACTGGATTTCTACGGGCTGTAAAGTTCTGATACCAGAGCTCTAAAGACGTCCGACCCGGTCTGAACTCCATAAAGATTTACAGATCTTTGTTCTCTTTCTGCTGCTTTTACTCAGAGAAGAAAACATGAGATTAAACTCTGTAAATAACAGTGTGTTTGTTATGTCATTAAAACTGAACTGTCTCTTTATAAGTTGTGTCTTTAATCTGTTTTAATATTCGATTTAATGACATGAAACCATCTAAATCCATCCTGGCTTTTTTGGAATCTGAATATATTTGCTTTTTCCAGCATGTTTTACCGTTCCTGTGAGGACATGTCGCACAGAAACACACAAACGCTCTTATTACCGTTGGGAGTTTTCATGAAAAACACTAAGTTGTATCTTGTGATCCTTAAATCAGCGCCACATCGGACTTTAATCTGATCAAATTCTGAGTTTAAACTCTGGCCATAAAACAAGTTAACCAACTCATAAAAACAGATAAACTTCAGACCCTGTTCTCGTCTCTAAGAGGACATTTGGTGTTAGTCAGCATGTACACACAGACACACACTTATATGACTGTAGGGGGTTTCCATGAAGGAGACTGAGCGGCTGTATGTTCACATTATGTAGGAATTTACATCCTCCAGAGCCGTAAACTCCAGATATAACTCTGAAACATCTGTGAGGAGCACACTGAGACCCGGACTGTCTGAGTCCTGATGTTGGTTATGACTTAGAAGACTCTCATATTTAACAGCTGATTAAACTCCAACATCACAGAGCAGCTCCACTCTCTTTAATCCACTTCATATTCCCGTTTATTTCCTCGTACGTGAGCATCATCAGAGACGGCAGACCGGCCCGCTTGTTTAACAGATTGTCTTCTAACCTCGCGGCCGTCTGCGGCGTCCTCTGCACCAGGCGAGTCTGTCAGTGTCGGGAACCCATGAGACCAGACTTTGAACACTCTCCAAAGATCTGCTACCAGCTGCTTCTTTCAGATGGACACGCAAAGAGTACAGATCCAAGGTTTGAGTATCAAACTCAGAGTTAACAGCAGCAGGAGAGCTCTGGACTGAAACTCCATATTTGGCTTTAACTCTTAAATCTCAGTCTGGATTTCCTTTAAATACCGTTTTTATCATCTTGTTTGAAAATTTCCATTCATATTTGTTTTATTATTATAATATCACAGGTATTAAAACATTTAGGTGGTGAAAGTTGCATAACTGGAGGTTTTGGATCTTTCTTGTTTCTATCATTTGGATTAGGTTATTAGGTTATTAGGATGTTATTAAGGATGTTTTTTAAGTTAGTATGTAGGTTTTTCTTGTTAGATTGAAGCCTGGATATCATGTCTACTGTTTTACTCTATTTACATACAGTGTTACGGCTCACTTCAGGTTATTTTTTAATCCTTTAATAATGAAATAAATCCTCTCTGGAGGTATTTTTGATTCAGGGGAGGCATGTTAGAAAGAAAGATAATGAGTAAGACAGAAACTGAGTTATTTTAAAGCTCCTATAAAGAACTTTTGGTTTGTGTTGACTCTGGCGCCCCCTGTGGACAAACCCTGTCCTGGTCAATCCCTGATCCATGTGGACCCAAACAGGACTTTGACCTGCTAACTCTGTCTGAAGGTAACAGCATAAAGGAACAGAGTTTACTTTATTAAACACGAGTAAACCTGCAAAAACACAAACTGTAAAATCACTTCAAGCTTTTTCACAGACAGTAGAGGATCAACGGTCACTGAATTATATCAGAATTATCAGGAAATCAACCACAGAAAGGAAAAACATGATATATGATACCCAACGCTGCTCTACGGAGTAAATACAGAACAACAGGCTCAATACGGATCCTGTGTGTTTTCGGCTTCAGTCCAGTTTCTCAGCAGGACTCTTCTACTACAGAGCCATGCTGTTGTAATCCCTGCAGAATGTGGTTTAGACCCGAGTTCAGATAACTGGTTGGAACCGGTTCCAAATTATTGAGATTCACGGATACAATGAGGGCCGTAAGTTTCAGTTCTACTTTTCAGTCCCTGACAGTAAGATACTGTAAATCTCCCAGAATGCAGTCCACATCAGATCGACAGGGTTTATCGATCTGTTGTGCATCATCAGGTCAAAGTTGTGAGAAGAGGATCATGGGGGATTACTGTACCACTTACACGTTCACAAACACAGATGAGCTCACACGCAGGTTTATTTTTAGGTGAATGAGTCATTGTTAGAAACTCGTCCAGAGGGACCCCCTTCACCTCTGCCTCCTACAGAGCGTCCCCGCGGTGCAGGACTCACATTAGTGGACAACATGAGGAGGGAGACGGTGTGATGAGGTCTGTGGTGGAGGGGGGGACACCTCTGTGTGGCGGCTGAATCAACAGCAGGTCTGCAAAGAGCTTTAACCGAGGACTCTTTAACACGTAAATAATCGACTCAGACTCGTATCGGTAAGTTTTTATGATTCACGAAAGCAAAGAAGAGCGTCGCTGACATGACTGAGGATTTTCATATCGTCATTTATAACAGCTGAAACCGGTACGAGGAGAAACAGCTCCGTTTTTGAGACCTAACGCTGTCCTGGTGTTCTTTAAACGTCCTTGAAATGACAGAAACAAACGAGGGAGTTAATTCTCATGTTTTACTTCAGAGTGCGGTCTGGCACTGATTTAGAAATTGGACCAGATTCAGGTGAAACGAGGATAAAGTCCAAGGTTCTGTTTCGTATTTAACATTTTCACACACACACATTTTCGCGCTCGTGTCATTATATCACCTGAATCACCTGTCTAGCACTCTACAGCCTGTTCTCCTATGAGTAAGAGCCTAATATCTACTTTATGGAGCTCTCCTACTGAGAGTTGCTTGTAGCACATCAAGGGCTGAGGTTTATATAATGTTAGAGGATGAGTAATGAGGCAGCGTGATTTTCCTGCGCCGCTCCGGAGTGAATAACGGCGTCCTTCTGTGGGAGTTTGGGCTCGCCTTGGAAGCGGTGATTATTTTAAATCAACAGAGAGCAGCAGGAGGTTCTCATCCCGCCGCCAAAAAGATGTTAGTTTGATTCACGATGTGTAAAAGCGAGAAAATGTTGTTAAAAGGGTCGGGGAGAAAGAACAGTCGAACGGAGCCAGAAGCAGGTAGAACTTTTGAGGGAACGTCCCCGACTGTCACTCATCCCTTTAAAACTTTACTCTGTTTCATGTTAAAGTTTCTTCTTTAATATAAAAAGGTCTGTTTTAGAGGTCTGCTTTTTCTTCAAACCCTCTTAAAACACTTTGAGGTTTGTTGATTTTTCTGTCGTTTCGAGGTCAGGCTGTGGAGCAAAGAGAAAGAACACAAAGTGCTTCACTAAATAAGAACAAAAAACAGTAAAAGAGACGAAACTCAGACCTCGAAACGAAAGAAAATCAACAGGTGGGTGCAGTAGTGGACTTAAGAGGGGTCATCATCCCTGGTGCCCTCATATCTGAAAAAAGGCACTTAAGTGCTTTTAAAGTAAAAAATAAACTTGTAAAGTGACACTTTTTCGAACCTGTATCCTGTCAATACAAGCGTTCACATCAGCAACGTTTCCCCGTCCTGCGATACTGTGGCATTTATTTTTTGCATCATGGTCGATTTTTCTAAAGTTTCAGATACTGTGTGTCCACTTCTGACCAATCAGATTTCGTGTTGTTGCAACGTCAGATTCACCGGTATATCCAACATGGCTGACCGGCTGATCATTTACGTGTCGGAGAACAGAGTGATTTTTGATAAAAGACACAAATATTACAAAGATAACGACCTGAAGGACGACTTGTGGAGAGTCACAGCGTCGGATTTCTCATATTTCTCGAACACTCAGTCTGCTGTTGTGTCAGTCTCCTCTAAATATTTTGTAATTTTGCGTCGTATATTTGCGTCGTTCCCAGTGTGTAAGGACCTTAAAAAAAGGACCTTCTTATTGCTTCACGGTTAACAAGGTGCCCTCTGGTTGCTATTTTGTTTTTTTTAAACAAAGTACCCCTCAAAGGTCAAAATGTAAACAAAATGCACTTTATAAGTAAATATAAGGAAAATAAAGTATTTTTAAGTTGTATTTTTTTGTGCCACTTTGTAAATCAAGTGCCCTCTGGTTTCTTTTCAGTGAGTAATATGTATAAAAGTTCCCTGTAAATGGTTTTTGTAAATTAAATCCTTTCTAGTAGATAAAATGTAAACAAAGAGTCTTTTTGTTGCTTCTTGGGTCGATAATGTAAAAAGTTGTAAAAAGATGGTTTTAAAAGTGTTTTAATATCTGTTTTTATGACCTTAAAATGATGTTAAGTGTTTTTAGTCTAAATTTTCTTTTTGACTTTTGTTGCTTGTATTTTTTTTTTATGATTATAAGCCCGAAACGTTGGTCACATGCTGTTTCTAAGCTGCAGTTCAGCCTCCTGCCACTAGGCGTGGCTGTAGCTTCAGTTAAAGACATAAACCCAGGAATATAAAAACTCTTGAGTGTTACCTGACGTTCTGCAGCCGTAGATCTCAAAGCGCATACAGATGCCTTGCTCCCAGGACATGGGTCGGATCCGGATGTAACGAGCCAGAGTCTGTTTGGGGAGGTAGGCCAGGACCTCGTCTGTCGGGTTGTGGTTCCCCTGGAAGATCTGAAGTACAGAAGATACAGGAAAACATCACAAATCAGCGTTTCTTTTACTATGTCCCCTTTTCTATTTTTATCAGTCACCTGCAGGGGATGCAGCGGTTTTCCACATCAGCTAAATCCACGGCTTCAGTTCCACAGTGGCCTACTTCTCAAGCAGGAATCTACCGTATTCTCTGTATCGTAGAATCTAACTACTCTGTTTATTCACTGTTTCATGTCCATTTGTGCCCCAGCTATCACTAAGTCACTTAATAAGAAACATTGGACGCTGCCTCTGTATTTATTTTGACCAGCGTCACTCTCAGACCCGTTTCAGATGGTAAAGTTGGATTTTATCAGACTCTCAGTCGAGGCTCCGATCAGAGATTCTGCCAAACGCTGTCAGCCTTGAAAAAAACATTGATTCAGCCGCCCACACCTCTCTCCCATTCATCAGGATTCAGAGCCTGTCTTAACTCATCAATATTAGATAAGTACGGGGTTGTTAAAGCAAGAACTGACTCATCATTACCTTCTGCTTTGAGCCCTCCTTCACGGTGACCCAGTCCTCCCCCGTGGAGCTCACGTCCACTTTGTAAGAGCGGACGTAGTAGTGCTTCTTGGTCTCCTTGGAGATCGCTCCCTGTGTCCCGACGGCGGTGACGAACCGGAGGAACCCCAAATCCACCTGGAGGAGGAGAGAAAGCGCAGTAGGGTAAGGGTGAGAGAGAAATCAAACAGGATTATAGGTGACTATGGAGGTGGACTTAAGAGGGGGTGATCACTCCTGGTGCCCTCATGTCTACAAAAAGACACTTAAGTGCTTTTAAAGTAAGAAAAACCTTATAAAGTGACACAGCCCGGTGCACTTAAGGTAGAAATCACATGAAAACTGTCCTTGTAGATACCCTGCCAGTGAAAAAAAAAGTAAACTGATTTTAACTTTGTTGGTAAATTAATTGTAAACAAAGTGCCCATCAGAAAATAGAGTGGAAAAGGGGCCTTTGTATTGCTTTAGTCTTAAAAAAATACCCAAAGGTGCCCTTTAGTCCTTTATAAGTAAAAATAAGGAAAATAAAGTGTTTTTAAGTTGTATTTTTGTGCAAGTTTGTAAATCGAGTGCCATCTGGTTTCTTTATCGTACATAGCATGAAAAAAAAGATCCCTGTTAATGCTTTTTGTAAATTAATTCCTCTCAAGTAGATAAAATGTAAACAGTCTTCTTGTTGCCTCTTGAGCAGATAATGTAAAAAGTTCCCCTTGATACCCTTTTTTCCAATTAAATACAAAGTGCTCTTTAATAGAAATAATGTAAACAAAGTCCCCAGTTGCCTTTTTGTTTATGATGTGTAAACACACCACCCTTTATCTGGTAAACTGTAAACAAAATGCCCTCTTGCTCATTGTATTAGTGAATAGATTGTAAACAAAGTGCTTTCTGGTTCCTTCTTTGTCAAATTAATGTAAACAAAGAGCTCTTTTATGGTTAAAATGGAAACAAAAGTCCTTCTGGAGGCTTTTGTAGTGGGAAAATACTAAACCAAGTGCGATCTGGATACTTTTCTGATATCCAATGTAAACAAAGTTCCCTTTCATGAATTAATTGTAAACAAAGTGCCCATTGGAAGATAAAATTTAAACAAAGTGTCTTATCTTTGCTTTGGTGTAAACAAATTGTGCCCTCTGGTGGGTATTTTGTGATGTGTAAACAGAGTTCACTTCAGTAGATCAAATGTAAACAAAGTGCCCTCTCTTTACTCTATAATGAACAAAATACAGACAAAGTGCCAAAGTGATTACTTTGTTAGTGGTCCAAATATCAACATACTAGCCTCTAGTTCCTTGTTTAGTAAATTTAAGGAGAATAAAGTGCTATTAATTTCATTTTTTATGTAAACAATGTAAACAAAGTGCCCTTTTGTTGTTTTAATGGACAGATTGTCAACAAAATCCTGTGTAGTTCCTGATATCTAACAGAAATGAGAGTTCAGTTTTTATGGCTTTGAATCAGACTCACTGTGGTCGGTCATAAAATTCTGTTTGTTCAAGGTAAATGTTAATTAAATAGACAATCTGAATCAAAACGTGTATTTTCATCAGTCGGGGAACTTCAGTTTCTCCATGTACCATTGAGTACTGGTTAAACATAATGAGACAATGAGTATCATCCTGCAAATTCAACACTGACTGGTATTGTTTGAAGCATATGGGGAAGGAGGCTGGGCTCTCGTTAATTAAAGTGTGATCCGTCCGTAAGTAGACAGTGAAAAATCAGAGCAGCACACTGGAGAGATAGGCTACCCCATTTTTTAAGACAACCGCCTCTCCCGCACAGAACTCAAACCTCTTCAGGAACATTAAACACTCAGTATGAACTCCTCTGCTAAACTGCTGACAAGCGTCTACAGTCATGAGTATTCTCCTTCATCAGTTTCTCTCCCACTTAGTCCTGGAAAGACGAGGTGCTGACGGTCTGGAAATCCTCTCCATCATTTGAGTTTTCATCGCCGCTTTGATATAAAACCCTGAGGTTTCTCTAGGCTGTGAAACTTACAGTGGGAAGAGAGAGGACCTGAACGTGGAGGTGGATGAAGAGGTTCGTGTGAGTATGATGGAGGTCGTAGATCGAGCTCTGACGTCGGTCTTCTGTATGTTTGGAGAACAAAAGGTTAGAGCAAAAACTAAAGATTCAGAAGGAGTGTGATTCAGCAGAGCAGAGCTGCCAGCAGCTTCGGCTGAAGAGGAAAGACCTCAAACAGTCTCCAAAGTGGGCGCTGTGGTTTTGGGATGTGTCTAAAAAGCCCACTTAACAGCCCTGATAATGTGTCTGCCCAGAATCCATCACCTCCCAAACACCGGAGCGGGTTCGGATCAGAGCTCAAACCTTTTATCCCGACAGACAGCGCAGAAATCAGAGACGGCACTCTGGATTATAAAATAACATCCCGTGTTTCTAAAAACTGTGTTCCTTTTTAGTCCATGAATCAGTCCTTTCCTAGAAGAGGACAGAACGTGACACGGGATTGAGGTCACGTGTCGAATTCGGCCTGTTGTGTCAGGGTTACACACATGAGGTCTGAGCCGTGAGCCGCTGATCCACCAGGAAGTCCGAAAGACTCTGTTTTCAGAGATACCGAGGAGTGTGTGTGTGTGTGTGTGTGTGTGTGTGTGTGTGTGTGTGTGTGGCATCTAACTCATTTAGAGCATACCAGGCAGCCAGAGTGTGTGTGAACCAGCTAAGGATCAATTTTACGGTTGTCCGCCCGCATCACTAATGACTAGAGTGTGACCTGTGTGTGTGTGTGTGTGTGTGTGTGTGTGTGTGTGTGTGTGTAACCCTCTGGATTTAGAGGTTGAGTTAAGCTAACAGCAGATTTTATAAGAGGAGCTGAGAATAAATAAGGATTAAATATTTAACAGCTGGGTTTAAAAAGTAGCTGCATGACATCAGGTCGAGTTTGTGGCTCTACTTTAAACATCGAAGTTGAACACTAACGATTTTAGATATAAGTGAGCTCGATTAGAGAAAACCACACATTTTTCTGTATATATATAGAACAGAGGAGTCAGCGTTAGCCTAGTGGTGAAGCCGTGCTGGTGCACACTTATGTGGTGCTGTCAGGATGACTGTTTAGTTTAAAGCAGATTTACCTGTTACCTGCTGGTTTTACCTGTAGGTGGGGACTAAGCTACAATCTTTAGGAAAGTTAGTACTATTTGTGTCCACTAGATGGCAGTATTGATATGACATAATTGTACATACACATGAGTTCAGGCCAGGAGCTTCATCAAACTTGTGAAATAGGAGCAGATTGGATATTGCACGCTCAGGTTACTGGCATGTATTTCCACAGGGTGGCGCTATGCTAAAGGGATGGACTCTGATCATGTGTGTGAGGTTTGAAAGAGATATGACCGAGCAAACTTAACTTTCTGTTACACGGTGAAAAGTCACAGTTCGACTTTAAAGTACAGAAAACGCTTCGATAACCTAAAATCATCAATTATTGATTCTCACAAGAGCTTCAGGGAAGGTTCAATCATATTTGTACCGTGAAAAATTACTAAAACTAGACATACAACTCAAATGTCTGGACTTCTTGAAGGGATCAGAGGAAAGGATTTTATTGGTCTGGTATGATACACATGACCAGCAAGAGTCATGACGTGAACGTGTCCTCCTCCCCAACACTAGGGGGCGATATGGATCTTTTCAGCGGCGCTGTTTCCGACCCCATACAACCGTCAACAACAACAGCAGGTCGGTGTCAGACGTCAGAAGTGTCTACAACTGCTGCTGGGCATTTTGGAGAAACAAGAAGATGGAGCATCGTACAGCGTTGTTTTTGTCCGACATGATGGACGCGCTACTTTTTCTAAAGATGAGATGTACGCTACTCGGACGAACGCACACATGCATTGTCCGATCATACTCCGACTACGCTGGTAGAGAAAATCGAACTCCAATCGCATTATCTGGGTGTCTTAATCGAAGTTCTTAAACTCTGATTATTGTCGGACTAAGTTGTTTACATGACCTTCAGTTGCCCGGTCTTAATCGGAGTAAGGCGATAATTCGGTTTTCTCAAGTGTCATGGAAACGTACTGAGTGATTTAGTAAAAACTTTGACCTTGACAGCACAGAGGTGTAGCCGTTTTTCCCATCCCGTCTTAGAGTGAAGCTAGTCTAAAAACATCCTTTTATCGCTCCGAACAAAATAGCGACTAATCGGTTAACTTCATCACTTCATCTGGCTTTGGTTAGTATAAGAAAGTCATGTTTTAAGGAAAGTCTCAGGGGGTTAAGAGTGAAAAGGACTAAATAAAGTAACAAACACATCTACATGTTTTAGATCTGGACACAGAGGTTGTTTTAGCCGTTAGCTCGTCCTGTTTCTTCTCCACGGCAGCTTACAGACAGAATTTAAAGAATAAAGCCTTTCAAAGATCGTGATTTTAGGAATAACGCTCCGGATTCAAAGCAGTTAGCTGTCAGGGTTTAAAACAGCCGACATTTCTCAGCTCGGGTGGCTGACGGGGACTTTCCCAGATTGATTACGTTAGCAGACTGACTCAGTTCATTGTGTTGATCCTGATCGAGTTTGAGCTCTTAATTTACAAACTCACTTACAGAGACTCAGACACACTTAAAATAGAGACAGCCACATAAAACATCTGCTCTGTAAAGTGATTGGATTTAGTTTTCAGTCTCAAACACACTTAAAGAGACTCAAGTTTGACTTGTTCAAAGCGTTTCTTGAAATAAGTTACTCCGAGGGTGATATTATCAAAAGTTTCAGCTCCACTTTTTTTTCCGTTTTCTTATGAAATTATGATCAGAGGGCTACATAAGAGATGAAAAAGCCTTCCTCAGATGGCCGAGGCACTTTATCTCACTTTAGCGCAGAAGTGTTCAGATATAAGGCAGATCAAAATACTTGAAAAGAGCAGAGATAAGAAAAAAGATGAATATAAAAAGATCACAATCATCAAAGAGCGAGCGCTGCTGCAGTGCCACATATGAGCTTTCTGTCCACACTGATAAAAACAGAGTTATTCTGGGATATAGGAAGCAGCTCCATATGTAGTTATCAAACTGCACCAGAGCATGAAGTGGATCAATCTGTTTGTATAAGCGTGACTCCAGTTTAGCTCTGAACATCCATCCTAAACAGAGTGGAGTCTGTGAGTGAAATAAACACGCTGTGGGATTCCTGTGATATACAGCAGGCCGTGTAATTACACACCAAACAGACGTCGCTGCTCTGATATTGTACATGTGAAGAGACCAGAGGCCATTATTTAACTCCCCCCTCTGTTGCTTTTTCAGGACAAGAGGAGAAAATAACTTCTGGTGGGTCTGCTGTGCGGGCTGACAGGAGACCACTGGGAGAACATGTTTCATGGGATCCCTCGGCAGCTGCGTCCTAAATGCAAATTCCCACGAGACGTATCCCACACATGCTGGATGTGACAAAGACAAAGTATTTCTTATTTTGGTTTATCGTCTCTTCATTCACAACAACCAGAAAGCGCTCCTTATATGATCATCCAAGTGATGGTAAAAGTTTACGATATTTCTAATTCTTTAAAATAAAATCGATGAAACTTTGATTTATTCGCTCTCTGACTGCTAACTGCCCTAAAACAGTCTCAGACATCCAATCAAAGCTGATCAGGAGCTATGAAAGAAGGGTTTAGTGCACGTTGTGGTGTAGCAGGTAATAATTTGTCGCTTGTCAAACTCTTGGGAGTTGCTATGACAACATCCAAGTTTCCCAAAAGTCAAAAATTATGGACTTCCTGTTGGTTTTGTGATACGGGTCCACATCAGCCCACTCAAGTACACCATCAAACCTGCTCTAAGAGCGGAATTTTGAGGCTAAATGATCAGTTAAGGCCACGCCCACTAATCGCACCTATTTCAAAGATCAGGGTTTAGCATGGACCTGAGCGCTCTAAAGGGGCGTCGGCGTTAAGGTCTTTGGATGGACCAGAAGCATGTTGAGGAAGTTTGGTCGACCTGACAGGATCTGACTGTCGTACAGATATGTTGACGTCGGGCTGAGTTTAATGTTTAATGAGAAGACGTCATGTCTGAATCGAAATTCAACACACCGCCGTGACCACGCCCCCTTTAAGAAAATCACAGTTTCAGTGCCTATAAACGCCAACATGTGAAGGACAATCTGAGCTCAAGTCATGCAGATATCCTCACCAGGAAGATAGGGGTTAGCATGACATCTTCCTGCTGCCACTAGAGGGCACTATGACTGTAATCAAGTATGACTTTATTAATGTGGGTTTTGGTCGGATTGGAGCATGCACGGCGGAGATAAAGTGACTTCCTGTTCCATGGCCAATCATTTCTGCACCCGTTGTAACAATCTCAGACTTTTGGAAACTTTAATGTGTTCGTTATATTCTGTGAATACTTGAAGTTGATTGGATGAAACCTCAGAACTAGTTTGTTTGAATATAAACCCTAAAAACAGGGCAAACCTCTACAAGAAGGATTTGTGGAAACCTTTAGAAGACGTTATGGAGCAGTATTTTGATTTGGCAAACAGATTAAGATCCTAACCCCCAATTTTCACCGCATTCGGAACAGCTCTGATCTGAAACAGCAGCGATTTTGGCCGTCCACCAATTCCTACCGGATCTGTTGGTGAGGCGAATTTCGTGGCAGGTTATGGACGGCCGGAATCGTGAGGACTCACAAGAACCTGCGGATTCACGTTCAATCGCTCTAAAACAAGTTGTCTCTTTAGCCACATAGACATATAAGCAGTAGATTGTGTCCTTCCAGAGGAGGAAATCTACTTCTAGACTTCTAGAATCAGCATCTCCTCATCCATGGTGTCATCGGGGTGAAATGACGTCTAAAAACCTTTCACTTGTTCGTCTCCGCCCGTTTGCATGGTGTGAAATACGATCCTCCTGAAACATGAAGTGTTTTATTTTGAAAAGAAGCCGGATGTTTTATTTTGTGTCTGTGCCCGACTTCCTTTCCAGCACGGGTTAATCTGTGCTGAATTTATCCGCCATGCTCCGGCGTCCAGAAAAAATAGAACTCTTGTGATCAGCCGAGGAGTCCGGCGATCCGCAGAGGAACGGAAAGAAGTCGATGTAAATTGACACGTTAACTTGAATGGTTACGATCAGCTACGATCGGAGGATACGACCTTTTCGTAGATGTTCTGGATGCGGTGGAGATTGGGGGTAAAGGGTTAAAGAGGGTCCTCACCCTTCTGTGGCCCTAACAGGTATCAGATGTCACAGAGGTGGATTTAAACAGGTTGATGATTTTTACATATTTCTCCGTGGCGCCCTCTCTCCTGACTCCCTCCATCGAACGTTGAAGGCTAAACGCTCCACCTTCTTCTGATTCCTCTTCGTTTGGCAGTGCCCACATTTACGCCCCAGAAAATAGTCACACTTGGAGCTTTTTTAATGAAGGGAACAAACAGCAGGAAGGGGATATAATTCAGTCTAGTGTGGCTAAATGAGATTGAACAGCAAACACTGCTACGTCCTGCCAAAACAGGAAACTGCTTTAGCACTGATAGTAAAAGAAAAGAGCCTCAGTGAGTCCGCTCTCATCTGAGGCTCTGTGTTTATTTAAGAAAGCGCCGTTTCTCCGGGGGAAGCAGAGGCTCATGGGAGAGAAGAAATCACTGAATTCTCAAGCTCTGAACAGAGATAAAGACGTGTTTAATTTTAGAGAGTTTGATCCTTAAAATTAAACGTTTGTTAAGACGAGGTGAGGAGGCAACAGGTTCGAAATGTGAGTATGAAAAGGGTTTTCTGGAGGGGGTGGATGGGAAAAGTCTAAAACTCTGTGGTGGGAGTCACCACACAGAGGCTCTAAATCTTACTGGACAGACCTATATCCCCTAAACGACTTTACTCTACAGTTAACTGAACCGCTGAGCTTTGTGAAAACTGAGTTGGAGCTCATAAACTCGGACTGGATGATCAAATGTTTGTCTTTGGCTTCAGGGGGTTTATTCTGTTTTATTGACGGTGACTTAACTCCAGTTTCATCACAGTTTCGTCTTCGCGGAGGAGACTCAGATTTACGATCGAGAAAAAGCCAAAAACGTTGAAAGAAACCTCCAACGTTTCCTCACATGTTGGTCTCTGCGTCTATAAATCTGATTTGTGTTGTGGTTTCTCTCGGTTATTGTTGCAGCTGAGCTCTGGGAGTCCACTTCTTCATCCCTCCAGAGGTCTGCTCTGGATAATGAAACCGTTTAAAAGTCTCCGGAGGATCTTTTGTGTCACGGTTTCCCTCCTGACCTCTGTTTCAACAACACAAGGCCTCAGATCTGTTCTCCAGATGCAGGTCGCTGAGCTCTTCCTGGTGGCGTCAAACAGATCCTCAAGACAAACGGCGCTGAGGTCTATAAATACCTGGAGTCAGGAAGTCTTTCCTGGGCTTACATCACGGGATTCAATAACAGGAGAGTTTACTACGGACCTGAGGGACGCGCTCGCCGCTCAGCTGTGTTTGACATGCTGTCCTCTCTGTCTCGTCTCATCAGACTTTATCGAGCTCAAGAGTCTTTGAGTCGATTTAATTTAATTCAAACTTTAATTTAAACTTTTTTCTGTTTGTTCTGTTTCCTCGGCAAAAGTTTGAACTCAAATTAAACAAGGTTGTAACCACAAATTCAGTTTGAGTTGATTCTGGCGCCCCCCTGTGGACAAATACTGCATTTTTAGTCTTTAATGGTTAAATCCAATACATATGTAAATCCTGTTTTAACTAACATCTCCATTTATTTCATTTTAACACTGAAACTCTTCGCCATATACGATATTTAAAAATGGCTTTCTGGTCATCGCAGTGATCCAGTGAGAAAGTTTTAGTTTTTGTTATATTTGGTGCCCCCTGGTGGACAAGGTGAAAACTGCTAAATGTCTTTTAACAGTGACAATTTTATTCACATAGGGGATTTTTGTTAATTAACCTCTTTTTACAAGATTAAGACAGGATTAGTTATGGTATTATTTTGTCCACAGGGGGGCGCCAAAATCAAGACAGACACAGGAGCTTTAAGTATGGATATACTCATATTTTTCTGACTAAAACTCACTTAAACTCATGAAAGGAATCAGTTCTTTATAAATTTATTTTCATTTACAGTAGATTTATCCTTTTTTATGTCATTTTAATTTAAACTTCCATCAAAAATCATTTTACATGGCAGGGGAAGTTTTTTAAAGCTGATTTTATGATTATCTTTTTGTTCTTGTTCCTTATTTGAGATTTTTTTGGACACTTTTATGTCATGTGTAAGTTTGAAATGAACTTAAAAGGCTTTAAAACTTCAAATTCCTCATCTATATTTATTTGAGCTGCTAAAACTTGTGAATCTGCTTTGACAAATATGAATTAATTTGTAATTTTCACATCTGAACCTGCATAAAAAGCTCCTTTTACTGAGTTCAGCTTCCGTATTAATATATATTTCAGACTTTTATGTCAGTGTTAAAAGACACTGTTTTAAAAGTGAATCTTTGACTTGGTTGAGCCCTTTCCTTTTTAAAATGTTCATTTTTGAAATTCTAATATTTCAGATCTGTAATTTTCCCATTAAAGCTCAAACAAAAGTCTGAATTTACTCTGTTTCTGCAGCGGTGACTCTCCCGTTTATCACTCTGTCTTTCTGTGCGTTGGTAAAAATGTGTTTTTAGATCTGGAAGCTGTTCTTTGGTTGGAAAAATCAAGCGTGCTGATGAAGTGAGTCACCACCATGCAGAATAAGATTAGAGATTTATCATAAAGCCAGATAATAATGAGGTGGTGGAGCGGCGGTCCAAATTGCCACCGGGTAACATCTCCCTGACAGCATTATGAATAGAAACCTGGAGACGGTGTTAACGGAGGTATGTGGTATTAATATACGAGCGCCTTTAGATGACTAATGGAGGTGTTTGCAGTGGAGGAGGCAGGCGTGCAAAAATTAACGAAGTCATAATTTCTGCTCAAGTAAGACGGATGAAGAGCCGGAGAGCTCGCCACGAAACGCACTCCATCGTATAAAAGAGAAAAGTCGAGAGTCAGAGGCCTCACTGAGTCCAGAGTTCAGGTCCGGAGGGAGCGGATCAACGCGTGACCCCCTGAAAATTTCCAGAAAACTTCAGGACACCCTTCCTCAAAGCCGAACGCTGCTCTTTTTCTGTTATTTCAGCTCTTCCTCGAATGTTTAACCTTTTTATGGGAGTATTTATTCCCTGATGTACGTGTTTATGTCTTTGACTCACTCTCCCTGACTCATCCTGCTGCGATTGTATAAATCAGAGAGAGACTCACGGGGGAGGAAGACGGGGAACTGTAGATTCTCAGGATTGTGAGTCAGATTGTTTTGCTTTCTTCATTGTTACGGTTATAATGCTGCGACTGGATGTATAGATATTAGTTTAAGATGAACACCTGCAGTCCATGAAAAAAGAAGTGAAAAGTAGGTCGTTTGATTCAACTTCTGTTTATTTCTGTTGATTTAAACGAGTTTTATTCCTCTCACTGATCGAACTCTGTGATTTATAATTATTTTATATCATTAATATTAATTCTCTTTGTTTTTGTTTGTTATTTGGTCGATTTTTGATAATTTTTTTTCTCACTGATTTTTTGATTTGTCATGATGTCAACGACAGATGGGAACGATGTGTTTTCATTAATAAAGGTGATAGTAATATCAGCTGTATGAGGGCTGATCTATACACAGATACAGGATAATTGATTACCATGGATTTCATTATGATAAGGTACAATGAGGTGATTCAAGAGATAATGTTTTTTTTACTACATGATACAATATATTAAGATAGTTTTGATACCAGATGATGATATACAATATTTTAAGACACAATATGATATTTTAGGAAAATTCCGAAACAATGCAATAAGATACGATATTTTTTAGATACAATATTTTAAGATAATTCCGATATGATGCAATAAGATACAATATTTTAGGAGGCGATATTTAAGGATATTTTATTTAAAGATACAATAAAACATTTTAGGACAATTCCGATACGATGCAATAAGATACGATATTTTTTAAATATGATATTTGAAGATAATTCCGATGTTATGCAATAAGACACGATATTTCAAGATACGATACAACACTGTATCTTACTTAACTTAACAATATGAGATGATACAGTTTGATACAATACTATTTGATACGACACAATAGATTTTGTGACATGATGCAATAGGATACAATACTTGTTAGGGTATGATATGATATTATACTTATCGATTTTATAAGATTCATGTTATTATTAAACTGTTCAGAAGTCGTAGCGCAGACATGGAGGTTATATCTGTTGGTGTCAGAACCAAAATAAAAATCTTGTTTGATATTTTTCCTGTAATTTTCCAGAACAAACTCTAAATGAAAAACATCTTAGTCAGACTAACTCTGAGTTTTGACCCCTTTAGTGGGATCAAACCTGGTCTTTCTATCATCACAGCCCCAGCAGGTTCAGCAGCTGAAACAAGTCCCCAGACAGACAATAGAGAGACGCTGCTACTAATTTGGCACCGAGGTTGTCTTCCTGTGTACTTCCTGTTGTAACTCTCAGGAAGGAAGCGAGGGTCTGTCTTTAGTGCGAGGGACAATGTGAGTCTTCCTCTATGAGTTCCTGTCCTGGACAATGGGACAGTCCTGGACTTCAGCCGCACCTCACCGGCACGTCCAAGTATGTGATCTACGTTAGAGTTAACCGACAGACAGGAAGTTCAACTATTTTATAGAGTTTGGCTCCGACGAGAAGAAATAAGAGTTACTGAAATGATGTCGTCGCTTTAATTCAGTGACGTTTGCTTCAATCAGGTGTTGTTGTACCGATCGTTTGTTGTCAGGCTCGTCGACAGAGTTAAGAGTCATCTTTCCTTCTCTCCTCGGGTGTATCCTCTGTTATAAAGAAGGTAACAAAGCTCCTTTCCTCGTCGTTTAGAGGATTCAAACTGCTCTTATCAGAGACGTTGGGCTGTTTCTAATCAAAAAGCAGTCCTTGAACGCACCACGTTTGATTCATGATCTGCCTGAAACTCACCGGACACTAAATCCAACTTCTCTGAGTAAAAACGAGGAGCTTAAATCTGCCAAATTAAACCTGCGGTGGAGTGGTTTAGATAACTCCACCACAGACCGCTTTGTTTGATTTCACAGTGAGTGTAAGAAAATGTCAGATTTTAATGAATAATTCACGCCGCTTCATTTCTTTCTCTCGATAACGTGCGGAGAAAACGCTTCGACTGAGTGAGCAATATTCAGACCAGATGTGCGGCAGATCTCGGAGGTGTAGTCAGGTTCAATCGGAGGAGCGCCGTCAGCAACACACGTGCGTTATGAGCTCAGACTGTGAAATGAGGAGCGATGTGACATGAGTTCAGATCCCCCTGACTTTAACGAAGCCGAACAGCTCTGACCTGTATCCACTCCCTGACGGTGTCGTCCGAGGGCGTCCAGCCGTTCTCCGGGTAGTTGAGACGTGATCTTTCAGGAGACCAGTTGGAGTTGTACTGGGAGGAGGCGGTGATCTGCTCGGAGGAGATCTCCCCTGACTCCATCCCCATGGGCTCCAGACAGGCGAATTCTGCAAAAGACAGAGAGACCCCGTTAGTGAAGCTGCAGAGCGCTGCAGGACTCGAGTGGGTCGGGTTTAAATGATGCAGAGTTTGAGATTTCATTTCATTTCATCTGCTGCAGGTTTTTAGGTTCATTAAAATGAGAGGAAATTAAATTAGTGGATTAATTTTGCAAAATCACAAATTTGGAGGCTTTTCATCCAAAATTAAAGGTTCAAAATTAGGTTTCATGTGTGTCTTTAAATACCTTTTGGGGTGTGAAGTTTTGATGAGTGGATGTGAAATCCAGAGCTGCATCACTCAGAGTCAGGTCAAAAGAGAAATGTTTGTCCTGCTCCTTTAATAGGAGAATAATAATTACAGTAAAAGGTTTATTATAAACATCATTAGCTGGATGAAGCTCGTTTCGCTCCCCGGGTTTTCTCTCCTAATGGGTGAATTTATCTTTGAACTCCAGGGTTTCGGGTCCTGACAGAAATTCCTCCTTTTAAAGTCATAAATTTGAATAAAGAAAAGCCTCGTCGTGAAGTGTTGGACCGGCTCCCCGCTGAGCTCTCGGTCACAGCAGTTAAGGAGTCGTTTCAAACACTTCAGAGGAGGTTTGGAGACGCTGCTCTTTGTAGAAGATTCAGACTCTCACTCTGGATTTATGAGCAGAAGGAAAATAAAACACAGGATCTCATTTGGATTCCAAAAACAGGGTTCGGTTCTGATGAGGCCTCTGCAGACCTTCTTCTTCTTGTTGATGCCGTTGAGATTTAAAGCCAAAGCAGCTCCTCCAACTGTGAGCGTTTATTGCGGCGCTGCAGCTGAGCATGTGCAGAAGTGACCCGACCAGTGGAGCTGCAGGACTGAGGACTGAGACCTCTCAGGTCAGTCCGGTCCTGAACCGTCTCCAGGCGGACTCTTATGGCTGTGGAAAGTTCAGTGACCTTTGTGTCGGGGGTCGTAACTCTTCCTCCTCAGATAAATTAAAGATAACTCTGTTCACGCAGCAGCTTTAAAAACAGGTTTATTTAGGATAGAAATAAGATTATAGAAGAGTAAACAAGCCGATCAATTTATCCAATCACTGTGACCCATGAGATCCAGACAACATCAGATCCCTACAGAGTGAACTGAGACCAACAGGAACGAAAAAGACGGATAATTTAAACTTAGAAAACAACAGGGTGAGACAGAAACAGTGAAGAGAGATGAAGACAGTGACGAGTTTAAAGATTAAAAATGATCCTGTTTCAGGTAAAAAGTTTATAAAGCATAAAAAATAACCTCTAGATGTTTTCCCACTGTAAATTTCCTTTTCAAGAAGTTCAATTTTTAAGCTGCTCCGGGTTAATTAAAGCATAAAAAGTTCTTCTAGATGCTGTTTTAGTTCATAAAGGGTAAAAAAGTTCGTAGTAAAGTAAAAAAAAAAGCTCTTTTATTGTATTTCATGTTAATAAATGTCTCCTGGATAACCTTTTAAAATATAAAACAGTAAAATAAATGAGCTCCTGCAGTATATAGGATATAAAACACGCTCTCTGGCTGCTCTTTCAGGATATTAAACATTCAAAAGTTCCCTCTAAATATCAGATAAGCGTCTGTACACTCAGAACAAAAGACACGTCAAACATCAGATCCACATTAAATATTTACTTTTTTGACCAGCTGTTCGCGACCCACTTTTGGGTCGGGACCCACCAGTTGAGAACCACTGCATTAAATTGCATTATACTGTTATTATTTATTTCTTAATAAAACTGATTAATTTCATCGAGGAGGAACTTAAAATTCTGATGAAAGCTCGTTTCTCAGTGTCTCAGTCTTTCCTCTAACTCCTGCAGATCTGAGACTCTCAGAGCTCTGAATCCTGATCCATAAAGTTCATGAAGTCCGAGTCTCAAAGACAAGGCTCTCCTCTGTCCGTAGGTGGATTCTGCTGGACTTACGAAACCAGTCCTCTAAGTCCAGGTCTGTGTTTTTCTGAGGCCGCTCTGTCCACTCTGGAGCAGCGGGGGAGCGTGGGGAAGGAAAAGGGAGTGGGGAGGAGGGTGAGGGAAACTTGAATGTTTGTGTGGGAGGGCTGTGTGGAGACACAAGGTCTGCCAGACTGACACAAACACACAAACATCATCAGACTAGAGACCTGGACTGAGAGAAACCCTCGATTTTTATTCATGAGACACCCTCAGAGTCTCATCACAGCAGGCATGAGGACCAAACTTCAACCCTGTCCTCCTACCTCTCCACCCAGAGAGAGAGAGAGAGAGAGAGAGAGAGAGAGAGAGAGAGAGAGAGAGAGAGAGAGAGAGAGAGAGAGAGAGAGAGAGAGAGAGAGAGAGAGAGAGAGAGAGAGAGAGAGAGAGAGAGAGAGAGGATGTAAACCCCCGTCCCCCCGCTGATCACCGGGCTGATCAAAGGCTCAGCTGGGGGCCGTTTCTAGTCCTGACGACCGCGACAGAAAAAGAGAAAACTGTAAATTCACGGCAGGATAAGAGAGTTTTATCATCTGAGGCTGTTCGAGGACTCTCACCGCTGCAGCAGATAAAAGCTTGTTTACAACCCGAGTCCTTACGCTGCAGCCCCGGAGCTCTGCAGGACTGACTCACGGGCCCCCTTTTCCCAGGACCGTCCACCAGGTCCTGAATTTATATGAATCTAAAACAAACAGGGTTTCAACGAGTCAAATTTAAGAGGTTTTAAGACTTTTTAAGACATAATGAAAACAATTTAAGATCCATTTTACATCTGTGAAGGGAATCAGAACTTTTTAAACTAACTTCAAATTAATTCTTATTTTTAAGTAGCATCAGTACATTTTTAAGACATTTCAAATTTGTATTTAAGACATTTTATGAGGTTTTAAGATAATTTAAGACATTTTAAGGCCTTAAATTCAAATTATTTGATTTTAAATGTTTTATGACTTTCTGAAAACAGCTGTTTGTCATGTGGTAACAACGTAAAAGGGTTTATTTATTTGAAATATACACTCCGTTAAGCTAGCATCGTTAGCCAACCTGATGACACGACTGTCTGACAGTTATTCTGTTTCAGCGGACCTATTTTATACTCAGTTATTAACTTTAAATGACTTTTTTTCTGGTTGTTTTGACGTCCTTTTGGTTGATCTTTTATGGGCATCATTGATACATGACTTCAGACTTTTAATAAGAGCATTTTTTCACAGATTTGAGCAACTTTTTCAACTTTTTCTAACCCTTCTTGACCATAAATTAATAAATCATCATCTTTTTAACTATTTTTTGTAACTTTTACCAATTCTAACATTTTTTAAGAATATCTAAATGACGTTTAAAGCTGCTGTGAGGATTTTTTGGTAATAAGAAACTCACTGAAATCAATATTAAAGCCTCTTAATGACCCTTAAAAGCAAAGAATTACCCATAGAGTTAGCTTCGATGTCTCAAACTGCTGGCAGAGGTAGGTAACAGCTGATTTTAGTAATTGTGCCACTAAAACAGATTTATTTTCTCTATTTCCACTATCAAAGATTTCCCAAACTCAAAGTTCCTCACACAAATATCATCCCCGAGATACTAATGTGACTTTTTAAGCACTGCTACTGAAATAGACTCGTCTCGTTTTACAGAAGCAGAGCAGAGAGGATAGAAAACGTCTATTTTTCCCAATAACTGGAGTTTAAATCCCTCCATATACCCCCTGGCACCTGCCTCAGCAGCCTACAAGTACCCTTGGCTGGGAATTACCGGCTTATAGCCATCAGAGTGGTTGTAAAATTTGGAGGAAAGATAATGTGATTTAGTTTGGCGAGAGGCTTTAATTCAATCTGCTGAGCTTAGACGGGGGTCTGAAGGCAAAGTAATCGTGTGTGTGTGTGTTTGTGTGTGTGTGTAAAGCTAACATAATTAGAGCTTTGTCTAACACCAGTGCTGCTCCCAGCTATTCCAGTTAAAACAGGAGGGACCCATTTATGTTCAGACATACAGAGTTTGAAACGTACAGACTGTATCCACATTTTATCACCTTGTCATAAACACTCAGAATCACACACACGCACACACACACACACACACAAACACACACACACATTTTCAGCCCGTGGCAAAAACAAACAATAGCAGAGACAAACTGCAGATAATTACACTGACCCCCCCTGGAGAAACGTCGGCATACGTGTTGTTCGGCGGCGTTTTCCAGTCCAGAGGATCCTTTGATGTGACATCAAATATAAAATGCAAATGAGCCGGCGTGTCAGTCGTCCAATGAAAAGAGGGGAAAGGCTGAGTCTTTGTTCGGAGGTTGTTTGTTTGTCAGGGGTAATGAGGATCTCATTCAGATATTTAAACCTCAGAGCGTCGACTAAAATCTCAGAACTTTGACCTTGAGAAATGAGCTGAAGGTCATCTGAGGCGCTTGTGGATAAATGGATAACACATTAAGCTCTAATTAAAATATAGAAAACAAAGAGTGAAACAGTGCGTGCACGAGCATGAGTCAGACCAATCAGTGTGTCTGCTCTCATTCCCTTTAAGAACCAGGTGGACCTGCAGACAGGTGTGTTACTTTTTACACAGCAGATCTACTCAGATGGATCTGGACCCGTTCAGGTCAGACCAACATGTCAAACAGAACCTTGGGCGAAACGTCCCAATTAAGTCCAGTTGTCCTTTTAACGAACAACTCAAAATCATAGATGCTTCTAGAGCTGGGCGATATGTCCTCAAATCAATATCCCGATATATTGATCAGTTCACCTAACTACTCCACCAGCTGCTCACCCCCTCCCACATTAACTTTGTCTACTTCAGCCGCTCCAACTTTTGAACCATCCTCCATCTCTTCACCTGTCTTTCCCTCTTTGTTACAGACTGGATGGGATGGAGTCACGTCTCTGATGTAGGACAGCGTCTTAAAGGGACATGAGACCATAACCTACCTACACACATCCAAAAACAACTTTTTTGACCCTGAATATCCCGACATGAGCAAAATGATGTTGGTTATTGTCGTAAATTTTCGGTTTATCGCCCAGTGAGGCTTGTACATGTATGTTAGGGTCTGTTGTATGAAGTCATGAAGGTGTAAAGAGATTTCCTTGTCTTATACAGTGTGGTCATTAGTAATGTCAGTGAGACTTTCTCTATTTTAAAAGAGAAAATGCAGATTTTGGCTCTTTATCTGATCACTACGGAGCATAAATCTCACATTAAACTGCCCAGCTTACATTCAAATATCAGTGAAATTACTTAAAAGTGAGAATTAAGCTCTTTGTTTCCCTCTAACATGCTTCTGTCAGCTACTGTGGGACCTTCTGCAAACTCACATTCCTGAACCGGGGTCACTGGGGTCGGGGTTACCAGAGTGCAAAAACCATACGGGCCAACATAACTTAAACCTCAGCAGACATCAAACTGGGTCACGTGTTTTTTTCTTCTTCTTCTTAAAAACAAAAGAAAGGCATGAAAAAAAGAAAATGATCAACAGCTCAGCTGTGCGGACATCTTGTTATAATATCCTGGAGCATGAAATCGTCCAAATGTTCAACAGGAGGAGATAAGAGTCAAACTGGGTCAGAGGATGTAAACAGACGTCGTCTTCAATCAGGAGCAGATCACAGATTTCATTTGGAGTCAGAGTGACGAGATAAGACGACAGATTCACAAACTTTAACCAAACAATTGATTAAAAAATATCTTCTTATAACTTGTTTTTGTCCTGCAGGGATCGTCACGCGATCATCAATCAGTCACGGATCAATTACAGGAAATAACTTTGATGGACTTCCTGCAGCTCAAAGTTTGGAGGATTTTCAGAGGATTTATGAATTTATGGTTTTATACATTTAATCACATTGACTGGATCTCACATGAACAAATCCTGTTTTTATTTCTTTTCTTTCTTTACATCCATTATCATTAAATTTAAATAAAACACCAAAATAAAACATAATTCATTATTTGCTTTTTTAACAATGCTGTTTTTATTTCAGTGCAAATTCAATATAAAGAAAAAAGTGATTTTAGAAATTCAGAATATTTGACAACATTCTTAAAATCATTGTTTTAAAATTCTTTTTTTGTGCTTAAAAGCTTTTAACATTTAGTCATTACTGTTAAAATTGTAACAGCCTGTAATTTAAATGAAAAGTTACTCAGACGGTTTTACAATCAGTGCTAACAGTTAGCTAGTTAGTGCAAGTTACCGAACACTGGGGGTAATGTTGGCTACAGCTCACATCAGAGAGACCAAACATTTTCAGTTATCCAGCGCTTTTAGTGCAAATCTGTAAGTGCAATATTCTTGGTGCGTTAGCGAGAAGCTAGCAGCTAGCTTATTCTGCTACAGCCCTGTAGGGAAACTTAGGACATAGGCAAGACTGGGGTGGAAAGGACTTGTTTAGAGCCTCTGAAACTGTTCCTGATTAAAATGAGTCACAGCGTCTTACTTCTACAGTAACATGAGCGAGATGTAAGCTAGCGGTTTCGTTACGTTGTCGCCTTGAAAGCAGATACGCGTTAGCAATAATGGTCGCTGCTCAGAAAAATTAAACAGAGAATTAAATGTTTGTTTTGTTTTATGCGTTCTCCATACTTTTACGATTCAGCTGATATTTGTGTGTCAACAAACAACCGTCAATCGTTTACGAAATTAACGATTTCTAGGAGGGTTTGTCATTATTATTTGAAGTAGAGCGGGAACTCAGTGACCCCGTGTGGGAGAGGGTACAAGAATATCTTTGAAAGGGGCTTTGCTGTTGCTCTCCCTACCTACCTTTGAAACCCGCTTCACACCACCTTCCTACCTTTATAACTCACCTTCCTACCTTTGAAACTCACGTCAGACAACCTTCCTACCTTTGAAACCACCTTGGACCACCTTCCTACCTTTAAAACCTGCTTCTAACAACCTTCCTACCTTTGAAACTCACCTTGGACTACCTTCCTACCCTCGAAACCTACCTTGGACCACCTTCCTACCTTTGAAACCCACCTTGGACCACCTTCCTTCCCTTGAAACCCACCTTTGACCACCGTCCTACCTTTAAAACCACCTTTGACCACCTTCCTACCCTTGAAACCCACCTTGGACCACCTTCCTACCTTTGAAACCCACCTTGGACCACCTTCCTTCCCTTGAAACCCACCTTGGACCACCTTCCTACCCTTGAAACCCACCTTGGACTACCTTCCTACCTTTGAAACCCACCTTGGACCATCTTCCTACCTTTGAAACCCACCTTGGACCACCTTCCTTCCCTTGAAACCCACCTTGGACCACCTTCCTTCCCTTGAAACCCACCTTGGACCACCTTCCTACCTTTGAAACCCACCTTGGACCACCTTCCTTCCCTTGAAACCCACCTTGGACCACCTTCCTACCTTTGAAACCCACCTTGGACCACCTTCCTTCCCTTGAAACCCACCTTTGACCATCTTCCTACCTTTGAAACCCACCTTGGACCACCTTCCTTCCCTTGAAACCCACCTTGGACCACCTTCCTTCCCTTGAAACCCACCTTGGACCACCTTCCTACATTTGAAACCCACCTTGGACCACCTTCCTACCCTTGAAACCCACCTTGACCACCTTCCTTCCCTTGAAACCCACCTTGAACCACCTTCCTACCTTTGAAAACCACCTTGAACCACCTTCCTACCCTTAAAAAGCCACCTTGGACCACCTTCCTACCCTTGAAACCCACCTTTGACCACCGTCCTACCTTTAAAACCACCTTGAACCACCTTCCTACCCTTAAAAAGCCACCTTGGACCACCTTCCTACCCTTGAAACCCACCTTTGACCACCGTCCTACCTTTAAAACCACCTTTGACCACCTTCCTACCTTTAAAAACCCACCTTGGACCACCTTCCTTCCCTTGAAACCCACCTTGGACCACCTTCCTACCCTTGAAACCCACCTTGGACTACCTTCCTACCTTTGAAACCCACCTTGGACCATCTTCCTACCTTTGAAACCCACCTTGGACCACCTTCCTTCCCTTGAAACCCACCTTGGACCACCTTCCTTCCCTTGAAACCCACCTTGGACCATCTTCCTACCTTTGAAACCCACCTTGGACCACCTTCCTTCCCTTGAAACCCACCTTGGACCACCTTCCTACCTTTGAAACCCACCTTGGACCACCTTCCTACCTTTGAAACCCACCTAGGACAACCTTCCTACCCTTGAAACCCACCTTGGACCACCTTCCTACCCTTGAAACCCACCTTGAACCACCTTCCTACCTTTGAAACCCACCTTGGACCACCTTCCTTCCCTTGAAACCCACCTTAAACCATCTTCCTACCTTTGAAACCCACCTCAAACCACCTTCCTCTCCCCCAGCTTTTTCTATGAATTCACACATTGAAGTTTTTAAATTGCAGATGATCTGATTTTTGAATCTATAGTTTCCAAATTGTTGACGGTTAATGCGACACAAAGACATCCAGGACACGAACCCCTGCTCCGTCCACACCTCCCTCCTCCCTCCCTAATCCAGCTGCTCACCCTCGTCTTCGCGTCCCGGGGGGAGGGTCCTCTCACGGATGGTGTAGTTGGCGGAGAAGCCCTCCCTGGCGATGGCGTTGTCGGTGGTGATGGTCATGGACAGGATGCCGGTGTAGGAGATCACACGACCCGGGGATGTCTGTCCACAGTAGCGTCCGATGTGAGGACCCACTGAGGGGAGAAGAAAAGAGGAGGAGGTCAGAAGGAGACAAGGAAGAGTGAGGCACAAAGGGAGCGAGAGATGGAGCAGGAGAGGTGGAGAAGAAAGAAAACGTCAGCTCCGTCACTCATCAACCGCTGAGTGCTTTTTATTATTCACTTTGTCCTTTTTTGCCCTCGCCACCTCGGGAGATGTTTCGTGACTTTGAGCACAAACAGGCGGACGGGGATCTTGTTTTTTCCTCACAGAAGTCATGTCTGAAAACGTCAAATTTGGGTTAAAAGCATCCAGAACTGAAAGCGTTGTTTTCCTCTCAAAGTCTTCAGACAAACACAAATAGATGCTGATCTCCTGTCGGCACCAATCTCTCACTTCTTATGAGTGATGTGGCACCTTGGAGATGGAAATAAAGGCAATATGGCAGGTGGCAAAAACACTCATTTCCACGACTTACTGTGTTACATAAACACTATTTATAACCTGCAAGAATTAAGTCATCAGACACAGAAAAGAAGAACTACTTCTCTGAAAAACTTCATATTTAGTCGACCTGTTTTCTTTAATTTCCTCAGCTTTAATAACCGACCTGCTGATCTTGATTTGAAGTCTATTTTCTTCAGGATTTTCGTCTGTCGGTAAAAATCCTGCACACTCTGACTCTAAAGGTCTGGACTCTCCTCAAACGCTCCCTTCCACTTTTCTCCTCGACACATTACATTCGAGTCACAGAGCCAAGCCTCCATTTTTCAGAGAGATAAATCCCTGCAGTCTGCAGAGAAAGCCCTGGAGGTGGTTTACACCTCTTACTGCAGTTTTTCCAGGTGTTTCAAAAACTTTTCTGCCCGTCGGGGGGACAAACGAGGTAACCGGACCTGTGAAGTTCCTTATTCTTAATCCTTTCAGAGACACTTTCCTGCAGGACTCCGGTTACTCCGGTTATCACAGAGGGAGGAACATTTAAAGGATGTCTCAGTATAAAGCTAAAGGACATTTTTAGGATTTATTTTGATTAAAAAAAGTGAGAAAGTGCGTCTATCGTTTGTTAAAAGTCAGATCTGCTGAAATGCACCGATAAAAACATTCATTTTCAGGTTTTATCTCCTCTTTGAAATCTTTGTGTTTCCTTTTCAGGATTCAAAACTCAAACTATACTTAAAACCTTTGCACTCTAGAAGCTTCCTCCACTGTTGTCAAGCTACAAGGTCACATTCCTCTAATCAAAACGCCAGATAATGTGATGTGGTCATACATGTTTGAGTCTAAGTGTGTCCCAATATGTTATTGATATCGGATATCAGTCTGATATCAGCAAAAAAATGAATATTGGATTCCATCAGCCTACATCTAAAATCGCCGATATCCGCACTCCGATACAAGCAGTCCATTCCAGACTCCGGTCCGGCACTTGTATCTAGCAGCGCCCCGATGTAGCTTGCAGAGCCCACATGATCACAACAATAGTGTGTACTAAGGTACTAACACAGTAGCAAGGAGTTGGAGTGATGTCGGTATTTTTTGTTAAAGTCTGAAAAAGCCATTGCAGCTGAGTGCAAAACTTGTCATGCACAATTTTGTGCCAATATCAGATCAATATCGATATCGTTTAAAATTGAAGGCTACAATATCGGTATCGTATTCGAACACGCCTATTTGAGGACTCGATTTGCTTTGTGGAGGACCGTCATCCTGAACACGTTTGTTTCGGTACGATGAACTTTTTGTGTCGTAGTAACGTTTTTTTCTTGTCTCTGCATTAATCGATCCTGGTTGCAGCTCGAACCTTTCACATTGTTTGCATTTTGACTATTTTGTCGGGATATGTGAACAGTTTCATATTTGAGCATTAAATCCTCACATGGTGCCTCTTTTACGAACTTCAGCCTCCATTTTTGAAACTTCGGTCTGCTTTCAGTGAGGAGGCCATGACACCCGAGCATTTAGTATCAAAACTAACAGATTTTTTGCTTCCTTTAGAAGACGCAGTATGAAATCTTTAGACTATAATGTGAGAGAAACCTGAAGAAATTGGTGCCTGATGTCAAAGATAGAGCTAAAATTGAGAGAGGACTGAGTCTTAAAATATCATCCACCAAACTGCGGTGCGACCGACAGTCCTGGTTCGGATGCTGCCTCCGTGGATGAATGTCTGTGTGAGTGAAATCCAATAATCAAACAGGAGAGGTGCTCACATCTTCTGTAACAACAGGATTTTCTTGCATGCAGCTCACAGATGACAGAGCGTCTCATGTCTCCTCGGTCGGTGTGAGTGCTGACGTCGCCACCGCCGCCGCCGCCTGCCCACAGTTTTCTGGCCGTTTCATCCTGTTCTTATCTGCGAGGAACAAAGCCAGGCCTGTGCTGCCTCCTGTTTCCGAGCGATACTGTATCTGCAGCCTCTCGAGGACTCGGCGAGGGAACGCTCGGTCCACGGTCGACTCATCCACGCTATAAGAATTATTCTTCTCCCTCCGCTTCAGGGGAAATTACAGCCGGCATGAAAACATCTATCACACAGCTCTGGTAATCTGCTGGATTATGTTTATCAGTTACAGTTTAAAGCAGGTAGTCGCTAATCTGTGACGGATTACACTTTGAATTATTTCAGCCTTATCAGACGCGGTGTGAAATGGTTTCTCAGTGAGGCCGTCTGCTGTCGATGTTATCAGCTGGGAAATGGAAAAATCCCTCAAGCAACGCGGCTGCATTTACATTTATGCAGAAAATCAGCGTATCTGAGATGAGCGGCGGCGGCGTGCTGACGGAGACACATTCACGGCGTTTCATCATCATCATAAACAAACAGAAATACAGAGCGAGGAATAAACAGGGAGGTTTAACGGGCGATTTTAACCCTAAATATACGACGATCCTGTGAAATAAGAAACAGACTCACAAAGACTTCGACTCTAAATTTAACTCAAAATTCATGAGAAGAAGAAGGTTCGACGTTCGTGACTCTGAGAGCGAATAATTCAACATTTTCAGAGTCACATTCATCAGAGTAAAATCACATATCTTTAAAGGTTTTAGAGGATCTGGAGAAATCTCTGGACTAAACAGACAAAGACCAAAACCAAGACTGGATGGTCCTGATCTTCAAGACTCTGAAGTAGGAATCAGGGCTGTCCCGATACGATATTGATATCGGATATTGGTCCGATATCAGCAAAAAGACGAATATCAGATTATATCGGCCTGCATCTCAAATCTCCAATATCAGCACTCTGATATAGGCAGTCTATTCCAGACTCCCTCTTTGTTACAGACTGGATGGGGTGGAGTCACGTCTCTGATGTAGGACAGCGTCTTAAAGGGACATGAGACCATAGCCTACCTACACACATCCAAAAACAACTTTGTTTATTTATTTATCTGACACAGATTACACCGATATGGGCAAAACGACGTTGGTTATTGTCGTAATTTTTTAGGTTATTGCCCAGCCCTAATGACAGTTAGGCTTGGACTGCATGTTAGGGTCTGTCGTGTGAAGTCCTAAAGGTGTAAAGAGATTTCCTCGTCTTATACAGACTTCAGTGATTTTCAATGTTAGTGAGATTTTCTCTATTTTAAAAGACTGAATCCAGATTTTGGTTCTTTATCTGTCCACTATGGAGCAGAAATCTCACATCAAACTGCACAGCTGACTTTAAATATCACTGAAATGACTTCAAAAGTGAAAATTAAGCTCTTTTTTTCCCTCTAACATGCTTCTGTCAGCTACTGTGGGACCTTCTGCAAACTCACATTCCTGAACCGGGGTCACTGGGGTCGGGGTTACCAGAGTGCAAAAACCATACGGGCAAAATGACGTCGGTCATTGTCATAAATTTCAGTAACGGTAAATTTTCGGTTTATCGCCCAGCCCTACTGCATCCCCCTCTCTAGAGAGTAGAGGGATAATAAGTCCAAATCCAGCATCCCTGATGGTCTGGGGATCCTCAAAGTCCATGTCCTGGGTATCTTCCACATCTGTGAAGGCTCCATTAATGCAGAACTATCTCCAGGTTTAGGAGGAACATCTGCGTCCATCCAGACAATCTGCTTTTTTTATAAGACCTGATACAGCAACTCCTATGAAATCAGGTTTTTATTTGTGGTTTTATTTATTGAAGTATTTTGTGAATAAAACTAATGAATTAATTAATTAATAAAAATTGAATATTAATGATCGTGATTCATTTGTGTTGGGTAAATGTTGCACACGGAGCTCCTAATGTGAGGTTAGTGAGATTGAATCCCTCTAGAGTTGAATTATTTCCTTTGAAGAGGAGATTAGGAGCTGCAGAGACAAACAAACACAGCAGCAATGCATGATGGGACTTGTGTTTGGTGCTCCTGTTAACACTGGGACTGTGTTTGATGAGATGAAAAACTACATCCTGGTCCTCACCCTGCTGCAGAGATGCTTTGTTATCTGCACTGACACACATGTTCGGTCTGCAAACACACACACACACACACACACACGCACACACACACACACACACACACACACACACAGGAGGGGCTCTGGCGTGTTGTGTATGCTGGCTCGTCTTTAAAGTGTGTGTCACTGTCTGTCTACCTGTGCCAGTCTCTGTGTCCCTCCTCTTCCTGTGCCAGTCTCCTCCCTGGCAGTCAGCAGGCAAAGCTTTGGGCAGCAGCACTGAGTATTGTGGGCATCCTGGCAAACCCGCTCAGGCTCGTCCGAGGTATGTCTCCCACCCCCGGCTTTATCTGCACGCTGTACGGCTAATTAGACAACAATGGGAGCTGAGGAAACGCCGTCCAAAACGAGGGGCCGCGGCGTTAGCGGAGAGGAGGGGGGGGGAGCAGGATGTGTCTCTCCGTCGTGAGGAGAAACTGTTGTCTCCAAAAATGGTTTGGTGGAGGAACAATGAGCAATCTGTGGAGGAGTCTTTTCAGTCCGTGCGCAGGGGGACGAGTTTAAAGAAGAAATTTACATGAGTGACTAAGAGGAGAGGCGAGCCGTGACGCCGAGAAAACGGAGAGTTAGAGTTTTAAACTTTTGGTTTAATTTAATTTAAAAAATTCACGTTATCGTTGGTTCATATCAGTGATGGGAAGATCAGTTCTTTTGACTGAATCTTTAGAATCCGTTCAAAAGATTCGTTCACTGAATCAGTCTGTGTTTCGGAGCTCCGGCCTGCCGCTGCAGTACACCAGTGAGTGACACAGCGGCGAGTTCGTTCATTAGCCCCTCCCCTTCCCTGCTGCTGAAGTCACGGCGTCGTTCACTCTGTGACTCATGTCGTTCGTTTGGAAGAATCACTCCCCTGCCCTGAAAAACTCACCTCTCTGTGTGTCGCCGTCGGCGGAAACAACACAGCAGCGAGCAGCACGCCGCTAAACGAGCGCGAGTCGTCGTTCTTTTATATCGCAGAAAAGTGGAGAGATTAAAAATAAATAAACATGTCAGCTGTAGCGAGGATTCTGCTACATTTAGAGATATCAAATATCGTATTTCTTTAAATCGTCTGAAATTAAATAACTTTATAAACTTCTGTTTTTTAAAAGTGCCATAAAAATAAAGTTATTATTATTATTATCAATATTGGTTTATTTAGATTGAAGGAGGTTTTCTCCACATTTATCCCTCTGGTTGCAGCTGATGACGCTCGATACACTGAGGAGCTGAAAGGCTCGTTTAATCTGATTGGATGGATCTATCAGAGGATGTGTGACCCTGCAGTATCATACAAACAGAGTGAATAGAGGTCATACTCGGTGTTTTTAGTGGACTCCACGATGAGTAAACAGCTGATGAAGACTTTCACCGAGGAGCAGCGCCTCTAAAATCGGAGATCCTGCAAACACTGGTGATAAAATATCTCTTTAAAACTCGCAGCAGGTGAATCTGCACATCCTTCAAACCCGCCTCGCTCTCCTCCCTCCAGCCCACACCTCCCTCTTATCTTTAACGCTCTCTCTCCTCACCTCCGCTTTCTCTTTCGTCTCCATCTCTCAATCTGAGCCGGTCCCACCTGCAGGGAAACCATCCATCCTTTGTTCTCCCCCCTCCTCACCTCCCTCACCCCCGCCTGTCTCTGTCAGTGTCTCTGTCTGTTCTCTGTCAACCTCTGCAGGGAGAGGACGTCTCCGGCGTTTCTCATCCTCCTCTTTTCTCTGCTGCCTTCAAAGCTCCGCATATTTACCCTCCACATCTGAATCCATCCTCCCTGCTCTCTCGCTCTCGCTCTCTCGCTCTCTCTCTCCACCTGTAGAGGAGCGCTCCTGTTGCTCCTCTACAGGTTTTCGTGTTTGACATTCTCGCTTTTTTTTCAAACCTCGCAGCTCACGGTTGGAAATGCGTCTATATTTACAGCTTATTTTTCTGTTTCCTCTGCAGCTGTAGTACAGTGTTTGATAGAGAGCGTCTCAAAGTGGAATAAAAGGAGGATTCAGAGTTCAGGAAATGCAGAAATACAGTTTTTAGACTTTCTTAAAAGAAGGTTTCTGACCTGGATTTGTGCTTTTGACTGAGACAGGGTCACAGGATGCAGAAAAGTTGATAAAACTCTGACTAAGTTGGACATAAATTCATGTTTTCCTGTTGCCAGTTGAGAGATAAGAGCTCGAATACAAGAGGAATATTACATTTCTAACTTTCAGATAAAAACGAGATTTAAAATCTGCATTTTTACTCCATAAAATTGTGTAAATTTAACTCTTTTACTCTTACTTTACTCTCTTTAGCTCTAACTTTGGTTTCATCCATGCACACTCTCTCCTCTCTCCTCACCTGCAGGAAACCCGTCCCAGATCTCCAGCCAATCGTATCTGCAGAGGGCGCCGGGCGGCGGCGTGGTGTCGGGCTCCATGTCGAAGCTGTCGAACTCCACCATGATCTCGGACATTTTGGGAGCGAAGATCATGAAGGTGCAGTCCAGGTTGTTGGGGTACTTCTCTGGGAAACCCGGGGTCTTAATGGTGCCATTGGGGGCCGTAAAGTTCCTGGAACATTCAGGACCTGCGAGGAGAAGATAGAGACGGTTTTAGGAAAGTGTTTGGATGCACTTTTTGTCTGGTTGCTTAAAATGGAAATAAAGATGTTTCCTGCAACATCTGAGACGGAGTAAAAGTCAAATCTGCTTCCAAAAAAAGGATAAAAAAATTCTGAAAATAAACTCTTTTATTTTTTGACCTTTCTGCGTTTAAAAACTTCAACAGCTGTGAAACAAAGACAAAGATTTACTTTAACTGACTTTTCGTGGGTCGTAAATCCAAATTTATGAGGAACAAAAAGGATATTGAGGGAGAATCACGAGACAGGAAAGTTGTGCTCAAAGTGCAGCGTGAGGAAAATCACATGACGGCGTCACAAAACGACCCAAACCAAATCTGTGGATCCAAACAGTCAGGAACGACACGAGGAATAAAGACCTGATTGAGAGTTTGATTCTCTGACTCGTTCATTCGTTTCTCCTAAATAAACTTTTGTCTTATTGACGAAACACATGTCATCTCCTCCCAATCAGAGCGATCGGTCCCCTCCTCTGTCGGAGCCGTCTGAGTCTGTGTTGTGGCTGGAGGGGTGGGGACGTTATTGGCGGTCGCGCACACACTGAGGGGTTTGTTTACAGAGGAGGACCGTGGTCAACAAACAACAGAAACACACTGAGACACACACAGAGAAGTACACACACACACACACACACACACACACAAACAACCTCATTAGCTCTATAGAAACACACAACAGCACATGTGTTAAACTGATCTACACAGCAGTGGAGCCAAAGAAGGGGCTGAAACCTGATTAGTCAAGCTGGTGGCCCCTTGTCATCCTGAACCATGATTGGCTATAAACCTTGTAAGAGGCGGTACTTGGATTAAAGTCAGTTTTCTGGATTAGATCTGACAGATCAACATTTATAAGTCAGAACATTAAATTTGGGATTTTTTACATTAACAGTTAAAGAAGATGTAAAAGAAATATTATAAGAATAAGAATAAAGTGAAAACGAATAACAAATTTAATGATCATGATAAATATTTGGATAATAAAGATAATATTAATGATGATAATAAAAATAATGATAATGATAATAATGAGAGTTTAAATGATAATGATGAGAATTGTAATGAAGATAATAATGATAATAATAAAAATAATAGTTGAAAGGATGATAATAATAAAGACATTAAAATATCGGCAATGATTATGATAATGATAATAATGATAAAAATTATCAGAATGATAAAAATGATAATGATTATCCTAAACCATAATGATAATAATGATAATAATAATAATGATGATAATGATAATAAAAATAATGATAATAGTTATCATGATACTGATAAAAATGGGAATTTTAATGATAACTATGAGAATTTTTATGATGGTAATGATAATAATGATAATAATAACACTGATAATTATAACAATTGTAATGATGATGATGATAGTGATCATATTCATTATGATAATAATGATGATTATAATAATAATGATAACAATAATAATTATGATTGTTAATGTAATAATAATAATAATAATAATAATAATAATAATAATAATAATAATAATAATAATAATAATGAATGTATGATTATAATAGTAACTGATTTATTTCATCTTTTATTTATTCATTATTTTATTTTTTTTATAAAGATTGATTATTTTCAGACAGGACTCTGTAGTGGAAGTCACCGCATGGGCTCTTCATCTTCAAAAGTCATTGACTGTGAACAGAGTTCATCACTGCGTCCATAAATGAGGTCCAAACTGAACCATGAAAGAGGAGACCGGGTCGAACCAGGATCCAGAACCACCAGAGACCTTTTAAGCCTCACATAGACCAGCTGGTCCGTTTTAAAGAATTCAACATTTTCACACCATCAACTTTGAGCTTCAGGCGTTTCCTCTGATCGGTTATTGGCTGTGGCTGTATAGATACGATGACACCTGTGCTCAGGTGAATCAGAACTTTTCTGAAACCATGGACGCTCCACTTTAACGCTGCAGCATGTGTATCTTATACTGAACAACAACATTTACTGACACTCAGACTCTGTTTTCATCAAACTCAGGTTCACATCAGGTAAAAACACGACACTCGTCAGGATAAACTCCATTTGACTTCCTTCTGTCTACAAAATAAAAGTCCCTCACAAACATCATCTGCTGTTTTTTACACCCTCTGAAGATGATTTCTCATTTCTCACACTTCCATTCATGCGCTCGTACGTAACACCTTATCAGTGATAAAACCGTCAGCTGGGCGATGTTTACATGCCTCTCCTTTATTCATACTCGTTATAGTGTAGAGTATTAATGTGATGATGCTGTGAAATAGACGTTAAATCCGAGGAGATCGGGCGCAGCAAAGGGATGGAGCAGATTCAGCATGACGAAGCACTTCTTCAGGAATCTGAGGGGATGCTCTGAGATTTATCTATCCCTGCAGCAGTCAGTCAGTCAGTCAGTCAGTCAGTCAGTCAGTCAGTCAGTCAGTCAGTCAGTCAGTCGGCTTGTTGCTTGTTTGTCTTGCAGCTTGTTGCGATCAGAGTTTCCTGCTGAGACTGTGTGGGCACTTGGAGACTTTGCTAATGACGTTACAAAGGAGCAGGGGGCGTTATACAAGCCGGGCTGTGAAGTTACAGATCAGACGGTGCCGAGTTCGGCGAGGTGACGGCGAGATTATGAAGAAACGAAGACTCAGAGTTCAGAGAGCAGGAGCGACAAGGAGAGACGTAAAGTTCAGACGGGGCGAAGGGCGGACTCTGCAGCTGGTACGACACTGTCGCATCCTTTACACAAACACACACAGACAGACACACACACACAGACACACACTCAGGCTGTCAATACTGCTGCAGAAAAATCTCGGCGTCGACTCACATCAGTCAGACGGCGTCTGGCAGCTCACAGCTCGCCTGTCAGAAAGTGACGTGAGCGAGTTTACAGGACGGTGACTGATCTCTGCGGGACCACGAGGCCTGGACCAGGTCAACTGTCCCCTCTGGGCATGACAAGTGTGTGTGTGTGTGTGTGTGTGTGTGTGTGTGTGTGTGTGTGTGTGTGTGTGTGAGAGATGGGGGGAGGGGGCTACTGTGTCAGCAGGCCAGATGTGACCTGTACGTTATCTGAGCACGCCTGTAAATGCATTAACACACACACACACACACACACACACACACACACACACACACACACACACACACACACACACACACACACACACTGGCTGTTGACACAGGTGGTGTCATTAAAAGGGCGAGTTGATTAATGAAGCAGAGACGAGGCAGTCTTCGATCCTGCTCAGCTGGCACACTCGCTACTGTGTGTGTGTGTGTGTGTGTGTGTGTGTTTGTGTGTTTGTGTGTGTGTGACAGGTGGGCTGTAAAAATCTGCTTATGAGCTGTCTTAGTTTGTCTGTCAAGGTCAGAATTAAAGCGATTTCAGGGTCCAGACTCCTCATAATGACGACAGATCAAACTTTACATGTTTATCTTCTTTTGGACATAAACCGGCTCTAACCTCCGATATCCACCGCATACGGAACGACTAAGAAAGGTTCTAGTTTTTCTTGGACGCCGGAGCATGGCGGATAAATTCAGCACAGATTAACCCGTGTTGGAAAGGAAGTCGGGCACAGACACAAAATAAAACATCCGGCTTCTTTTCAAAATAAAACACTCCGTGTTTCAGGAGGATCGTATTTCACACCATGCAAACGGGCGGAGACGAACAAGTGAAAGGTTTTTAGACGTCATTTCACCACGATGACACCATGGATGAGGAGATGCTGATTCTAGAAGTCTAGAAGTAGATTTCCTCCTCTGGAAGGACACAATCTACTGCTTTTATGTCTATGTGTCTGTCTTTATAGAGACAACTCGTTATCGCGTGATTGAACTTGAATCCACGGGTTCTGGTGATTCCTGCTGTCAGTAATCCGCCACGAAATTCGCCTCACAAATGGATCCGGTAGGAACTGGCGGAATGCGAAAATTGCTGCTACAGGCTACCGTAGATCATTTCTGTATGTGACAGTATGTTTGTATGAGTGCTCAGGCTTTAATTCTGAAATATCACATTTCCAAACATCACTATCCACTTCTCTTACCCCTCATCAACTCACTCCTTCCCTCTCTTCTTCCCTCTCCTCTTCTCTCTCCCTCTCTCTCTCTCTTTGATCGTCCATCCCTCAATCAGTCGTCCCGCTCTGACATGTGTTTCTGGTTTGTAAACCTGTAATAAAACCGGAGACAACTTTGGGCAGAAATAGCTCCAGGAGGTTGAAGAGGACGTGTTCTCGGCTATCATTTATATCCGATATGGATGCTGCGGTCGGCGGAGGGTGGAGTCAGGCTTTATGGTTTATGGTTCAGAAAAAGGCGGATGTGCCGGAGCTCTGCAGACCGTCACTCATCAAACAGAGATTTAACCGCCGCTGCTGCCGACGACCATCTTTAGGTTCAAAGGGAGGTTGTCATCTGAATCAGAGCGACGTCTTTTTGTGGTCATAATGACAGAGGAGAAGAAGAGAGACGGAGGTAAACAAAGAGATAAATGAGGAGGAACGATATCCAAGAGTTTAAATCAGTTTATCAAAGTTTGATTTGTTCGTTTTGATGTTTTTATGACTGTTTATGTCTGCTGACTTCCTCTCTTCCTTATTTCATTAGTTTTTATGCTGAACAATTATGACTTTATCAAAGTAAACTCAATAAAACATCCTTTTGGACTAAATTAAAGGGACACAGCCCTTTAAACTGAATTATCTCTGATAAAAAATGACATTTTTTCTGGACTTTTTAGGTGAATTTCGCTCAGAATCAGTTTAACAGGAAACTATTTTACTGTAAATGAGACAAAAACATTTTGAATAACCAAAAAAATACAAAAAGAAACTATACAGTTTGTTATAATACCATCAGCTATGCTACAGTACAACATGGTACAACACAACACTATGAGATATGATATCACAACATACAGTTAGATATGATACAATATAAAATGTAGTGTCAGCATATACGACAATACAATACAATATGTGATGTATGAGGTTTGATATGAATCAGTATGATACAGTTTCATATAGTTATACTATACTATCCTCTGCCATACTATTCAATACCATACAAATCTACACTTTACTGTACTATACTATACCATACTACACTATTCTAAACTTAACTATTCAATACTTTATTATTCTATACTATCCTGTACAATTCTATACTAAACTATACTATACTTTACTATACTATACTATACTATACTATACTATACTATACTATTCTATACTATACCATACTATACCATACTATACTATACTATACTATACTATACTATTCTATACTATACCATACTATACTATACCATACTATACTATACTATTCTATACTATACCATTGAACCATACTATACCATACTGTTCTATACCGTACTATTCTACACCATAGAATTCTATACTATACTTTAATACACCATACTATACTATACTTTACTATACTATTCTATATTATACCAAACCATACTATACTCTATCATACTATTCTTTACTATACTATACCATAGAAAACTATTCTATTCTATATTATACCATACTATACTATAGTATTCTATGTTAAATTATACTATACCAAACTATACCATACTATTTTATATTATACTATACTTAACAATACTATACTGTACTATACTTTATTTTACTATACTATTCTATATTATATTATATCATACTATATTTTACTTAACTATACTATTCTATTTTATACCAAACCATACTATACTCTATCATACTATTCTATACTATACTATACTATACCATAGAAAACATTCTATTCTATATTATACCATACTAGTGGTGCAACGGATCACAAAACTCACGGATCGGATCGTTCCTCGGATCAAGAGTCACGGATCGGATCATTTTTCGGATCAGCAAAAAGAAAAAAAAACAAGACAAATAAAATATATAAAAGTAGTGCACAGTGCATCTTCTTTTTAACATAATTATTAATGAAAAACAACTTAAAGTACAATATACAGGCATATCTCCTTCCTTTAAAATGTAACAATGAACCAAAAATGAAGTGTGTGCGCGATGGGATGTCGTAACGTGGCTCAAGCACTTTCAGCATGTTTTTAAAGCCCTCGTTTTGCACAACTGAATACGGCCTCATGTCTGCAGCTATAAACACACCGATAGAGTTTGTGAAAGCTTTAGCCTGGTCGGATTGCGCAGGAAGAGGCTGCTTAAATGCTGCGGTGATGAGCGGTTGTTGGGCAGCTTTCGTTTTATCTCAGGTGTTATGCCAAAGAATGCACCCCTGCCGTATAGTGCACCCCCTAACGGGAGCGCGGTTGAAAGTACATAACAAGGCGAAATAATACAAGTTTTCCTTACGTTGGATGTATTCAAAAGCGTTTGCCTTTAATAATTTCATTCAGGCTATTCATATCAAATATGAGATCATTATCTCCACTTTAAGAAGCTAACGGGTGGAGGGGATGCAGGGGGTGCGTTCTACGGCAGGGGTGCAATCTACGGTACAACACCTGTCAGTAAAACACCCGGGTGATGTCGCTTCAAATGCGTGAACATGCTCGATGTGTTTCCACTGTCATGTGGCTTTCTTATGCCACAGTGCCTACACTCCGTCGCAGTTTTGTACACTGACCTCTTTCCTTCTTCATCATAATTGACAGGGAAGCCAAAATGCTCCCATACAGGGGATTTAAGTGTCGCGGGGCGTTCGAGCTCCTCCTTTCTCCGCTTTCAGAAATCGATCCGCGGATCACATGTGTGCCGAACCGAATACGTCGATCCGAACGGATCACGGATCAATGATGATCCGTTGCACCACTATACCATACTATACTATAGTATTCTATGCTAAACTATACTATACCAAAATATACCATACTATTTTATATTATACTATACTATACTATACTATTTCATGCAAACCATACTATACCGTATTATAATATACTATTTTATACCATACCATGCTATCCTATACTATTCTATACTATACTATACCATGCTATACAATACTTAATGCATATTTACCTCACATTAATTTAATAGTTCTTAGTTAATCTGTTAAACTAGTTTGTCATCAGCCTGAGTTACTTTGGGATTAGATATGACTAGATGGGATTTCTGAAGTCTGTGTTAATACGTAATGAAACACTCTGAGATCAGGACTGAACAGTCAGATACAGATAAATAGAACCAGAGAGATAAATAGTACCAGAGAGACAAAGAGACAGAGTGAGCGGCCTGTTTGTACCCAGAACAGCAGCAGCTTCAGTCTGCAGCCCGACTCTAATGGGTTTTAAACGTGCTGAGGATGACGGCAGAAACATGGCAGGGGGATTACCTGAGTGAGTACAAGTGCTGTTTTTAACTTGTTAGAGGGGAGAGGACCTGTATCCAGGCCAACACACACACACACACACACACACACACACACACACACACACACACACACACACACACACACACACACACACACACACACACACACACACACGTGCTGCCCTAGATTCAACGCCCCTCTTCTCTGCCAGAGCATCCATCTCATCTGCAGGTCACCCTGTTACCACCAAGGACAAACAGCCCATTAGCTAAATGAGCCTGGGGTCCCACGCACCTGTCAGTGTGTGTGTGTGTGTGTGTGTGTGTAGCAAATACAACCTGATACTAAACTGCAAAGACAGACAGATGTAACCACAGAGCGACACAAGACAAACAAAAACATGACAAAGACATGATGGAGACAGATAATCTGTGTAAATACAGCAGGAGGTCAATCTTTAAATCACACACACGAACACACACAGTCACACACACACAAAATTCCTGGCTAAGTGTCGCAGGAGAGGAGACGGCGGGCAGACACGCTCGACAACAACAACAACAGGAAAACGGCGGCTGTGTTTCTCTGACAAACAGCAGAAGTGACAGAAGCAGCAGCAGGACCGTGAGATGACACATGCATGACTCGTTCATGAGCTGACAGCAAAGACAGGGACGGAGACGAAGACAGGGACAAGCCCAGCTGCAGGAAAACAGGAGCCAGGGCAGAGGACTTAATAAGTGATTAAATGGTCGGACAGTTTCATCAGGAGGACGTTAATGTCGCCGCTAGACAGCTAATGAAGTTTGTCAGCGGGGACGAGTTCAGTCTTTTTAAAACAACATCAAATGAAAAGAGTTAAAAAATGAAGTCACATGAAAATCCAGACTTTTTCCAGAAATATTAAAGCTCCTATAAGGAACTTTTTGTTCACTATTTGGCGCCCCCACAAAGTGATAACTCTGATTCCTCAGCTGAAATTCATATTGAAGCTTTTTTATAATGTACAAAAGCAAACAAAACAACATGACCGATGAGTTTCATATCCTCATTGGAAACTCACAGGGGGGTTGGGGGGACACAGCCTCGTATTTACAGTTTTGTGTCAGCATATTAACAGTGAATTACACATCTGAGTTCAAAAAGTGAAAAAGATGAGATTTTTTGTGTGTAAAATCACTATAAAGGATGTTTTTAGCAAAGACAGCTTTGTCCACAGGGGGCGCCAAAACTGACATAAACTGAAAGTTCCTCACAGGAGCTTAAATGATTAAAATAAAACATCATTTTTACTAGAGCCCGACCGATTTATCAGCAAGATGATTAAATCGGCCAATTTTAGCACGCTTGAGACTAATCTGTAATCGGCCAAAATTGCAGATATTCACAGATATTTTCAATAATAAGATAATAGGATTCAGTTTCACTTCGAAAATGTTCCACCATTTGAAAAGTTCCCCGACTTGTGTGAAATACACAATAAATCAACAAGTTTCAGTTTAACCCACTCCACCATGTTCCCCGCTGTGATGGTCTCGGTCACGCCGAGTTAACAGTAAAGCTCCATGTAATATGCGAGCTAAAGTTAGAGTTAGCCATCTGCTATTAGCCTTGCTACACTGCTAGCCGTGCCAGTAACGGTAGAATAAACAACAGTACACATTAGTGATCGAGCTACTTCTCTGACTGAGGCAGCTGCATGTCTCCAGATGAGACCGGACCGGAAATGAGGAACGTGAAAATGCTGAACTCTTCAATCAGAAAACTTGATTTCCAGAGTTTTTTTAATCATCAAAACAGATTCAGGCAGATTATTAGATGATAATCTGGATTTAGTAGGCGGATGCAGATTATATGGAGGGTAATGACAGTATTAAAATAGAATAAGACAAAGACACAAGCTTAGTTTTGAGTTTTTTTGCAGAGTAATATTTGACCTGAGGGGGGAGGGGTTAAACCACGATTGCATCGACAACAAATAATGACAAATAATCAACCATCTAATCCCACCAATATAAGATCTTCTATGGGGAAACATTTAAAAGTCTCAATAAGCAATAAGAAGTCCAACTTTGTCCACATGGGGCGCCAAAACCAACACCAACCTAAAGTTACTCACTGGATCTTTAAGTGACATGTCTCATAATGACCTGAATCCTTCAGATTGTCCTGAAGTCGGTCAGTTTCCTTCTCTGTCAGCGGTTACTCTGGGTTTCACACATATTTTAGGAAGTGTCACTGTAAAAACTTCCCCTTTAATTTATCCTCCTCCTTAAATTTCAGGTTTATTCTCGTTCTATGACAGGCCATAACGCTCGGCACCATTACAGACTTCTATAAAAATCCTATCAGGTTAGAAAAGGGCTGGAAATGTCAGCGTTATTGTACTTTAAATCCCCGTACGATCTTTAAATGACTTCACTAATCTTTGCGGCGACGTTTCCTCCGAGCTGACACTCCGCTGACCTACTTTGAAAGATTTATTACTCTGACTTTTTAATAACATCCTGTCATTCATCAGTCACTGCTCCACTTTGCACCCTGAAATTACAGTCGATAAAGTTAGATTTGAAAGGTGTATCAGGAGTGGGGCCTGATATTGTAGTTTGAAGAGAGCAGAGCCTGGAGGAGCTCAGACCCGGCTCGTATTATCCCTCGTTTAAGAGGAAGGAAGCTCTGCAGTATCTATTTTTCATGATACAACGCAGCACTTATCAACCTCAGCCCACCTGGGGATCGTTATTCTTGGATCCTGTGACTCTGTGAATGGTTAAAGCTCTCGGGGGTGCAAACAGGGGACCTCACGTTTGCACATGTTCCCTTTTTATCGCGGTGATCGCCGCTCCTCATTGGTGGAAACCGAGGCGTTCACAGGAGACAGGAGGCAACTCAAGTGGACCCCAGAGGGAAGAGCAAATACAAATGTAGGACACAGGAGCCGGGTTCCTTCCTCGAAGGGGGCTGTTTATGTAGGTCTATCCTGCCAGCATCCTGACCCTGCTGGGACTCTCTGTTCCTCCAATAGAATTCTGGGTATTTGAGTTGATGTAACTCGCAGCTCAGAGGTCGGCGCTCCAGAGTTCAGATCAGTTTCTCTGAAAGGTTGTTTCAGGACAGGACTGGAGCTTCTGTTGAAGTTCAAAGTTTGATATCTTTCACGGATTCTGACTCAGCGGTCTGAGTTCTTATCTTAGAGTTCTTATCTGTTGTTTTTTGTTTTTATTGATAATTTTATTCTGCAAGAAGCAAAAACTAAAGAAAACCAGTTTGAACCTGAACTAAGATCACAGCAGATTTAGACGTGATCACAGGCAGGTACGAAAAAGACTATCTGTGACAGGGTTTAACTTATTTAAAGGTACAGACACCGACCAACAGGACAAAAAAAAACAACCAACTAACCAGATAACTAACCAACCAACTGATGAACCCAATCAACATCAACCAACCAACGAAAAACCCAAACTAATCAAACGACTTACCAACAGAGGAACCAACCAAATCAAAACACCAAAATAACCATCAAGTTGACCAGATGATCGACCTATCGACCAAACAACCAACAATTAAACCAACTAACCAGTCAGCCAACAAACAAACTAACCAGCAATCAACCAACCCAAATCACTAACCAATCAAATGACCAACCAACAGAGGAACCAATCAGCCAACAAACCAAAATAACCATCCAGTTAACCAACAATTAAACCAACTAACCAGTCAGCCAATAAACAGACCAACCGGCAATTAACCAACCAAAATCATAAACCAATCAACAAGCCAAAAAACCAACCAACCAATCCAGAAACAAACCAACTACCAGTCAGCCAAAAAAGGACTAACTAGCAATTAACCAACCAGCCAACCAACCAAAATCACAAACCAAATAACTGACCAATAAACTAACCAACTAATCAAGGTACTAACCAATTAATAACCAATCAGCCAAAAACAGAGTAACTTGCAAATAACCAACCACAATCACAAACCAATAAAACGAACAAACTATCTAATCAACCAATCAACAAGCCAACTGTCCGACGAAGCAACCGATTAAATAACCAACCAAATAAACTCCCAAACTGTTTAATTATCTCAGGGCTCTTTACAGGAAGTCTGGACTCTTTATTGAGACTTTGATTGATCTGAATTGTCCAATCACTGTTCGTCATGGCCGCCCTGATCGCAGAGTCGAGGTCAACAGAGTGAAACTGAGACTCTGATACGTCCTGATTTGTTAGCTAACAGCTGAAACAGGAAGTTGGTTTTTAACTGTGACTGACAGACTAACAAATCTGTTTCTACACATGCTCTGTAAACGACCGGGACCTTCAAACACTGCAGTACAATAACAGAGAACGCCAGATCACACAAAGGTAACCATATGAGGCTGCATTTGTCATCATGTTAGCGGGACGATGCTCAGCATTGATCCAAACCTTCTGCACAAACCTGAGGAAACCTGGCGGAGCTGCGGCTGAATTTAAATCGACTGTTTTGCATGAGACCATCCATCACAATCAGCGGCGTGAACGCAGCTCCACTTCTACTCCAGTTCAGCCTCAAAAGGAGAGTTCACGGGTCCTCCTATAGAAGCAAACACCAGCGCTCACCTGTTTTGAAGACCTCGTAGCGAACCGAGAATCCCGCCCCGTGCGTCTCGTAATCGGAGACGAACTTGATGAGGAGCTGGCTGCCGCTGGAGATGATCGGAGACGGTGCGATCTTCCCGCAGAACTTTCCCAACATGGGGGACTGCTCGTCGCCGCCATTGTACACCTCGACGTAGTCGTACCTGCAGAAAAAAGAGAGAGAGGAAGGTTGAGTGGTTTGTTCTGAATCACCTTGTTCAGGTGGATGATGAGGCAGTTCGCTTACTGTCTTATTGCCTTATATGTGCGTCTTCGGTCAAGATTTCTGATTGGTAGTTATGCAAAAACTGTAGCCGGGCTTACAACGCTGGTTCTCCTGGCAGTTCCTCATTAAAGGGGCGGAGCTGATTGCATTAAAGGTTATAAGTAGCTCTGCGATATCCCTTTAAATACTGTTACCAAGAGGCTGATATCCTAAAGAGTCTAAACAAGCACATTTAGAGAGCTTTAACATCTATTCTATTCTAACCCCCAATTTTCACCGCATCCGGAACGGCTTTGACCAGGAACGGGAGCAATTTTCGCCATCTGCTAATTCCTACCAGATCCATTTGTGAGGCGAATTTTGTGGTGGATTACGGACAGCGGTAATCATGCGTTCAATCGCACGATAATGAGTTGTCTCTATAAAGACAGACACATAAACATATAAGCAGTAGATTGTGTCCTTCCAGAGGAGGAAATCTACTTCTAGACTTCTAGAATCAGCATCTCCTCATCCATGGTGTCACCTACGATTGGCAGATATGACCTTTTCGGAGCCGTTCCGGATGCGGTGGATATTGGGTGTAATCTTCACACATTCAGCTTCAAACTCGTGTTCGTGGCGGAGCTGCAAAGACACGCCCCCTCTCTCTGAAACCACAACAACAGAAGTCCTCCCCTCTCACACACTTGCTGACTCTGTTTCCTGAGACGTTTCCCCAAAATACCAGCCTGCTCGTCTGTCTGATCTGCTTTGTTTGGTCTTCATGTCTGTATCAGCGGGGCTGAAATCCTGACAGCTGTCTGAGAGGAGTGATGGAGGATCTCTTTGCTGCTGCTGCTGCAGAAGCTTCGATACAGCAGCTGTACGCTGAATTATTCAGTGTTTGTTGGAGGATCTGCATCAGCTTCACATCTGCCAGCCTGAGAAGATCAATATTTATACTTTGATTATCTCTGCAGGCTTATAAATGTGTGTCACGCTCACTTTGAGAGGACTTGAAGAACATTTCATCTCAGTAAATGTGTTTATCTGTGAGGCTTCGGTTTGAGAACATCGTATCTTTTCATGAGATTTCTGACCGCAGATCCTGCTCTACTTTTCCACTGCCCCACATCGGAGAAGAAGAACGGCTCTGTCTGCGTGCCGGTGAGGAGGAAACACCTCCAATCTTTCTTGATGAGAGAGGGAGTCTGAACAGGAGGCAGGATGAAGCACAGAGAGGCTGCGAGGATCTCACTGAGCGCGCTCAGAGACTCCATCAGTCTCTGCTGTCTGTGCAGACCTCCCACCGCCGCCGCTGCTGCACCTCATCTTTTACCGCCGCACTCCTCCCTGTCCACCCTCTGTCCACTCCACAACATCTCAAGCGTGCTGACCGTTTATGCGACCTTTTCAAACAGCGTCTGCAGGTTTTATTTAATGCATCTGTGCAGATTTGAATCCGCCACACCAGTCTGAGTGTTGGTGTTGATATAAGCATGCCTGTAAGTGTGTGTTCCTGGATTAACACCCCTCTCCTCCTCCTCCTCCTCCTCCTCCTCCTCTCCTGATTGAATCACTGAGCCTGCTGAGGATTCACATCTCTCATGAGCGTGAGAAAGCATGCCGAGGAGCAAAGTCGATTCACAAATCCACTCTGCAGCGACACACGGGGCAGGCTGAACAAAAAGGACACAAAAGCCTGACTCAGTGTTGTCAGTCTGAGGGTCCTGGAGCTTCATTTGTGTTTGCATGGAAGGAAAGATCGATAAGCAGCGACCTCAGCCGCTGCAGGACTCGTCTGTCACTTCCATACCAGAAATGTTTGACATGATCATCGTCAGACTGTAAAGATTCCTCTCAGATAATCTGCTCTGACCATCAGCCCTCAGATTTCCCCTCGGACGTGGAAAAGCCCCCTCTGGAAATCCGCTCTGAGTTTCAGCCTCTGGAACAACTCACATGAAAAACATAAATCTACATTTACATCGGACATCTGTTTTCGTAGCGCTCGTATATCTGGATTTAAATGTTTTGTTGGCATTCCTCGACCATGACTTCCACATCTGAGATTCTCCAGTTTCCACATTCGTCTTCGGTTATTGCCGGAGAGTCTGAAAGCGCTTTGTGTCTGTTTTGATAAGAGCTGCACAAATAAAGAACATTATACAGAACATGTTATACGATCCAACGAGCCTCTTCCTCCTCCTGCAGCCAGCTGTGGAAACAACGTCTCCCGGACCTGACCTTTGACTGATCCGACAGGAGGACCGAGTTTTCAGAGTATCGATAAAACTCTGAAACAGGTACGACTGTGAGGAATCAGAGGAATGTATGTCTAATGAAAGCCTGCAGAGATCCACGCCTCCTCCTGACCTGCAGCCTGATAAATAACCGTTTTCCCACACTGGGACAAACAGACGGGACAGACGGCGCTTCTCAGACTCCAGGAATCCGGCCGCCGACCGCCGATTCTCCTCACGGCTAACGATGTTAGCGTGCGGACAGACACAGAGCTGATTAAGCGGTGTTTATAAAGGCGTCTCTTCGTGACTTTAACGTGGAAAATGCGGTTTTCTCATGCCGATCTTTCAAATTAGATCTCTCAGCGTGGAAACGAGGACGCAGAGGGAACAAGTATAGATTTGTTGCATCACAAAACACAGATTCAGATCTTTCGTGAGGTTTTCCAGGATTTCTGAGCTCTAGTAAAGGTGCAGGATTTGGACACGGTGCTTTTTTTAATCCACATACTGAACACACTGCTCTGTTTTTCTGATCAGGTAGAGAGGACGTGCAGGAAAGTCTCTGACCCCTTAAAAGGAGCGAAGCGTTCAAACACACCGAGACGCATCAACACATCAAATTTCCTGACAGCTTCGCACAAACTGTTTCATCTGCTTATTAAAACTAAAGGAGCCGCGTGATTTCCAGAACAATCAATTATTTCACATCCTGTTCGGTATTAACTCTCCTCACACACCAGTGATGCAACACTTGGAGGTTTTGAGCAACTCGCCAGAGGCTTTAAACACAGGCGAGCTTAACGAACCGTCACAGAAGCTCAATTATTGCAGAATATGAGCTAAAGGCTGATCCACAGGCTGATCCAGGATTTAGGTCTCAGAGATCAGGGGTCTCAAACCGCTGTGGACCGACCTCAACCTGTGCAGATTAATCTCATTTAAAGGTGTTGTAGTCAGGATCTGAGTAAGTTCCAGTTTTTAGGAGAAATCTTGAATGTAAACTGTACCCCTCCAACCAGTTTTCCCCTCAGCTCCTCCTCTCCCCTCAAGCCCCGCCCACAAACAGACGCTCCTGCTCGTTCGTATCGTTCCAGTTAAATTCAGATATAATGCAGATAAATACTTCAGATCATTACAAATGGGGCCCAGTCAAGGTGAAAGTCAAAAGCATTGGTGCTACTGTAGATGCCAACAGACTACCAGCAAACACAATGTTTGCAGGACTTCTACAACGAGGATAAAGTGACATAGTCCAGGACCCGAGGGAGGACAGTTTAGCGATGGCGCTACAACACGCTACAGCAGGTCCGTTTGACAAGAAACACTTCTGTTACAGACACTTGTCTTACTTTGTTAAAGCGGTTTACCTGTCCAGCAGAAAGGTTACGGGGTCACCAAGATCCCCAAGCGTCCCCCATCGTTTATGTTGACCCGGCTTTTTAGCTCTTGTCCGGTCTACCTCCGTTTTAAGCGCCCGTTATTCCTCCAGAGTCTCCGGTATTTACTTTGTTTTCTTGCTTGTGTCGGCAGTCGTGGCCAAAGGAGGATTCAGACAATTTTCCGAACTTTCTGGTTGGTTTCTACTGTCCGATATTGTAGCACGCTAACTTTGTTTGGGCTCCTGAACGATACGGGGGAGCAGCATTTTCTTGCTGACTGTTTTCTTGTTGACTGTTTATGGTTGACTGTTTTCTTGTTGACTGTTTTCTTGTTGACTGTTTTCTTGCTGACTGTTTTCTTGTTGACTGTTTTCTTGCTGACTGTTTTCTTGCTGACTGTTTTGATGTTGACCGGTTTGGTGTTGACTGTTTTCTTGCTGACTGTTTTCTTGTTGACTGTTTTCTTGCTGACTGTTTTCTTGTTGACTGTTTTCTTGCTGACTGTTTTCTTGCTGACTGTTTTCTTGTTGACTGTTTTGATGTTGACCGGTTTGGTGTTGACTGTTTTCTTGCTGACTGTTTTCTTGTTGACTGTTTTCTTGCTGACTGTTTTCTTGTTGACCGTTTTCTTGTTGACTGTTTTGATGTTGACCGGTTTGGTGTTGACTGTTTTCTTGCTGACTGTTTTCTTGTTGACTGTTTTCTTGCTGACTGTTTTCTTGTTGACTGTTTTCTTGCTGACTGTTTTCTTGCTGACTGTTTTCTTGTTGACTGTTTATGGTTGACTGTTTTCTTGCTGACTGTTTTCTTGCTGACTGTTTTCTTGCTGACTGTTTTCTTGCTGACTGTTTATGTTTGAGTGTTCTCTTGCTTGTGTCGGCAGTCGTGGCCAAAGGAGGATTCAGACAATTTTCCGAACTTTCTGGTTGGTTTCTACTGTCCGATATTGTATCACGCTAACTTTGTTTGGGCTCCTGAACGACACGGGGGAGCAGCGTCGGCCTCACAACCAATCAGGTTAGAGGAGGTGGAGAACGGCTTTGTTTACAGTCAGAAAGACCGGACCGCTCAAAAATGTTCAAATGTTGACGACACAGACATAAGAGAACACAGAGATATCGATATATTACCAAATGTCATCAATAACTAATAACTACAAAAAAAGAGTCTTCTTTAACAGATTCCTGCCTTATCCACCTTTAAGTATCCGTGTTTCTAACAGGGAGAAAAGCCTCATAGGTTCTTTGAGTTAAAAGCCTGTTGGGTCTGTTTCTTCTTTTCACTTGCAGGAGACATTTTTTAGGTCATTTCTACACAGACGGCATATTTTGCTGCATTTTTGGATCTATGAGCATGTCTGCACCCTCTACAAAGTGCACCAAATACATGCCTCTAGAAGTCTGTGCATGATGCATTTAGTGAAAGAAAGATCACAGCATGGACTGGTTTTTACTGCAGACTTGGAAGTACATTTTCTTTTTCTTTTTGACCTGATTTGACAAAAAATACAGTAAATGGAGCAGTAAACAACATGCAGACTACATACATGCATGCATAGACTGCCGGACCTGCAAACACCTCAAACTTGGATATAAGTGAGGACCTCTAATATTCGTTAAGTTTCCACACAGTCAGACATCCATTTTTCTCTGGCAGGTCTGTTTACTCACATTACGCTCCAGCAGCAGCAGCGACAGCTGAGGGCATAAACAATGTTTTTCCATGTTTGAATCAAGGTTTTTCAGCCGCAGGAGGAGGAGAGCAGAAATCTGTTCTCTCCATCTCTGACTTCATGCTTCTCCGTCTTCTTCTTCTCCGTGTGTTCGCAGAAAGCTTTACATGCCCGCAGAGAAAAGGACTTAAGTGCGCGCTTGTAAAGTCTCAGAGCCGGCGGTGATATTTAGGTGATGGCATTTTTATTCATAGCATCAACCCCCTCATCTCCTCCTTCAGTGACTTACAGAGGCTCGTGAAATAAAGAGAGACAGGGAGAGACAATGTGTGCGTTTGTGTGTACATGCAGATGGCTGCACTCGCTCTCTGCAGCAGCAGCAGCAGCAGCAGCAGCCGGTCCTGCAGGCAGCCGGTGTTTACCGAGACGGGCCGTTTAATGAAGTGGCTCTGTCTCTTCACACTCTAGTTAGAGAGGCTCTCAGTCTGCAGCCCTGCAGCCTCCTCTCCATCCCCTCACATCACTCATTAACCACACCGGCCTCTCCAAACGCCCTCCAAACCCAGCTGTCCGGAACAAATGCCTTGCTCAAGGGCGAAACCATCGCTATTCCATCTGGGAGCCCAGCAGCGTAGGGTTGAAATTAACATTTTATGCTATTAACTGGGCCTCTCACCCACAGAAATGTACACAACGGGAGAAACAGGGAGCAAAATGTCAGACTGAGGAAGACACGAGGAAGAGGAGGAGCGAAGGAGGGTCAGAGGAAGTTTAACAGGTTTACTAGAAAGTGTCGGTCCAACTCCAAATGTGGAGGAATTTAAGAGGATTCTTTAATCACAGAACAACTATCTCATTAAAGGAGTTAAACGAGTCGGTTTAATGAGAAAAATCATCCTGAATAATGAGTAAAAAGTTCTGAATTTTCTAACCCGAGGCTGAAACTTTCACCAGATGGAGACACAACGTGCTCCACCAGATCTGCCTCGTCTTCGTTCATGTCTAATCCACACAGACAAAAAAAAAACGCTCTGAGTTGTTAATAATGCAGAAAAGCTCATGGCGCTCGCTCTCGATTGTTACAAACAAGGGAAGTTTGCCCTGAGTTCTGCCTCTCAGGCGAAAGTCGGAACCATCTGTTAAGTGGGTTTGTCGGAGCTTCTGTCGGCCTGAATCTCTCAAAAAAACTTCCTCCTAAGAAAATGTTGAATTCATGATTCAAAACTCCATAATGGCAACGATATTTCGACTTATCTTTTGAAAAAAGCACCACAACTCTATATGCCAACGATATTTTGACCGTCTACTCTATATGCTGACGATATTTCAACTGACACCTCTATATGCTGACGATATTTTGACTGACACCTCTATATGCTGACGATATTTTGATTGACACCTCTATATGCCGACGATATTTTGACTGACACCTCTATATGCCGACGATATTTTGATTGACACCTCTATATGCCGACGATATTTTGACAGACACCTCTATATGCTGACGATATTTTGACCGACACCTCTATATGCTGATGATATTTTGATTGACACCTCTATATGCTGACGATATTTTGATTGACACCTCTATATGCCGACGTTATCTTGATTGACACCTCTATATGCCGACGATATTTTGACCGACACCTCTATATGCCGACGATATTTCGACCGACACCTCTATATGCCGACGATATTTCGACCGACACCTCTATATGCCGACGATATTTTGACTGACACCTCTATATGCCAATTATATTTTGACTTATATTCCGAACACTGCATGACACCTCTATAAGCTTACGATATTTTGACTTATCTTCGGAAAACTGCCCGACACCTCTGTGCTGACGATATTTTGACTTATTTACTGAATAATGTATGACACCTCTATATGCCGACGATATTTTGGCTTATCTTCCGACCATTACATGACACTTCTATATTTTGACGTTATTTTGACTGACACCTCTATAAGCCGACGATATTACGTCTTTTTTCGGCTTTCCACTACTACATGACACCTCTATAGACCCCCAAATATTTATGTATTAGGAGGCCTGTAGCGGTGTCGTTCAGTTTTCAGAAGCATTCATAAAGCTTCATTAAAGATTAAAATAGTAGGTGGTCGCTCCTGCAGCTTCGTCCATAATGACGGATCAGGAAAGAAAAGAGTAGCGCCTACACAAACTCTGAGATAAAAATAAATCTCATTAATTAGAGAGAAAATCTCAGAGTATGACGATGTCTCCTCATCGCCTACATTAATCCATCCCTCTGATACGATCAGTGATTCTGTACAAAGCCAGGCGACCCCAGCAGTGACCGCGGCGGCTAAATTTAAACCTGAGGATGTGGCAGATAACCTCCGAAAACAAACTAGATCCAGACGCAGATGAGGAGGAGGAGGAGGAATTCTTCACACAGCCCTGCATTCCTTCCCTCCCTCTGCTCTGAGCTAAAAGCAGACACCCCCACCCTGCTACACCCCTACACCGCTCATTAACACGCCCCCCTCCTTTGTGTTGTGCTGCATTCCCCCTGCGGCCCGCTGAGGAGCGCACATCTGGAAGGAATCACGGGAGCGTTTACGGGGCGAAGTTTGAGCCGTTGTTACATAAACCTTCAGCAGAGGCGAGCCAAAGCGTGGAGGGAGTGACTCAGTGTTTCTGCAGAGAGGACTCACACCTTCTCCCTCCATCAGACGTTTATTCCATCAGACTTTTCCCTCTCTAAACACCGTCTCCTCTCCTCCTTCCTCTCCAGACATGAAAGCATCCTTTAAAAACTCACCTCTCTGTGTGAGGCGTGTGTCTGCTGAGGAAACTTTCCTCCTCCTCCCCCGTTCGCCCAAACCGACTCGCTCAGGTGTTAAAGTTTGATCAAGTGCCGCAATAAACCTCTTGGCATGCCCACTTTTCACCTAACAGGCCTCATCTACTTCTACCTCGTGTAGTAATTTTCTTCATTACCCCGAATGGCTTTCAGCTACCTGAGGAAAGAGGTGGGAACTTGTTGCACTTATTTGCTGACAGAGAGAAGGATCGAGCCAATCAGACGGAGAGAGAGAAACAGAGAGAGAGAGAGAGTGTGTGTGTTTTGTTCCAGCTGAGCAGACAGGAGTCGTTTCACTTTGTCAAAATCCAACAGGAGTGTGTGTGTGTGTGTGTGTGTGTAGGTGGTTCTACCTGTGTGATTAGAAATGTCAGAGGAGCTCTCTCCGATTTATTCTGAGGTTATGAAACACAAACCTGCAGATTAACGCAAAGATGAAAAACGTGTTAAATAGAACCAGCTGTGGTTTCACAGATACCGTCTCTGCTCTTACTTCCTCTTTCCTGTTATTCAGAACTCTACAAACAGTCACTTCACACCTAAACCAAAGTGAAGCTAGCCCTGCTTTCTCTAACTATCACCTTTCTGCACACGATCACCTTTACAAACACGATTCCTGCTCATGTAAAGATGCATACGAAGCAATTAAACCACATTTCCGAGTGTGCAGGAAAAGACGCCGCAGTTTCTCTCTGCCAGCCTCGTTTTACCTGTCAGGGTCATTTTTGGCGTTTAGATTTTGCATATGTGTCCTGGGTCGAGTTAATGTCTCAGAATTGTGTGTAAAACAAGTCCAAACACGCTCGCACACTCTCACAGGAGGAGCGACAATGTTCAGACTTTGTGATGCACGAGTGATTCTGCATTTCAGAGCTGATAAATCGCGTCTGACCAGTCGTTCTGGGCTCTGCCGGGAAGCTACAGATGGCACGTGTGTGTGTGTGTGTGTCTGTGTGTGTGTGTTTTGCGAGCAGACGACACCACCTGCCATACACACACTCACTCACACACCAGTCCATCAATCCCCATTTCTCACCTCCTCCGTGTTCACCAAAAAACCGACATCATCTCCTTTTCGCTCGCACACACTCGAGTACTCACTGCGGTTACAGTCATCTCCCCATGAATAATACCCTTAGTCAGTTTCCTGTTCATGTACACACACACACACACACACACACACACACACACACACACACACACACACACACACACACACACACACACACATTTGAGGAAACACTCACTGGCATCCACAGCCGAACCGTGTGTACAAGTTTATCCTGCTGAACTCGTGTGAAACTGATTTGATCAGCGTTCAGGTCCTCAGATTTTAGGTGTGTATTAGATCGCTCTCAAAGCATCATGGGAAAGCAAAACAGATGATAAATTCAGGTGTCTAGTGTTGCATGAATGTACATGAACCAGAGTGAGATTTGTTTGGTGGTTGTGTGGGTGTTCAGGGAAAGTGTTTCTCTGTTAGTTGAGTAACACTTTCCTCGATGATCACAGCTGCAAAAAACAACGAAAATGTCGAAATTTTCCCTGAATTTTATTGATTTAAGTTCCTGTTTCTGTTTTGAACCACCTTTGACCCAGTAGTTGGACTTCCTGTTGTGTTAGCGTCACACCCAAAGTCTGAAAAAAGCAAAATCGGAGGCCTGAAACAAGATGGCTTCATCTACAAAAGTTATTTTAGCGCTTGCCTTAGAATCGGACAAGTCAAACGTTAAAAGAACTTGGACTTCTGACTTCTGAGGTAACTGGAACACACCATTAATACTGCTTTTGTCCAATAGATGACAGTATCACTATGACAACATACATTTGAAGATGAGTTTAAGAAATTTGAAGCAGATAAGCCGATGTATGTGACAGGTAGTACCATGTATTTCCAGAGGGTGGCGCTACAGTTAAATTGGAGAAATTAGCACATTGATGCGATCAGGGGTTGATATCGATCATGTGTAGAAAATATCGAATACAAAGTTGACATGACTTCTTGTTTCCTGTATGATGTCAAAGTATGACGAGTCACCACGGCAACGCCCTTTGATTATGAACAATTATGGACTTCCTGTTGGGTTTAGAGTATCAGTGCAAGAGGAGTTTTTGGAGGTTTTGGCATGATAAATATGCCTGGCAAAAATCATGTATGTTAGTTGAACTGTGTGGCGGGGCTGAGTGTCTGAAAATTAAAAGGGGGTGGAGTAGGGCTGGGCGATAAACCGAAAATATACTGATACCGTAATTTGCGACAATAACCGTCGTTATTTTGCCCATATCGGCATATTTGGTGTCGAAAAGATAAATAAATAAAAGTGTGTCGGTAGGCTTTGGTCTCATGTCCCTTTAACCCCCAATTTCCACCGCATGCGGAATGGCTACAAAAAGGCCGTATCTGCCGATCGCAGCTGATCGTAACCATTCAAGTTAACGTGTCAATTTACACCGACTTCTTTCTGTTCCTCTGCGGATCGCCGGACTCCTCAGCTGATCACAAGAGTTCTATTTTTTCCGGAGGAGGTGAGCAGCTTGTTGAGTAGTAATCGTCCATTTATCGTTATCGAGGTGAACTGATCAATATTACGGGATATTGATGTGATCCTCGAGCAAAAACTGGGTTTGTGTTGTTTTAAGTCCTCTGAATGTGAAGTCAGTCAGGCAGAGGGAAGAATAAAAAGACGTGATAATAATCCTTCAGGTTTCTCTTTTACTGTTTGGAGTGTCGGCAGAACGACTGGCACGCTCTGCAGAATATTTTCCTTAAAAACATAACCTACACACACTCTCATGCTTTCAAAAACGATGATTTTAACTCCTGCCACCTCCCGCCCACACACTTCTCCTTTTATGACCATGACTGTCCATCAGCAGCAATAAACACACCACTCAAAACAAACTCAACATCCAACCTGATTGGATTTTTGAATTATTCAGTGAAGCCGGCGTTCACAGTCTAAAGAAGCAGAGCGCTTCCAAACATGGAGAAAACCAAATCTTATTAAAGGGAGTCGGATCACACAGTCCCACTCACCGCCGAACAGACCCCCTCCTCTTCCCCAAAAATAAATTGGGCCAAGGAGCCAAAGTATGAATATCCTCATCCTTCACCTCTGCCGTGCAGATACAAAGCCACGGCGGCACAATCCTGCTGGGAAATTAAAAACGGAGACGAAGGAGGAGGTGGAATTTGTTCTCATTTAGGAAGCCTTAATCTGACAGAGGAGGGGGGGAAGGAGAGCGCCGCTTTCTCCCCACTCTCTCCTCGACAGACTGTTTAGGGACCCTGAAGGATGAAATGAGATTTGGTGCAAACTCAATGGGGTTTAATGGGAAAAAGTTGAAAAGAACCAAAGTCGAGGTCGATATTTTCGTGGAAGTAGAGAAGTTCTCTCAGGGTCAAAGCTTGTTGGAGAGTTTCTGCAGCCTGATAATAATAATGAAAAAAAATCACAGAGGGGCGTTTCCTGGTCCGACTGAAAGAAAAGGCCAAACATCCTCGTCTGTACCGAGAGATTTGTCCGGAAAAAGGCTCTTTGTCAACCCACACTCAATCCACACCTCTGTGAAGTGGGCTCAGGCCAAAGCAATAAACACTGTGTCACTTCCACTGCACTCTGACATGTGTTCGCCCTCCACAGGTTCATCTGCATTAACAGGGCGGCCGGGCCCACTCCACGCTCTGCTCTCCTCTTCCCAACTACATGTGACATTAATTAGCTGGCTCTATTCAGGCACACATATAGAAAGCCCAGCAGGGACCGCTAAGGTTTGGCAATGAGAGAGGCTGGTTGACAGACAGAGAGAGAGAGAGAGCGAGAGGCAGAGTGAAAGATAATCAAGAAACAGTTGGACGTCAGGAAACAACCTCCATCTTGGAAGCAGAAATGCCCGCTGTGTTAATAGCATTTGAAATATAAACCAAATTATAAGAGAGAATAAGCATTTAAGTATGGATAGCTAAATAGGCTTGTCATTAATGTAAAACCAGCAGTACTCTTAATTAATCAGTCTTAATCAGTGTTTGGGGCTTATGGAAACAAGCCGCTACAACTCCAACCCAACAGGGCTTATAAAGTCGGCCCTCTGGTGCTCTTTTGTCTGAGAAACTTCTCCTAACATATATAAAACTTTACAACATGTCCTCTTATTGAAAATGCATGAAACATTTCTGTAGTAGCCATTTTTTTTAGGTTTCAAACATGATAAAAAGTGTCCACTGGATGCCCTACCAGAGGTCAAAATGTTAAATGGTTCCCTCTGGATTCCTGTCCTCCGCAAATAACATTTAAGTTCATGCTCTTATAGTTTTTTAAAGCATTGAGAAGTGTCCTCTGGATGCCCTTATTATTTCTTCAAAGTATATAAAGCATGTAAAAATGCTTCTGGATGACGTACCACATTATAAAATGTACAAATGTCCTCAAAACATGATCAAAATGTAAAACTTAGTCCATCAAATGCACAAAGCCTTCAACAAGTGCTGGATGTTATACCAACACACCAAAAATAAAAGAACATTTCCTCTGGATTTTCAGTTTGTTGATGGAGTATAAAAAAGTGCCCTCTGGATGCCATACCACATTATAAAATGTAAAAATGTTCCCAAAACAAGATCAAAATGTAAAACTGTGTCTTCTGGATTCCCTTCCAGGATATAAAACAGATAAAGTAGTGCCTTCTTTTTTCCCTCTCAGTTTACAAAGCAAAGAAAAGGTGTCCACTGAATGCCCTTCTGCAGATAAAATGCAAAAAAGCTCCTGTTTCATTCTCAAGTGCTTCTGGATGTTCTACCAAAACCTAAAATAGTAAAAACATTGCCCTCTGGATTTTCTACTTGTTGATGGAATATGAAAAACAACCTCTGGATGCCTTACCAGGACATTAAAGTAGAAAAGGTGTCATGTAGTTGTTTTTCGGGCCAAATCAAGGTGAAAGAGTGCCCTTTAGATGCCCTGCCAGAAGAAAAATAAAAAACAACACAACCTCTCTTGATTCCCTCCAAGAATTACAGTGAGGAGACAAAATTCTTTCTAGATGCCCTACTCCAATATTGAATGTAAAAGCAGAGATGCTCTTTAGATTTCTTTAGCTGTAGCTGATGAAACTTTTTAAAAAAGTGCCCTCTGGATGCCCTACCAGTGCATTAAAGTGGAAAAACTGCCCTGTAGTTTTTTGTCAGGCAAGATTAAAGTGCCCTCTTGATGCCCTTCCGGTTGGCTGGTTAAACTTTTTAAAAAGTCCCTCTGGTTTCTCTTCCAGTATAAAGAGAAAGCCTGAGCATATAATACTCAAACACCATGACTGGTTTCAGGATACTCTCACTCCTCTCAGGGAACGCTAACACGGCGTTAGCTGGTGGTCTGATCCCCGTTACACACTGACGCTGTAACACCTGACTAACACCTTCATCACCTGAAATCCTTCATTGTTTTCTGATTCACAGAAACTCCGAGCTCAGAGATGAATACTGAGTCACTCCACTGTTCACTCTCCTCCTCAAATTTACTAAAAGAGAAAAAAAAGGTAGTTTGAGACGCACACACACACAAACACAAACACACACACTTACACACCGCCTTCAAACCCGTAACCACAGATACACACGCTGCTGCTGAGGACCAGAAAAAAAGCCTCTGGTTAGAGCAGAGCTGACCTGAAAGATTTGGGTCAGCAGACTGAACACATTCAAGTCTTTTACATTCATGTGTTTTATTTCTCTTTGTGTGTGTGTGTGCATATTTCTGTGTGTGTGTGTGTGTGTGTGTGTGTGCGCTCCTCCCACACACTTTAATCTGTTTATCGTCTGCCCACAACATGCGTCTGTGTGTGTTTCTTCCACCTCCGTCTCTCAATGGGAGGTCACCCCGGGGCGTTCGTACCCAGACAGATACAACACTTTCCTCTCCAGGCCGACTCAGAAGAAGACTTTATTGTACGCGCTGATGCCGAACCGCCACAGGGCGCCATCGGGGGCAGGTTTCCCGTCACTCTTATTTAAAAGGACAAAGCCTCCCCTGGTGCTCGTCGTCCACAGAGGAGGTCAGGGCTCGGTTTGACCCCCTAAATGACCTCTGACTCTCGTATCCCGACGCAGACCCCTCCCAAGCGTGGCATTGGGTTTTCACGGGCCGTAAAAGTTCAGACGAAGGCGGATTTATGAATCAGATGGGTCTGAAGTAAAGACAGTCATTATATTTAGCGGTTTAGGAGATTTTTTACGGTATCTTGTGACTTTTGGGACATTTAGAGGCATGTAGGTCAGCTGAACTTCAAAGAGAACCGAGTGGGTCATGATTTCCTCTCTTTGGTTTTCTATCCTTAAAAATCTACAGACCTGTTCGGCTCCTGTAATTCGCAGATATTTTAATCACAGGAAAGTTTACAGAGGCCATTTTCACACTCGGGCCAGTTGGACCTGAAGCTGTTTTTCCTGAGAGCTGTGCTGAGGTGTGAAAGCTGCTGTAGACGGACTGCGCTCCAAAAACAGTGGAAATCAGTCTCCCATAGAGTCTGCACCAAATGTGAAAGCCAAGAGCTGTAGAAGCTTGGAGTTGGTGTCAGATCGGGGTCAGTTCTCATTCGGAGACATCGAAAAAAAAGCAGCATATAGGTATAAAAATATGTCTCCTGAGTTTGGCTGATATTAAAAAGCTGCGTTACAAAGAGGAGTATAAGGACGGCAGATTTACAAACTTCATCCAAAGTTGTCCGTGCAGGTTTCTGATTGGACAGACTAAAACAAAGAGGAAGTGACGTACGTTTCGCACATGCGCAGTACAAATCGGGTTCAGGTAGCGACACGCATAAACCCTCACAGGTTACCTTTATTTTTAAACTATTAGATCTGGACGGTCTCTGTTTAACACCAGGAGCAGAGAGTACCGGTCTCACAGAGCGAGTGGATTTGACGGTAAGTTGGGGAACTGTTTGGCTTGACAAAAAACTATCGAAATGCTCCAGCGCTCTGTCTTCTGTCCACCATGATTACTTCACCGCCTCTTGTACTAAGAGGAGGACCGTTAGCTAGTTAGTTCTGGTTCTGACCTACATGTGTCAAGATGTCCAGCTGATAGTCAGCATGCCCGTCAGGATAGAAGTTAGCACGCTGCTGCTAAATCTGATCCAGTATCTCGGGTCCTGTCAGGGCTTGAGTCTAAAATCTGAAGATGGTGGATCCACTGAAGGGCTGCATTGTTGCGAAGGTGGCGCGGCGTCAAAACGCTCCTCCACGCTCCGAGCTGTGACTGATTACTTTTGCTTTTATGTGGCGTCAGAACCAACGCAATAGACGACGAAGAAGAAAGAGCAGAAAATGGTCATTTTCAGGGGTGTGATGATCGCTGACAGCGCTCAGATTCTCATCTCTGACGAACAGACTCGCTTTAGGGATCAGGTCCACACCAAAAAACCCCTCTAAGTCGGTCTCTGCAGGCCTCTGAACCGACTGCTTACAGACTGACTGTACTTTCATGCTCGCTGTGCATCCAGTTTTCCAGAGACTTAAGCATGTCTGGATTAACACAAAATAACAGCCGCTGGGAGCTGAGCACACAGATAGTCCAAAACAAGCTTTCTGGTCACGGTCAAATCCGACTGTTTACTCTGATAAATGCCCCTCTCTCGTGCGTTAAGTGTGTGTTTTGCCGTCCACACATCTGGAGAGCATCAGTGAGAGCATCCTTTAAATCCCAGGATCGCAGCTGTGGATGTGGGTGACGTGGATAACTGGGTGTCTCCCCCCCCTCGCCAAAATCCCTGCCTGTTAATCTGCTCGTTAAAGATCCAATCTGACATGTGTTTTCATTTGTGTGAAAATGTGACAGTGTGTGTGTGTGAGAGAGAGTGTGTTTGTTTGGGATCCTCACTAAGTCTAAATACGTCTGCAGGAATTTGTCTGTTTTATTGTGCAAACATACAAACACGTTAAAGACGAGCGTGAGTCTCAGACGGGGCGCAGAGTTCGGGTTTATGGTTCGTTAGGAAAGTCGGATATCAGGACTCAAAGGTCATCGGTGGACAAACGTTTGCTGCTGAGGGACGAGAGTCAGCTGCTGAGAGGACGTCAAAGTTTACACTGATCATATTTCTACATGTTTGAGTTTCTGGAAATAAACAATCTTTAGTTTATTGACTCTGTTGGTGGTTGACCAATATTTTTAACAGCCTTTACTGAAGGTTTTAATGGGAAAACAGGCTGGTTTACGTCTGAATGTTGACATCTTAGTGTTTATAAAATACAAAAATTAAGTAAGAAGAAGAAGAAATATGGATGTGGAAAAACATTTCTTTAAAAAAGTCCATGAGAACATTTTTGGACCTCTTACATTTCTTTCCAGCCGTCTGTTTTTATTAAAAAGAAAACGTACACGGTGATTATTTGGGTTGATTTACAGCTCCTATAAGAAGTTTTTTCACGTTCATTAAGAAAGATTAGGAGTCAAATTGTTGCCTTTTAATAATACCCCCCAAAAGAAAACTAGACCATCAACATCAGGACAGACGGTTTTTATGTTGTGATTTTTAAAGCTCATGTAGGGAACTTTTGGGTTGTATAAATTTTGGCGCCCCCTGTGGACAAAGCTTTATTAACTCTTCCTGTCCATTACATATCTAGTTAGTGTTTCCTAATGAGAAATCACATTAGAGAGACCCCTTTCAATTTAAATACATATGATCTATAATTTCTTTATTCATTATTCATTTCTTCATCATTTCCTTGAAGTAATAATCATCATATTAATCATTTTCTCTGCAGACGCGGTAGTTCTTCTGTCTTAGCGTCTCGGTCTGATTGTATTTCCATGAAGAAATGCACATAAATGTTCTTCCTTGAGCTGCGACACCCCGCTGTAGTCCGTAATGGACTGGCCTGAGGTCTCACTACGAACAAGTGGCTGCTGGAAGAGAGTAGGTGAGTTGTGTTAGTCTCTATGGCCTTGGCGCACTCAAAAAATTGGCCTTGCCCCTAAAATGGCGAAAGTCCAGGCCTGTACCCACACTCACTCACTCCCTCAGTTTGAAGGAGGTTTTCAGTTTTACAGTTAAAGTAATTATACTTGAATCGTTATTGTTACTGGTGTTGAGTAGTACTGTTAAGAAAGGACACTAATTTTTGTGTAAAATGACTAATTCTGTCGTTTCAGGGTTGAAATTTCTTAAAAGAAAGGACTAGATTAAAAAAAACAGAGTCTGTTTTTTGGACAAGTGCAAACAGAGTGGAGGGAGTGTGAGGAGAGAGAGAAAGTGATGGGATGCACGGAGCCACAGGACGGCCTGAGGGTGGAGCAGGAGGAGGACGAACAGTGAGAGGTCTGTCATGGAGGTCAGTGTAACAGCGACCAGACCCACCAGCCTGCAGCCTTCTGTCTGTCCCAGTCCGTCTGAACTCTCCCTCTTTTTTCCACTCCTTCTCCTTTTTTCCACACGTTAACTCTTCACCTCCTCCTCCTCTTCTCTTTATTTGTGCTCCAACTATTTCGTTTCTACTCATCCCATTAATATTTCATATCCTGTAAAGATCACAGTGAGAGACTGGGAGCCATTAAATGATTTAACTAATGACATTTGTTTGAGTACTTTCAGCTCAGCGGGGAGGGAATCCCAGATGGAAACACCGCGGCATCATGGGAAATAAAGCAGGGGTACATAAATCTGCAGATCTGTCGCTCTGCTCCTTTCACTGATCTAACCTTCATATCCAATCTCTGCTAATCTCTCATAATCCTCCGTCAAATCTCAACCCGTCAAACTCTCGCTGTTTTGACACGTCAGCTGGAGAAGTGACAAATTTGTGAGTTTTTTATCGGGTAGTAAAAAGTGTAGTTGTATTACATAAGCGAGAACAATGGCTGATTGAGACTACAAACAGGAAAACAGAGCAAGTATCCGTCTCTCATTGACCTAATTCTCACGGCTGCTTTGTTCTCCGCGGTAACAATAAACGCCGAACAACACAGAACAAACATCCAAATCATTTTCGGCGGCTCAGCCTCACATTCCCTGGAAGCGAGCCATCGGCTAACCGCCCTGTGACAGCAGAGCCGTAAGTCTCCTTGTTTTCTGTGGTACATGAAAACGCTACCATCTGGAGGGGAGGCTTTTATTTTCTTAAAACGGTCTGAATGCGACGCGGGACCTCCGGTGAAGCGACGCCTCGGACCAGAAGCCACATAAAACCGGTCCAGGATCAACAGATGACTTGTGATGTGGGTCATTTTTGGAGTCGAACAATCAGAAGACTAAACAGACGTTCGCGTTGAATCGAACGTTTGTAAGATGAGGTCAGACAGAATGTGGCGGGAAAACAAGTTCGGCAAAATGTATATCCATCCATTCAGCAGCCGCAGTCCCTCCAGCCTTCCCAACATCTATAAATCTGAGTCTCAGTCCTTCAACACACAATCCATCCTTTCTTTCATCCAGTCGCCCAACGGTCCATCTTTGACTCGTCTAGTCTGTCTACTCGTACTGGAAACCGCCGTTCCCCCCAAATAACCCAAACTGTGGGTCTATCCATCCGTTTGAGAAGACTTTTAATCTTCGTCTATCCAAACAGATTCTCTCCTCCACCATCTACGACAGCTGCCTCCATCTTTGGTCCATCTCTCAGAGCTCACAGAGTTCACTCTAGTCACTCGATGTCTGTTTTCTCTGACCCAGAACCGTCAACAGCAGATACCCAAGACTTTTGTCTGATCTCGTCTTCAGTTTTCAGTCTCCTGAGTCACAAGAAGAACTTATAGTTGGTATTTTATTACCTTACTCTTGGTGTACAGCAGTATAACATACTAACTCAGTGTAAAATCCACTCGCTTCGTGAGACCGGCAGCTTTCCAATGATGTGGATGTGCATTTCTGCTTTTCTCATCATAAATTTCTGTGATGGTTCATGGTTTTATTTTAGTGAAATAGCATCATTTCTGTTTGTAGCTAACTATTGTTTTGGTCTGACAACCAATCAGAGGCTGTTCTGTAAACGTCCAATCAGAAGGCAGACTTCTCCCTCTCTGTGGAGCAGTGAAGGTAATCAGATCTATCATGAAACGTTGTTAACACTCAGAAAAATAAGTACATCATCTGTGTAGATAGAGAGCTTGTGATTGTGTGACATTATTTGCATAAACAGTGAATGGGAGTGGTCCTAAAACTGAACCCTGGGGTACTCCTTTTGTAACGTGGAGAACAGAAGTCTTTTTCTACTCAGTGAAACTTGTTTGTAAGTTAATTATAAAGTCTTTAATCATTATTGACGTCAAACATATGGAGCTGATTAAAAAGCAGAGATGGTCGCTCCATTAACTTCACATATCCATCCATCCTGCCATCTTCATATTGTCTTCCAGTGATCTGATCCTCCTCCATTATTGAACAGTCCACAGACAGTCTTATCCTTTTCCCTCTATTATCAATTTTTAGCCTTATTGATAATCTTTCATCGAGTAAAACCTTAACCTTCTCTCCATCAGGCCGCCACGTGTCTAAAACCATTATTCATCCATTTATCTTTAAAGTATCTGATTTATAATTGACCGATCAATACATCCATTGACCCGTCTCTCTCTTCTTCAATTATCTTCCAACAAGACATCCATCAGGTGATCCACAGACATCCATCTTTAGGTTTCATCCATCCCTCCATCATCAGGAGACCCTTTGTCCTTTCTCTATAAGTCCATCAACTCGCCTTCCCTCCATCCATCCATCCATCCATTCATCAATCAATCGTTTTGATTTTCTCCGTCCTCTCCATCCATCAGTCTGCAGGTCCATTTCTCAGCAGACCTCACCTGACCTTCTCTTTCATGAAAACTCGTTTAGTTTCTTTAAAGCTCAAACAAATATGATCCGCTCTGAAAGCATGACATGTCTGTGAAACGAAAAACCCCGGACACACTTTAAAAATAACACAGCAGACCCCCCCTTTACACACACACACACAGACACACACACACACATGCAAAAGCTGTTCATGTAATGTGTTTGTTTCATTCATGTGACGTCTCTGGGCAGTGGGACGTCGGTCCTGTGACTGCGTCTCTGTTTGAGGAAACATTTTTTTGACTCATCATGGAGCGCTTCGCCTCAGGACATACAATAAGGAACAACTAGTCCTTCCATTACACTGAGGAGGAATTTATAGCATTTCCCCTCCTTTTTTCTTCTGTCTCTTCTTCTTCTTCTTCTTCTGTTCCCCACCCCCATCAGGATCCTCTTTTAGAGCCGAGGTCTGAATGCAGCAACACTTGGTTTAGGATTTTACTGTTAAACACTCTGTGATCTGTAAAAATTCACTGTTTGCAGCTTTAGATTCTATTCTAAATCAGAGTTGTGTTGGGTACTGTCCTTAAAAAGTTACTTAAGAAGTCAAATCTGTGTCTTTTTTAGGGTTTCAAAAAGGAAAACTGATAAATTTGATCAAATAAGATCGATTCACGGTGAAGTGTTGACTTCATGTGATCAATAAAATCTTTGAGACCATTTTCATATTTGATAAAGTATTTTGATTTTGAGTCTAAAGACACAGGCGGCTAAAAAGGACATGTGCAGTTCTTCAAATGGCCACTAGAGGCAGACTCCCTAACAAGTGGCCAACCACAGAGGCCTGAAGTCATAGTATAGCATTAAAATATCGACTTTACGCTAAGGGTGACCATATTCTGACTTCGCACAAACAGGACATGACTATATGGGGGCGGAGTCATAGATCGAGTGTCTTTTACGCACTTTTAACTCAGTGAGTCCACGTGACACAAACTCGAAACTTGCGTACAAAACCGCGAACATTTGAACGATTTTATAAACTTCACCGTACAAATCCGGACAGCCTCTAAAAAAGAGGGATATGTCCGATAGGCCTGGGCGATTTGTCAAAAAAATGATCACGATATATTTTGTTGTATCGTCCGATCTCGATTATTATCACAATTTTTTTTATACTGCCAGTTTTTAAGCATCTGAACTAAAAACTAAAGAAACTAGAGATTAGTTCAACATTTTAATAACAAACAAAGTAAATAATAAAGAATAAGATAAACTTAGACAAATATAAAAACATTTGAACTCAACAGTACCGGTTTTTGACAGCATCGACCGCCGACATAACTTGCACATTGGCTTAATTGCTCAACGTCACTTTGGAGATTCTGAACCAACGCCACACAACCGACGTTAAATAACTTCTCTACAATAACATCTTCGGAGGATGACTCAAAGTCACGGCTGATATCTATTTTGTTGCCCTCAGCTCCACGTTCAGTCGTTCTGTTTACTTCTCCGACAACTTACAGAATTGGAGCAGGAAAAGCTCGACTCTGATTGGCTGTTGTGACGCACATTTCCGCCATGTTTGATCGAGTAAATATGCTCTCAGCTGATCACCGTGATCGAACTGAAATTTATCACGATCATCGATCACGATCAGTCCTATGTCCGGGTAAAAGAGGACGTATGGTCACCCTACTTTAGTCATAATAGGAATCCTGTGTAACTGACTGGTCTCCTCTAGGGGGCAGTAGAGGCTCTTTACACCAGATCCACCTGCATTAAAATAGAGTAAATACGAGCGAATTCACATCCTTTTAAATCTCAAACTGAGACTGCAGGAGAGTGAAGGTCTCAGCATAGATCTACAGACACGAACGAACCTTTAAGTCCATGATGCATGATCTAGATCAGGAGGTTCACATACATCTAGACTCTGACAGGACCTTCAGTGTTTGTCCTTGTGTGGACGTAATGAACCTGCAGAGCTGTCTCAGCACAGCAGAGTGGATTTAAAGCCTACTGTAAGTGACAGGAAGTTTGACTGCCTACATGTGTGTGTGTTTGTGTGTGTGTGTGTTTTGTGTAGGAGGACACAGTTCAGCCAACTCCTCAAAGGATGTCCCAAATTATCCCGCCACCGACGCATGTTCCTCATCCACGCCTGTGCTCTATTTTACCGCGCTCCGCAGGGATCCTCTTTGTCGGCCTCGCTATTTCAGACATGGACGTGAGACAAGACTTGTTCTGGTCCCGCTCCAGATTGGCTCCGAAGGCAGAGCCGCGGTTCTCGGAGTGTCTGGACAAAAGTGTTACTGGTTCTCGTGGAAAACCAACGTCTGTTCGCCGAGCGCAGATTGTGTCACTCGAGAGTTTGAGGAAGTAAAAGGTTGTTTGAATTATCACCCAGACGGACTGTTTCGCTGGAGCTTATGACGGCCTTTTGATCCGTTTTACTCCCAGTCATTTCGGAAACGGTCAGAGGATTTCTCTTCGGCTCTTATTTCCGATATTTCCCCTCCTTTGAAAAGACGAATTTGTACTTTTTTCTGTTGTTTCCAAGACAAACTCCCAGAATTTCCCTCCGTCATGAATCACTCCAGCAGAAAACGCTTCCCAGCTTCAGATAAGTATTTTTAAACAAGCTGTAATTAAGGATCATAATTACAAACCCTGCATCGTGTGTGTGTGTATGTGTGTGTGAGTGTGCGTGGTGGGAGATATTTTGTCACACAGATGTCGGAAATGTAGCCGGCGTTTGCTTTTGGCTCGGCAGCTTTATGGCTTCTTTGTTTGGCTGGTTAACTGCAGACATGTTTTCTCACAGCACTGGAACATGTTTGTTCCATTTTGGTCCAGTAATTTCATTATGGGACTGGGAGAGATGGGCAAGCTGTGACTGGCTATCTGATGAGGGAGGGAGGGGGGAGAGAAGGGGGAGGGAGGGTGTCGGTCCAGCAGCACAGCTCAGTCAGGAGGTAAATCTGAGCCGGAGATAGGAGAGAGTTACTGAAGGAGAGCTGTCAGACGAGTCAGAGTGACGGGTTTGGATTCCCAAGAGCCGCCAATTGGAGTTTCTGATGTTTGGCGATAAATAACTTTACATCCAGCTCAGGTATTCAGTAAAACGACTTAAAATTAGCTTTTTACCAATTTGCCTCACAAACCGATCCGCTGCTGTTCAGGATCGGAGCTGTTTTGGATGCGGTGAAAATCCCGGGTTAGCTTGTGGACCAGTTTAGCAGCATTCGCTCGATTCCAGGTCCAACTTGATGAAAATTCAGAGACCTGATAAATGTCGACTTCATCAGAGACATTCGAAAAGCAGAGGAAAGGCCACCACAGAGAGATGAAGCTGGTGCACAAGTGCCAAAAACTGCGATTCGGGGCGCGCAGATGGCAGAGCGGGTCAGCGCACCACACATATGGGAACCACGAACCCCTTAGCAGTTGTGGGTTCAAGTCCGGCTCTGACTATGTGCTGCATGTCCTTCCCCATCTCTCTTTATCTCACCGTATTTCCATTCTATCCTATTAAAAAAAAAAAAAAAAATGCTGCAGTTCCCAGAATGTCCACTAGAGGCTGGCTGCAAAACCACCAAAAACCACATACACACTCATTCAAAAAAAGCTGAATTTTAAAGATAAATAAATACAAGGTTTAGGTCTGAATACCTCGGAGCTCTAACAGAATCCAGTGAACTGGGAGTGAGTTTTGAAGATATTAAGGTTTCAAGATCGGCCAATCAGAGACACAGCTGACTTGGCGCCATTTATCCTGCAACAACAGACCAATTTAACGTCTCCTACAGCCACTTTAGTAGAAATATCTCCAGACTGACCAAAACAAAGGAAAGAGACATTGAATATCTATCTGTTAGCGGGCTGAATCACACTTTAATGATATAAAATAAACTTATCTTTAATCATTAGCGCCTTATTCCCATAAACAAGTACTGAAGAAACATCGGAATAAATGATGGATTCTGGTAAAATCGTTCAATATTACATTAAAATGAATATCAGCTGTGAAAACCTCGTTGTTGTCTGCCATAGAGATCAAAACTTATTCAACTTATTTTCTTCAATCAACCACCAACAACACAAGCTGTCACTGAACGACGATAAAAGTCAGAGTCCGCTCGACATCTGCTTTGGTGACTTACTGGATTAGTACCGTATTGATTGACACATTGATAACTGAGCGGTTTTCACGTCGATGGTGCATAAACACCAGATTCCTGAGGAACAAGCTCCCAGTTGTATTGCTTGTCTCTGCGGGGACGTGACCGGGTCAGAGGTCAGATCTGGAGCTGATACAGAGTCAGGATCTTGCGCTCAGACCACGCTGAGAGATCATGCTGGTTTTCCCTCGAGGATTAAGAGCCAGAGTGATTCGAGCCCAAACTCCGAGACTTCAGACTCAGAGTCCAACATTATGTTCTGAGACTGTTTCCAATCAGGGAATCACACCCTCTGGAGCCGACGCTGAGCCGTGGCATCAAACACCCAAATAAAACTCTTACATTTCATCCGAGGAAATTTTTAAGTGGGACCGCGGTCTCGCCAAAGGCTTACGGCCCGGCTCAATGGGCATATTTCGAACATTTGACTCCTTCCCAAAAACAACACTGCCTTCTGCCAAGTCAGAAAGCTACGAGCCGCACACCCCGCCGTCATCCAACACAAACTCGCACAACAAATAATGAAACCCATCGAGCAAAGCCCCGGCTCCTGAGAAAACACTCCGACGACATGTCACGGTGGCTCCAGGGTGGCCCGGCTGCTCAGGTTCGAGTCCTCTGGCACGTCGGTCTTCATGTGGAAATGTTTGCTGTCCCGAATCAACGCCTACAAAGACGAAGTGTGCCGCCAGAGTCAACAGTCCCCAAATTCAAAGAAATAACTCCATCTTTCTGTCCTTCGTTCAACCATGAGACGCAGATCTGCTCTTTTGTCGGGTCGGACATATCAAATAAGTGTTTATCACGTGTTCAACTTCAATTAAATCGTAATAATACACTTTACAACCAGCTTATTCCAGCTCATTAACCTGCGAGAAAGTGATTCAGAGCTCTCAATAACACTCGGTTGGTGGTGGGTTCCAGCGCTCCAACAGAAATTTTATCACTGAGATTTATGACGTTTCATTACCAAAGCAGCATTATTACATACTTTTACTGCTCCCAGGGTTATCACAAGAATTAAGGTCACCGCAGAAGGAGCAGAAAGCTCCTCCTAAACGCAGCAGAAGGTGTGTAATCCCCTGGAAAGACACACAAAATCCACTATCTGTCCAGAAAGCTAATGCTTTATTAGTCCCTCGGCGCTGCAACACGATCCAATAGTATTGGAGGAGCCCATCTGTGAGACGGCCAGCGGTGATTTACACAGGAGCCGTTTATGGAGCTTTTAAAAGAGAGACAGAGGAGCCGACATGAAAACAGGCTTATTTATGGAGGAGAGGGGCAACACATGGGCTGTTTGTGTGGATGAACACAATCCACAGAGCTGTGTTTGTGTGTGTGTGTGTGTGTGTGTGTCTGCACGTCTCAGATGTGTGCAGGAATGATGCAAGTCGGAGAGAAAACAGAATCACTCCTCGTCTTTTAGTTTAATTTTTGAGATTTGACCAGGAATACAGATTTATAAAGACTAGAGACATTTGTGTAGGCATCTACTTAATGTTATCTACGCTGAGAAGCAAAGAGGAATTAAAGATGAGGCCGTTTTGGGGCCTGTTACTGTTCTAGAACAAGGAGAAGAGACTTTTCTGTACCATTGGTTTCCTGTCCCATCAGCCTGGGACGACCTGAAACTCAAACCAAACTGGAAGACTTCATCACGCCTGTCTGTGCACTTGTTGTTGCTAAATTCACGCAGTTATCTATCACGAATCTCTGCCTGGCGTTGAGCAGCAAGCTTGAAATCCGTGACAGGAAAGACGTCTGACGTTTCGTTCTGCTCCCAGTGAGTTTGTGGTTTCAGACACAAACCAGTAAACGATAACAATCCTATCCTACAGCGTGCAAACTCACAGAAGCTGCTGCAGAAAGTGTGAAGGCCTCACCCTGGAGAAGTGCAAAGACAGCATCACCTCACACACTGATGCTGAGATACGAGTTTGTCCTCACTGCAGACGGTTAAAGGTGCATTAAGTACATTTTAAAAAAAGCAGGTTTTACTTTCACTTGAGTAGGTTAAAAGAAAGAGATGGTTTTAGAAGTATAATGTTCTCAAAAAGACTCAGCTCACTTCTCCAAAAATGTGCATTTTCACCTCCTGAAATCACCAAACCACAGCCCACCAAAACGCAAACTGCACATTTCTGTTTCCTCCTTTAACTTAACAAAGAAAAACACAACCAGTGTCAACAATAAAACCCATCCTTAACTCTGTTTCTGCAGGTCACGTCTAAACCTCCTCGACATGAGCAGCAAACCTGCAGCGGGACTTTCTCTCTCTCTGCTACAAGCAGCTGAGCTCCATCAATAAAAGGAGGTTCACTCTGAGCTCCTCACGCTCCACTCTCCTTTAGATTCCTGCCAAAAACTCACATGAGAGGCACAGAGCCCACCAGAGACCCTCCCTCTTTATCAATGAATTACATAAACCCCTCAAACCCGCAAACCTCCTGTGAAGATCCAGCCAGCAGCCTCAGCGCCAGATCTCATCCCTGCACCTTGACCAATAGGGGGCAGAGTTTCACACTGTATCCGGGCAGGATTTGAGGAGGAGAAAGGAGCAAAAGGAGGGGTGGGAGAGCGAGCAGATAGAGAGAGAGAAAAGAGAGAGAGAGAGAGAGAGAGAGAGAGGTGAACTCTTACTTGCAGTCTCTGTCCTCCAGATCAAAATGCGGATTGAAGTTGATGAGGATCTTCTGTTCGGGTTCAGGGGCGGTGATCACCCACCCACACTGTTGGGAGGGCAGGTAGGCGCCGGGATAACCCGGGGAGGTCAGGTAGCCCGCGGTGTGGATCTCTATGTTCCCCCCGCATTTATCTGAGAGAGAGAAGGAGAGAAAGAAAGGAGGGGAGGAAAGTTGTTGTTGAGAGAAATGGACTTTCCTGCGCTCAGATGATCACAGATTTAGGGAAGAACAGATCATCAGGAGGACTGGGAGTGAAAACACAAACAATTCAACAATAATGTGACAAAGGAGCTCAGATATTTTACAGAAGGCCTCATCAATAAATCTGAGCTGTAGAGTCACAGAATCACAGAACATGTCATCAGTCAAAGATCAGACTCCCTCTGATGAAGGTGTGGTGTTTCCTCTGCATCCCTGACAGAAGGTGTGATTCTTCCTGTGGAGGTGAGGTGGGCTGACTGCAGCAGCTGCCCCCTCTGCGAACAGGCAGCAGGATAGAAGCTTCTTTTCTCAATGAATGCTTGATTTAAACCGCTATGAAGCTTCAGCGGCATCGCGCGTAAATGCGCATTTGAATGGTTAACGCGTAAAGACAATCTTCACCAAACGCGTAAAAACCTTTACGCAGAAGATTTCTGTCTTCTGGCGATGATTATTCAAGACTTTTCACACCCTTTGTTGCTCCTCCAACAGGTTTTAGCCTCATAACTCAGATTCGGTTCCCCTCTCTGTGTGGTTACAGTGAAACAGTCTCCTAACTGCGCTGACTCCTGACATTTCTGCCCACTTTAAGCAGAGCTAGAACAGGTGAGAAGCGACAGCGCTGCGAAACGATGCAAAACGGATCAATCTTCAAGCACACAGCCACACGAATTCATTCATACAAGCAGTCAACACCTACCAGTCTGAGTCAGCGAGGAAACCGAGAGGACTTGAGCGAAAAGGAACAATAGCAATCCACAAAGCATCCTCAGACTGTAGAGCTCAGACATTCTGCGGAAGGAAAAGAAAGAGAGAAAAACGTCCAGGAGGGGATTAGGTCCAGAAACGAGGAGCGAAAAGGAGCGAAAATCGGTCTCAAAGTGGGAGATGTGCTCGTAGTAAGGTCCCCAGCATCCTGCGAGCTTCGGCAGCAGCAGATCCCCGCGTCTGTCAGCCAACAACTTGACACCTCCTGGAAACAAAAATGAATAATCCAAACGAGGAAAAAGAAGAATCAAAATAAAAATCCGTCAAGAGTGACAGCTGTGCGCCCTCGAGTCTTCCTCTTTCTCCTCAAACAGGAACCAAACACGTACTTCCAAGTGGAGAAATCTCAACGAGAGGAGCAGAATTCAGTCAGAACCAACCCGAGGATCACCGGAGCGCTGCTCTCCAGATCTCTCCTCCTTATTTCAGTCCAGCTCTCTTTCCCCGCCTCTCTCTCTCTCTCTCTCTCTCTCTCTCTCTCTCTCTGTTCTCAGCGTCTGACTGACCGTCACAGCAGAAATGTCAGAAATACGAGGCGAGTCGTGAAAGTAACAGCGGAATTTCCACTCCCCAAATTCCTCCTCCTCCTCCTCCTGCTGCTGCAGCTGGAAGGCAGAGAGCGCGCAACCAGCAGCCACCGACCAACAGACCGACACACCGACCGACCGACCGAGCGCTACGAGGGGCTGGAGCAAACTGACACCGCTGCGCCCTCTGTGCGCTCCCGACGCATGCGAGCAGGGAAACTGCGCACGCAAACTCCCGCTGGCATGTCAGAGAGAGAGAGAGAGAGAGAGTGTGAGTGTGAGTGTGTGTGTGTGAAGGAGTGAGGAGTGGGCAGTGTCCACCAGGCAGAGGCGCGTCCACAGCTGATCTTTGTTACAGAGAAGATGTGCTCGTCCTTTTCTTCTCAGGTGACCTACATGTGATGGTGTCACACTGACCGAATATCTTCATCTGTGAGATTTAACAAAAACCTGAGCGTGGATGGTTTCTGATATTCAAGGGGAACTTTGATCCTGTGAGATATTTTCACCTAAAATCACTCCTCGGATTTAAAGTAAAACAGTTCCTCAAAACTAAACTAACCTCAACCAAAACGCCACTCTATAACCACAAATAATGCTCAGAACAGCACCTAACTTCATCAACAGGACATATAGGGTCACAGACAGAGTACTAGACACCAAACATCTTTTTAACTTTGACTAAGAGACTAAACACAACTCACCTACTCTCTTCCAGCAGCTGCTTGTTTGTACGGAGACCTCAGTCTCAGCGGAGTTTCGCAGCTCAAGGAAGAACATTTATGATTATTTTTTCATGGAAATACAATCAGACCGAGACGCTAAGACAGAAGAACTACCACGTCTGTAAAATGATTAATATGGTGATTATTACTTCAAGGAAATGATAAAGAAATGATCATAAATGTTCTTCCTTGAGCTGCGACACCCCACTGACCCACCACCTACATGACGAGCCTACATGATATCGTCATCAACTACATTTTTGCATGTCTCTGTGTGTCAGACGTCAACACGTTAAGTAAAATGACGTCACACCCGAGTTCCCAGCGTTTTAGTTACCAAGTCGGAAAAAAGCAAAATCGGAGGCGGAAACAAAATGGCTACATCTACAAAAGTTATTTTACTGCTTGCCTCGTCCGAATATAAGCTAAAATAACTTTCATAGCTAAAGCTATCTCGTTTCAAGCCTCTGATTTAGCTTTTTTTCTGACTTGGTAACTGAAACGCTGGGAACTCGGGTGTGACGTCATTTTCAGCTCCGACATCTGACGTCCGAGGAAACTCAAACGTAGCATTAGTGCTGTTATTAAAGGGGTCGGATTCTAGAATGGAACACTTCCTCACCAATCTCTGCTGTCACTGAGGTAACGGTGGCTGTCAAGGACCAAAACAGTTTTTTTTTTTGTGCGTGACAAAGACGGCATTAACCTCAGTGTGTTGATAAAACCTACAGAAATCTCACCTACATTTGGGTGTCTTCTCAGGCCAGTGGAGATGCACTGGTTGAATGGGGTCCTTCGACCTCAGCACTTCTTAAATCCTGTGTCTCCCAGGTGCTGCTGAATGTAATTAGTGAGAGCCTGCCTGTTCAGCAAACCTTTGCTGGCTAAATACAGATAAAAATGTGATTATTAAACACTTATAAGAGCTGCTGGTGGCTAACCAGACTGAAAAAATGCAGTGTAAGTCTTTGTAGCTGCTGCACACTTTATGAAAACTGTTGTTGTGTTCTGCTGTTTAGTTTTCCTGAATGTCAGCATCAAATCCTCACCGAGGCGGAGCGTTCTGCATTTTAAACACTGCAACAGTTCCTCTGATTAAAAGGGATGTCTCTGGAGAACAGTAAACTTAAAGGTAAACATTAAAGCGGTAGATTATGTTCAGCTAAAGGTGGAAAATGTTTAAATACTAAAAGTCTTTGTGCGCTCTGGTGGGCTGAAAATCTGCATTTTTAAAGCAAAGGGTTTAAGAGGGAAATTTGTAAGACAGGGACAACAGAGAGAAGTTTACACATCAGTATTTTGATGAAGTATAAATGTTAGTAAAATGTTTGAACCAATACCATCTGCTTGAGGACCAAAGCCTCTGTACAAGAGGGCCACAAGACACCAAAGTCAAGCCTGTTTTTGATGCAGTGCCATCTGAAGCTCAAAGACTACAACCATTATTGTTTTTTTTTTCAATACACTGTTTATTTCTCACTTCATTTAGACAATCGGTACATTAAGCAAACATGAGCCAAAGCGGCGAACACCCCTGACTCGTGTGACTCATAAACCGAAGGATAAAATAAGACCTTGATGCCAAGTTCTGGTTATCGTCAGAGTGAACTCATTTGTGTATTTCAAGGATGTGAGTGTGGGATTGAAGTGGTGTTAAAACGCTGAATGAGCAGAGACACTGATGCTCTTTGGATGCAACAACCTCAAGGTCAAACACCACGTTAGAAACAAACATCGGGTCTGATGAAATGGAGAAAAGACGAACGGAGCTGAGAGGACCGGTTTTGATTTGACGAGGCCGTCTTAACTCAGATCTGGCTCCACTTTTTTAAGCTCCACTTCCTGATGACAAATCTCTCTCATGCTGTAAAACACTTGTGCCAGGCATTGTGTTTGTGTTGCTATGACAACCAGCAACTGAGAGCTGCCATGTCACCCATCATAGCAACTGTATCACTCCATGTTTATCATCTCTCTGAGTGTGGGTAATCCAGTGTTGACTGCATGATTATGGAGTTAAGGCTCATTTTTACAGTCAAACCGTGACGTAAAGGAATAATGTGAAAGTACAAGAGCGCGACCGATGTGGATTTTTAGGGGCCGATGTCAATACCGATTATTGGGGGGAAAAAATCTAATTACTGATAAATCGGCCGATTTTCTAAATTTTTTATGAAGTTTTAAAAATTGGATATTTACTGTAGATATCTCCAGTACACTGTAGAATAACTGTAGGCTACTGCTCATGACGCTGACAGGAAGACCGACTGATCAAACTCGGACCAGAAAAGCGTTTTCAACTACCGATGTAGCTCGATCACTAATGTGTACTGTTGTTTATTCTACCGTTACTGGCACGGCTAACAGTGTAGCAAGGCTAATAGCAGGTGGCTAACTCTAACTTTAGCTTGCATATTACATGGTGCTTCACCGTTAACTCGGCGTGACCGAGACCAGCACAGCGGGGAACATGGTGAAGTGGAACCGAATCTTATTTTCTGCATTTCATTTCTGAAAATATCGGCGAAGTTTTGGCCGATGACCGATTAGTCTCAAACAGGCTAAAATTGGCCGATTTAATTGACTTGCCGATAAATCGGTCGGCTCTAGTTAGCACTACAGTTGCCAATGTAACAAGCCATAAACAAAATTTGTTTTCTAGAGTTTACTACATGTTTGTGTTGAGTAACAGATTCTGATTGGTAACTTACAGCATGTTGAGGTTTGATATTTTAACACAGCAGACCGTTGCTATGAAGAACAGACCGTTGCTAGGGGTGGGGCTCCTGTCACAGACTCTGGAGGACCTGGTGAATTAGTACCAGAGGCAAACGAACAGAGAAATCTACAACATTGAAGAAATATTTGTTTTAATGTCAGTAATAACTGTTGAGTCACACTAAATAACTAACTGCTGAGTCACATGCAGTTTTAATAATGAAGGAACGCAAAACATAATGAGAATCAATGAAAACCGCTGCAGCAGGAGCTAAAGTGAACAGTCAGCTCTGCAGCCGCTCTATTAAAGTCAACAGGCCTGGAGTTATAGACGGACGTTGACAAGAAGCTGCTGAGGCCAACAACAAACAGGAAGTTTGTACCTCAGTTTTATTTTTACTTCTTCTTTACGTATTAATTTAGATTTTTTTTCTTTTTGTTTTTGCTCAATCAAAGCCTGAAAAATAACTAAATCAAATAGTGGAAAAAGACATGCTTCTGTTGTTTTATGGTTTTAATCTCCTAAATAAAAACAAATCACTCTTACAAATCAGTGCAACCATACACTGTTCTGTGCAAATACTGGCATTCAAAAGTCGAGACCCCCATAAAGGATGAACTTCAGAGAGATACTCGTCTGATTTTTAGGTCAATAAGGTTTATGAATGCAGAAAAACAGGATGATGAATGAGCGAGTGACACAAAAACAGAGGATTAGATCAGAAAATGAGCATCCGAGTGAGTCGACAGTCGAGTCACTTCTCAGACACACTTTGTGTTACGATCAGAGATCACAGCAGACTTCCAGCCAGCGCTCTAACAGGATTATCATTAATATTCCAGATATGGTGTTCGGTTATATTTACAGCATTCCTGTGTGTCGCAGCGGAGACAATAAAAAACTTTTTGGCACCACAACACAACATTACGCTGCCAAGCTGGACTAAAATAGGCTCCGAGGAACATGTTAGTGACGCAGACAGAAGAGCGAGAGCAGAAATCAGTGTGTGTTTGTGTTGAGAAAACAGATTAGAGCTTTTAAAGCCCGACGAT